TAGGATCTAGGTATTTATCCAGTGCCGCACACGGTACCCCGAATCGCGTCCCGCGCCGTTAAACGGATGAGCCGTTTGCCCCACTGTTATCTGCTCTGCTCGTGCTCACGAGAAATGCCCGTATAGTCGTAGTCGTAGTCGTAGTCGTACGGAGGCACATGCCAAAAGGATTAAGTACATGGGTGCGTTTGGTGGGATTTTTATGGTAAGCAAGGCTGCAGCTAACCAATACTGCAAGGACAAGAGATCCTTGGAGACAATACTTTTGGTCTGTACCTCCGTAGGTACAGTTTGAACATCAACTCGCATTCTATATCCCCCCTCGGCCCCCTCACGTCAGCGCAAGCGAATTTCTCACTAAGTTCTGGCTTTGTTGCATAAGGAGTGAGTGCAAAAAGCACGTCTCGGGGCACACGCGACAAGCTGCCAAGAAAAAAGAATATAATAAGAATATTAGCTAGCTGAAGCTTTTAATGCTTAACTCAAGTCCATGGCAGAGTTACAACGTGCTCGTACAGCCTGTGACCGCTGCCAGGGGTCGAAAGTCAGATGCAGTCGTGGGAAACCGTCATGTTGGAGATGCTACCAGAATGGCCAGCAATGCGTTTACAGCCCGTTCAGAAAAATTGGCCGGCCGTCAAAGCAAGTCTCTAGCGACTCGAAACGTCGCACAGATGTTCACGATGATCTGGAGGAGGCAATCCAGATTGACCAGCAGACAATCATGGAAGCAAACGACCTGGACTGGAGTGATCTGAATGAGGAGACGGAGCAACAAACCCATACGATGGAGATTGAAACAGAGCTGGATGCCGCAACACAGTTGGCCTTTAGCTCTAGTAGTCAGCGGCATATGCATTCCCAACCTATAACTATGGCCCAACCCTTCCAGCACTGGACACTTATGCCAACACTAGCCCCAGATCAACTTTGTCATTTTGATATAAATGGATCCGAAACCGAAATCAGCACAGTAACCACACCCAGCTGGGAGTACTCAGATAGAACAGAGACGTCGCCATCCAACCCATCTGACTCGTCCGACTTTCCTTACAGTCCTAAATCCTCCAATACCACCCAGCCACGAAACAGCAATTGGAGTGCTACCACCTATGATGGCCTTTGCGGACGCTTGCATTCGGCTTCATCATCAATATCAAATCTAGCTTCAACAGAAATTGAAGCCGTTGATTTTGCCAAGCATCCACTAAATGGTCAATCAAAGCCACGTGCTGCTGCTCCTGCCTTGTCCAACTCGCACTCTAAATCATCACATCTACAGCCAATCTCACCAGACTCAAATTCACTCGATCGTGAAGCAAAACACCGACGGCCATGTCCTAGTCAGCAGAGACCTGATATCCAATGCAGCAGCGAATGCTATCCCGCTCTATCTAAGATTCTGGCACGGCTTACCGACTGGGATGTAGAGAGAGAAGACATTCCTCTCGAGCCTTTATTACGACTGGATGAAGAATTACAGTACATCATGCAAAGAGCAATCGCTTGTTCAAGCTGTTGTCGAGGAAAATTGGGAAACCAATCGATAATAATGCTCCGCATCCTTGCATTGGACCACCTCCTGCGTCTCTTTGAGAAGCAGCAAGACCGATCACAGAAACCGACCACCAGGACATTCCCCGCAGGACCTGCCAGCTCACCAGGATCAAGACAAAGTTTTCAGGAGATATTTCCATGGACTGAAGAATCACTCCTGCTTGGAAAATATACCGTGAGTGACAAAGTAAAGGCTATGGTTTTGCGCCAGTTAGTGTTAGCCTTTGTTGAAAAGCTCGTAGCAACCTTGTCCGAGTTGGAAGGCGAAATCGATGTATCGTTAAAGGATTTCAATCGTAGAATAGCTAGGGAGATGGTTGGGGAAATTGGTCGTCGGGCGGGTTTTATTAGAGAAATGCTATAACTTGCTAGCGAACCTTCTGTGCATTAATTAAGACGGAGCTCGAAACATACAACCTTAGCCTTGGTTTTTGTGCAAAGTGTTATTATTGGCCGATGGTGAGTTGTAACAAAGAGCAGCACTAGCAGCCGGATGGCTTAATCTATCTTAATTACAAAGCCATTTACAGTGTGAATAGTGAAATAAAACCCCTTCTTTAATAATTTACAGGAGATTTTCTAGTGTAGTAAGTATCTTGTTTTCAGTAGGAATGTGGTTCATGCTGAAAATGTAGTGGGTTCCTATGAGGGTTATTTCTACAGGAGTTACAGCCAAGATACGAGGCCTCTATACTGAATTGATAGCGAATGTTAGTCATCATCCAGCTATACTGGGTAAGCTGTTCTGTTTCAAGTAACTCATTAGCTGGTTTGCCAAGCATATACGCAGTGCAGTCTAACATAATATAGTTGCCAGTCAATGGAACTGCGTTCTTTACTAATACATTTGCCCGCAAACTCTTCCAGTCAATCCACAAAACTTCTACACGATACCCAGGAGATACTTTGCTAGACTAATGATTGTACCACTCCACGTGCTGTTGATCTTTGATCGCTCGAGCACAGGAAGAGCACCTGGAAGCATATTCTGTGGGTTATACTTCCCTTTTAAGTCTCGTAGCCTGCGAACAGTTTCTTCGCCAAAGAATTTTACGGCATTGCAGTGCTCTGGGCGGGACAAGCTCCAATATCCTTTCTCTTTTCCTAAGCCTGTCTCCCTTAGAGTTTGAACTAGTTCATTAGACCACGTGCTTGACACCGCGAGTTCATCCGGTGTTGAATCGGTCTTAGCATAACCACATGGTGTGCATATGTAGTGATCTTCGCGGTGAGCCCATGCTGCTGCTGGATCGTACTTCGAAGCACGGCCGTGAGCGTGATGGATCAAAATCGCCGAAGCTCCGCCTGTTGTACCAATATTTCATAATTAGTAAGATACCTTGGGGGAGATTGAATACGAGTTTGAGAAGAGAATAGGGGAAGAAGAATAGCGAGATGTGTATCGTTGCCGACCATCGAGATTATCTTAAAACTGCTAGAAAAGTAGTAATTTGTTCGGGTCCACTCACCGGCTGGAGCTGGTCTTTCCATAAGTATCTTAATCACGTCCAGGGATAATCTGGGAAGGGCAATTGAGTTCATGGTGTAGGAACCGATGGCATTAAAAGCAGGATCTTCGTGGAAAAGTGTGTGGAGCTCCAAGATAGAGGCTTTAACGTGTTAAAATGTAATTAGCTATATATCTGAAAAGACCGAAAAGGGTAAAGAAGAGGTATTTGAGACTCTTACTTTCAGCCACTGTATTAACTATCACGGACCCTAACGTTTTCAACTTCAACAGGTATTTCCAGCCAGCGTCAACGTTATCGCCGTCAGAGATCCAGGCGAACATAAAGTTAATTGTTGGGCCGAATGGCATGGTATTCATGGTCAATTCTCCGCTAAAGTTATCCGGAATTCCTTCTTCGTCGTTCATCCGTTGAAAGCCGCCTAACACCTTTTCGCCTTCAGCCAAAGGGAAGATCAAGAAGCCACCTAGGTACCTTGGCTTTGGATACGTCTTGAGTCGAAGCTCAGAGATGACCCCAAAATTGCCCAAGCCAGCTCCTCGTAGTGCCCAGAGCAATTCCGCATCGTCATCTGTGTCCAGTATTTTTCCAGTGGCCGTGATGAGCTTCGCCCCGACAATGTTGTCGACTCCCATACCCCATTTGCCATTTGAGAGTCCATAGCCACCCCCACATGCCCACCCAACCACACCAACCGTTCCAATCCAGCCTGTAGGCGCAGCCAGTCCCAGAGCGTCTAAAGCACGTTGCATTTCAATTGCCGTGACTCCTGGACTAATAGTGGCGATTCTATCGTGAGAGACAGCGTGTGGCTCCGATACAATAATATCCTTCAAGAGCCGTAAATCAACCTGGACGACACCAGCTAGAGTGTTGCGCCCATATGCATCATGCCCTCCACCGCGTATTGTAAAATCAATTGGCGGGGACTGACATGCACAGTGCTTGGTTATTGTAACAAGTTCGTCGATGTTAGATGGTATAATGACCGCTGGGGGTACGACCGTGTTAGAAGTGTTATATTCATAGTGGAAGCTAGAAAATTCTGGTGAAGAAGGCGTGATAATTTTGATTTCGGAATGCGCTAAGTGAAGAGATAGGAGAGTCGGTGCATCCTCAACCAGAAGCTGTGAAAGTGTGCTGGTCATACTGGATACGATTCTGATAATTTTTGAAACACGAATTCGAACTGTCTACTGAATCTTACAATTGAGATAAGCTATTGTATTATGAGTTTTTTGCTTATAAAATCTTATGCATATTGCTAATGTTTTCTATCCGCGGCACGATTCGTGAAAGCTTATTATTCAAACGAAAGAAGTAGGTTCATATCTAGCTATGAATAACCAGCCGCGGGTCGTTTAGGATACCGTGTCAAATTTTAGTATCATGATGTAAAATAGTAACATTATTAGCTTGATCCTTTGATCCCTCGTGGTTTTGAGTTTTTACGCTTCTAAGTCACGTAAGAGTCTTCTTGCCACGATTCTGCATACCTCCGGAGGCAAAAAGACACTAGCTTCTCTGAAGTAATCGCAAGTCAGGATTTCTAAAACTCGCGCACTTCTCAATTACGGGCTTTGAATAGCCCCTACAACTGTCCTGGAGCTGTATTGCCTGAGGTAAAAGTAGAAATTTAAAAGTTCATGTATAAGCATTCATCTTAAAATGAAATGGGGACATGGCGCATCGCTAAGGTTCGGGTATTGTGCACTACACCCCAACTTACTCTTTGAACCTAGAAAGCCTTATGCACCAGATCTTTCTAACTCTTCAATAATCAACATGGACTAAATAAGAACTTTGTTTATCAGTGCACCAAACTATCAATAATCAAACAGTATAAGATTCCAAAGTCGAGCAATCGAGGAGTACGTAGAACAGAACCAATGCACAAGTTCCTGCAATATATAGCCCTATCTACAGGCTACTTCATCCACGGTTACAGAATCCAAAAATGCTACTGCCAAATCTCTACTCCCGTCCCCCATAGCTCTGTTGAATCCTCTTGATCAGATGCTTTTCCACTGTCCACCCCTTCGTACCTATCCCGCCGACACCCTCTGCGCCTTGCACAGGCTGTCTCCCATCCAGCGGGTCCAATTCACAATCCAAGTTGCCATTGAAGAAGAATGCCGCAGAATACCGATCAACAGGATTGTCATTGATAACCCGATGCACGCTACTCTTGTAAACACCCCCAGTCCATGCAGTGAGCATGTCGCCTACATTCACCACAAAGGCGCCAGGTGTCGGAGGAACAGGGACGAAGTCCTGTGTTTTGGGATGTAAGACTTGAAGACCTGGATTTGTATCTTGGAGGAGGATGGTTATTGCACCGAAGTCAGTATGGGCTCCAGCACCTAATTGCGCTTGGTCTGAGTTCGAATGGTCGGTCCCGGGGAGAGGTTTGCCTGGGGGATAATGTAGGAGACGGAGGGGAGCAACTACGTGGCCAGTTTTGAAATTGGAGAAGATGTCAGGTCCATACGGCAGAGTAAGAGCTACTAGATCAAGGACTTGGGTAGCGAGATTATTTATAGCCGTGAAGTAACGCTCCACCGGCTCGCGGAATGAAGATGAAGCGAGAAGCGAATTGGAAGGCCAAACGTTTGGTCCCATGAAGAAGCGGTGGGAGAGGACTGCGGGATCGTCAGGGGAGTTGTCGTGGCCGAGGAAAAAGCTCTGGCAAGATCTGTAAGTTTCGAACAAATGAGAGTGTACCATTTTAGTGGCATCGACTAGCTAAACGGAAAAAGTGCAATTGCCAGGCAGTGCGGAATTTTCAAACATTACCTCTTTCAAATCTGGAAGTTTCTCCCCATTGTATGCCTCCGCGGAATCATATCCTTTCCTTCCAGGCTTTGTGTTGACATCAAGGCTTTGTTTTTCTTCCGGGGAAAGAGCAAAAAACTGCTTGGAAGCTTCAAAAAGCTCGCTTTGAAGCTCTTCTGAAATCCCGTGACCTGTGATTTGAAAGAATCCAGTCTCGATACATGCTTTTCTGGCTGTTTCAACAATTTTGTCGACTAAGGGGGACGTAGGGTCAAGGATAAAGGGCGATATGTCTATAGTCGGGACTAGATTGCTGGCTGGCATCTCACTATCTAGTGTGGATGTTATGGTGGTAGTAGTAGTAGACATTGTTGAGATATGGTCAAGAAGTCTTGATCGATAAATCAAAGGGAACGTAGATTCCGGAAAGTAGGCTTATCATTTAGATGGTGAGATTTACTATGCTTTGCTATTATATAAAGGTCCTCACACACCCGCGCTCGCTTAACCTTCGATCTCTTCCCCTTTATTTAGCGTATTCCATAAGATTTACCATAGAGGCCGGTGCGAAAGTCCTAGCAATAAGGTCATCCACACCTCCCCATCCTGTTTGCCTGATGATTCTCCTCCGTTCGTACAGAACCATACTCCGTAGCGTGATTCCTCAACATATCCCGAAAACGAGATCCTAGGAGCTCCGACGCCCGTCATCGACATGGGCTAAATTCGCCAGGGAGTACTGAGGCTACATTTATCTTTGCATGCATCTGCAACGGCTTTACCGAGACAGGGCTACACTGCCTGCGATCCCGTTTAAATCCTTCAGTAAACATACGATCTCACGCAAGGCGCAAAACTACCCGCGGCAATTTTACCCCTGTTCGGTACGTTTCGTGCCTCTTAACATCTGCACAAGAGATCATTACTGAAATGACCCGAAGCCTCATTTTATTCCTTGGGGATATGTATACATGTCTTTGACGCCCTAGTATGCTTTAAACAACTACTACTCTATGACATGTCGTAAACTACTCTGCTTGTCAGCATAACCAGCACGAAAATGGCCGTTTCTCTAGTTACTACTATCTTTGATAATTTTTGGGCTATCTCGCTGACCTTGTTATTGCCTTTTGTTTTATATAGTCTTTGGAGTACCTAGAGCGAGCAGTCACACATTCCTGGCCCCTTCCTCGCATCGCTAACAAATCTCCCTCGTTTGAGGTGGTCCTATTCAAGCACAGCGCACCTAACGCACATTAAGCTTCATGAGCAATATGGCGACCTCGTGCGGATCGGGCCTAGCTGTATCAGCGTTGGAGACCCACGCGAGATCTCTAAGATCTACGGCATCTCGAGCAATTACCAAAAGGTGAGAACTATATCTTTTCCTCCTCAAATGATCTTGAGATACGGAATATGTGGATGGTCTGGCTGACTTTTCCATTTTCATGCGTGCAGTCTGATTTCTACAGAGTCCTGCAGCCGATGGCGAGGGGAAACATTATTCAGGGTTTATTCAATACACAGGATGATAACCTGCACCGAGCAATGAAGAAGCCAATTGCAGCAATGTACTCAATGAGTAGTATGGTCGAGTTTGAACCATACATTGACACCACTATTGACTTCTTCCTCAAACGACTAGAGGAAGTTCAGAAGAAGGATTCTCGTAACTCGTGTGATCTCGGAGCCTGGCTGCAATGGTACGCTTTTGATGTCATGGGTGAGGTCACTTTTAGCAAGCGACTAGGATTTCTTGACGAAGCCAAGGATGTGGATGGGATAATTGCCATTATCTGGAAGCATTTTCAATTTTGTTCTGTGGTAAATACTGATCAGACATTTTCTTGACACATGGCAAATGGCTAATTGCATTAGGTTGGCCAAATGCCCTGGCTTGACTACGTATGGGCTAAAAATAAATTCGTCAATAGAATGTTACCGGCAAAGATGCATCCTGTTATTGCGTTTGCACTTGCGAGAGCAAGAGAGCGGAAACAGAAGCCAAGCTCTTTGGAGGGCAAGAATGTGGCAAATGTACAGAACTCTCGAAACTTCATGTCACGGTTCATTGAAATCCAAGCCAAGGACCCTTCGATCCCTGAATCGTTCGTGACAGCCTGGGCTTACTCCAACGTTTTGGCGGGCAGCGACACAACTGCCATAATGCTACGATCCATCATCTACTTCCTCATCCGGAATCCAAGCTCGCTGAGAAAGCTTACGGCTGAGCTTACACAAGCCCGGAGTGAGGGTCGGCTGTCGAATATTGTTACTTGGGCGGAATCACGCCGTCTAGATTATCTCGATGCTTGCGTCAAGGAAGCAGGCCGCCTTCACCCAGCTATTGGACTTCCAATGGAGCGAGTGGTGCCTGAGGGTGGTGCTGAGATCTGTGGAAAGCATTTTAAAGCAGGAACTGTAGTTGGTATGAACCCGTGGGTCATACATCGCAACAAAGAGATCTTTGGATCTGATGTATACGAGTGGAACCCAGATCGCTGGCTGGGCGATGAGACGAGACGACGGGAAATGGAGAGGTGCCTTCTTACGGTTAGTCTCAGAACACTATCATCTTGCTACTATTTACTGATAATCCGGGCTTGCTAGTTTGGAATGGGACATAGGACGTGCATTGGTAAGAATCTCTCCTATATCGAAATTTACAAGCTAATTCCAACGCTGTTTGCAAGATACGATGTCAGTCTTTCTCATTTATCTGCGCCTAAAATTAAGTAGCTGACCTTATATGCAGATGGAGCTTGCGGACCCTACGAAAGAGTGGCACTTGGCAAATTCTTGGCTTGTAGTTCAAACAGGTCTTGACGTCAAGCTGCGCCCGAAGAGAATCTTGTGATTCATTGGGTTTTTGGGAGATATTACACATTTCGTGAGAATTGGTGGTACATTGAAGCCTGTGCATTGTTGAGATTTTGTGTTCCAGCATAGCACCTAGTAGGTGGCCCTTGAATAGCTAAGTTTCAGGCTAGGAAGATGTTTCCATGTATGTATAATCACCTTTCGACCTGTATAGTAGAACGTGTTTTACTACGTGACCCTCAAATAAGGCGAATATTGCCAATTTCCAGGCATGATGTAGCTTAACAAGAATCAAGCAATATTACTTTAACCATTGTGTATTTTGCTTGACTACAGAGTGTTGAATTCATGACACGCCAAAAGTATTACATAATGACTATGACGTAGGGGTTGGTATTCTAGGTATAAACAATCATTTTGTATTTCGAAACAGCAGATGATAACCTAACAGGGACATAGATTTTCAAGGGTTTCCAAAACAATTCGACTACTGAAAGAATCCAAGCGTGAAAGATCTACTAAGAACAGAAGAAGCTACCATGCTAAAAAAAAACCAAGCCTAAAGTAGATAAACTTCAGAGACCTATTCAAAGTGATAAAGATGGAATGAATATATACTAGAGTTGGTTCACCTATAAACACGACAAACCAACCTCAGTTTGGCTAGATATTTGATGGTATACTTACTATTAGAGACTAAACAAATTCTATAAAGAACATTAAATATCATCTAATATATAATAACTCTCGCGTATTCTCTACTTCTTATTAGTTCTAACCTAAAATGACAAAGCCTTGCGAATCTTTATATAAAAATAAGAGTAAAAGTCAGGTAAGATTCTAGACCCACTATATGAGCCACATCTGTAGCTAAAAATACCACGCCAATATAAGATAAAACGTATAGCTAGAATAGGGATAACGCTAAGCTAATGCAAGTCGGGGGTCTAGTTTGCCGTCAACGCATTTCTTACCGAGCCCAAAAGGGAAATTTAAGTCCGCCGTAGCGAAATCCGAAAGGGGTAATCAGCTCACGACCAGCCTCTAGCTAACAAAATCGCAATAAGTCCCAATGGGGAAAATCATCATTCGAAACATCCCTACGGGGTTAGAAACAGAAGTGAACGAAGTAATCACCTAGGGTAATTAAAAGTGTCTTAACTCCGTTGGTGATAACTCCTTCAGTGACGACTTTAGGAGTGGAACACACAGATAAAATAAAAACTACTTGGTTGCAAGCAAGCCTTTTCTTTATCCCTTCACTGAATCATTGATGCTACTTATATTCTCCGCTTACCGTCAGCCACTCGTTGACGTATAGAAAACAACCATAATGGCAGCAGCTGACGAAATTCCCAAGGAGCTGACGGCGGAAGATCCAGAAACCGGCCACACATCATCAGCGTCCCAGCTATCAGAAAAGGCAGAAAGCACTCCCGCGGTCGCGCCCCAACCACCAGTAGGACCAGGACCGCCACCAAATGGAGGCACACGAGCATGGCTCCAAGTCCTCGGAGCCTTCTTCCTCAACTTCAATACCTGGGGACTGTTGAACGCCTTTGGTGTCTTCCAAGCAGAATACTCCAGGAGTCTACTTTCTACCTCTACTCAGTCAGCGATATCATGGATTGGTTCCTTGCAGGCTTTTCTTATGCTTGTTGTTGGTGTTGCATGTGGGCGTGCTATTGATGCAGGGTATTTCTATCCGGACATCACGGTTGGGGCTTTCTTGTCGGTTTTTGGAATGATGAGTAAGTTCTCCAATGCCACCAAATACATTTTATTATTACACAATGCTGGTTTTCGTTGTTTCAAAGCACATACATTTATCGTATCATGAACTGACATATCGCACGTAGTGCTCTCAATCTGCAAAACCTACTGGCAAGTAATCCTCGCCCAAGGCGTGGTAGTTGGCATCGGCACGGGCATGTCATTTATCCCAAGCGTCGCCATCGTCGGGACCTACTTCACCACGAAACGCTCCACCGCCATGGGAATTGGTGCAACCGGCTCTAGCATCGGCGGCGTAATCTACCCCGTTGTCCTCCGTCGCCTAATCGTACAAATCGGTCTCGCATGGGCGATCCGAGTCGTAGCCTTCATCATGCTCGCCACACTTCTCATCTCTATCGCAGTCATGAAACCACGCTTACCACCGCGAAAAGCCGGTCCCTTGATCAACGTGGCTGCGCTGAGAGACCCTGTTTTCATGGTCTGGTTACTCGCCGTGTTCTTCATCTTCATCGGGCTCTATACGCCTTTCTTCTATGTCGAGACATACGCGCTTAATCTCGGCATCAACGCCGACCTCGCTTTCTACATGCTTATCATTATGAATGCCGCCTCTGTACCAGGGCGTATCTTCCCCTCGATGATCGCAGACAAGATTGGAAACCTGTCCGTCATGGTCCCTGCCGTACTAGTATCAGGTATCGTCCTACTCGGATGGATAGCAGTAGAATCGCAAGGAGCACTCATCGGCGTCACCGTTTTGATCGGCCTTACCAGTGGATCTATCCAAGCAGTCCTCGCTGCCAACGTTCCGTTCCTGATGCCCGACCTGTCCAAAATCGGGACCAATATTGGTATGACCTTATTCGCTGCCGGTCTTGGACTCTTGATTGGAAGTCCTGTCGCGGGTGCGATTCTGGACGCTCAGTCCAACGGTTCTGTGCTTGATTTCAAGGGTTGCATGGCTTTTGCTGGTTCGACAGTTGTTGTGGGTGGTCTGTTGCTTGCAGTTGTTAGGGTTATGAAGGTTGGGTTTGCGATCCAGAAGGCGTAGATCAACACCTGAAAGGTTAATATATTTGGGATCAATGCCAGCGCTAGTGTCTCCTTTCTCCTCTCTGTTTAAGGCAGATTTTAGCCCACTTGACTAGGAGTATGGAATTAAAAAAGACAAAAAGGGACGCCAGGCGAAATAGAAAGATCTGATGGGACTAGAAATGGTGCATTAGAGCAGGGGAATAAATCTAACTGGCTTAGAAATAATATAGTAGTAGGCGCGTTTCTATTTGTGTTCTTAATTATCTCTCTGCTTCCCCTTGACTTGCCTTACTATATAAGAGGTTGCATGTGAAGTTTATCATTTATGTCAGCCTGCAAGTCAGATCATTAAATCTAGTACTTAGATTTGATTCTACTTGAGATGCTATAGAAATACCCTTCACAAACCGGCAAATTAGCTCTATATTCTAGAGCACTAAACTATCTAAGACAGTTTCAGCACTATAAGCAGAGTCTGGGGTTAATAACAAAACGCGCAACACCGTGCCAATCCTTAATTTTGGGTATCTACCGTGTTTCTGACCTTCTACCTGCTATCTTTTTCTTTTTGTTATCCTTCACCACCATCGTCCCTCACCTGGTATCGCAGCAATTAAAGACCTTACATAATCACCCTCACAAGCTTCATCGCATCAATATCCAACCTCTTCTGCCCACCGGGCAAACGTTCCTACACCATTCAGCGGTTCGACAGATAGCATCGGCATTGAAAAATCATCAGCTAACGCAGGAAGGTCGACACTCATCAGGGATTCCGCGCACGCAGCGTCCGACATACGCGCAAAGGGGTCCCCAAAAGCCTCTTCGCCCTCACCCCGCACTGTGCCCGCATTCTCCCAGAAGTTATCCAGCGTCGTGTCGAGGGTAGACAGCGTGGATGCCGTTGCGCTCACACTGGAACAGGTCCCAGGTAATGGATCAGTAAGTGCGAGAGAGTCGCTCCGGCTCTGCGTGGCCCGCTTCATCTCGCTGATTGTCTGCGTTGCGGCTGCCACGCCGACAGCTAGCTGTTTGTCTGCTACGAGCGGGTTTTTGGAGTCTGTCGGGAAGTCCACTAGGAGGTGAGAGGTCAAAGCCTGCGTCACACCGAGCAGCAGGCATATTTTTGCAGCAATAGGCCCTTTATGTGAGTTTGTAAGCCAGAAGTGGGAAAGGTCGGTCAGATGTGTGACAAGCGCTTCATGGAAGGTGGAGAGGGTGTGCTGCGGCCTGGCAGACATGGTGCAATGGCATTCAATATTTCGGAGGCGTTCAAGAACCATAGAGGCTGTAAAGGCTGCACGACAGGTATCGGACCAGAGGAGGTCATATAGGAGATGTTGTGTTGGCGAAGTGTGGTAGGACTGGTTTTGGAAAATGTCGAGGATTGCGATGGCATTATCCCAAGTGTCCAGGAGATTGCTTCGTTGGAGAATACTGGACGAAGGGCCTGGGATGCATTGGGATGAGATAATTAGCATGGCGGTGTTCATCGATGCTGTGATTAGTGATTGCTGTATTTCTTGAATTGGATTTTCCGTGTGGGCGCCCGGTTTTAAGTAGGATGGCATTGTAAGCTGAAGTGCTTTGAAGGCTTCGCGGACGTCTTTCTGCAATTCCGGTGGTATGGTTTTCGAGATTGGACATATAGCTTGCTGTACTGGTGCTATTATGTTGGCAAGCTTAGCTGCCGTAATGGCGAAAGCTGGGTCGCTTTGGGGTGGCTTATCGTTAGTACTCAGCGTATTGATATTTACATCTGAAGGCAAGGGACAATCAATCTCTTCCAGCCGCAAAGGTAATGTGGTGCCGCTCCTGATACAATAGTCTAGGTTGAGCCGGAAGAAGCACGCCCAAAGCCGCTTCCTTGTTTCTGCAAAATACGGGTTGACACCAAACAATGCAGGATCTCGGTGGAGTGAAATGCTATGTGCAGCCTGCGTCGTCAATCCTAGAACTCCCAACATGGCATACGTTTTGTCCGTTTTAGAAGATGCTATCATCTTGATGATAACTAGAAGGAGAAGCGCCTGAACAGTTCCAATGCATGGCCTTTGGAACGACGCAGAGGAATGATAGCGATGTTCAATGCCACGAGCGAGCTTTTGGCCATTGAGTCTTTCTGCCTCATCGCTCTGCATTGCAATGGCTATAGCCAGGATCAGTTTGGAAACTTCCACGGGATTTATGTCGGTGGGCGATGCATAAACAAGGGCCATTGTATCAGTCAGAGACGTTTCGTCAATAAAATCATAGATCTGGCCGTACGACTGACAATATTCAGCAAGCCTTTGCTCGCAGGTTTTTCGATCAGGTAACAGAGAAGCAAGATTGTTGTCATCTAGTATCATGGTCGATATCGATGATGGAATAGCATTGACGACCCTGACCCAAGCTTTTAGTTCTCCGAACTCTCTTTGACAGTCTGCGAATTTGTCCGTCCTTTCAAGCATCGCCTTGAGCACAGCCAGATCGTTGCATGGCATTCTCCAATTTGTCCGTCCAATTAATTTGGTCCTCACATGGCGTCGGCTGCGCAAACTTTGCTGGTGGGACGGTCTCACAGCCGCATTAATTTCCGTTGTAGTGTTTGCCGCAGGAGTGGAAGCTTCCCTGGGAGATGGAGACGGAGACGGTATGGCAAACGAGGAATTGGAACGGGTTGCGGGTTGCATGTCATTTCCTGGTGTCTCGGACGTCGGCGTTCCTTGGGTCAATGGCTCTCGCGCGAGACTGTAGAAGCAGTCTAAAGGCAATCCTCGAGTCTGACATTGCTGGCATGGAGACTTGCGGTCGCATCGGATCTTTCGATTTCGACAGTGCCAGCAAGATAGAGCTTCGCGATGTCGTGGGCGTTTACGCCCGGCTCGTCGATGCGAGCTGCTCTCGAAGGCATCCGCGCTTATGTTGCTGAAGGTGAGCATGTTCTCGCTGGTCGATGCAGTCAGTCGGGGTGGTTGTCACTCTATCTAGTATTATGTTACTTGTAGCTACCTGGCCTAGCCATGGGCTGGGCTGGCTGGTGTACCTTGTCAGGATCAGATGGAGGGGAGCACGTGCACGTGGCTGCCAAGGCTTGGCGTGACGTTAAGGTGCACGGCTGTATATACCTAGGCTAGGGGCAGGCGGCTTTAGTTTCCTACCCCCTCTCGAGCCCCTTTCACTTAGCTCTATAAAAAGTTATCATGTCACTCGAGCCACCGTCTACTTCACTTTGCTTACGATCCTCATAAAAGCACTGCTTTTTACTATCTAGCTATGCACCTGTTCTTCGCATTTCAAAACACGTCTATGCGAGCCTCACACTACATTCGCTGTTTTATAAGCCGATCACGTGATCGCGACGTCTTTCTGCGGTACTCTCCGTGCAGCATTTGCCGAGAGGACTAAATATTATAGATATGTCCATTATTAGAAAGTGGCATATTATATGAATGCATAAGATGGCTGCATTCTAAAACATGAAGCATCATCTATCTTAACAACGAGTTGCAAGGGCGCTTGTGGTTGACGATGATGTTACGCTGAGTGAACGCTGTCAGCACCTCCCTATATGGAGTGAGAACGATGCTCTGAAGTATGAATTGTGAATGCCCTATCTTCACTCACTTGTTTGTCTCACTAACACTTTCCCTCGTCCTCGAGATTGTTCTCGCAATACCCGCTTCTCTATATCGGTTGCTCAGGTCTCGAACACTTTTACTTCTCTTGACAACTTTTATCAGCATCTCGCCGCAGCAAAGTCGAATTCGATTGTTTTTTCCTTCTTTACCACCGTATTCACTCGATTTTTACAAGGCTGACTTTACAAACCTCCTTTCTTCTACTCTTAATTACCTTTGGTTCTTGGAGTCTCCACCACTAGACCTTGAACACTTCAGGGCATCAACCATCGCTATGATTTCTGGTGGAATCATCTCTCACAATACCTCATCTTCTTAGAACCATTTCAGGTGATGAGACGTCTATTCAATTCACCACTTCTCAAAAGCTAAGCTTGCCTAATTCGCTACAAAAGCTCCCTCCTCTCATCTCGACATAACTTCCATCTTCCAAACACCTCCCCAAAATTGTCTTCCCCTCAATAAAAAGCAAGACAACAGCGCGGCAGCACAAGGGAGCATAATTCATTTCAATACAGGTAAGTTCTCCTTTATTCTCATTCGATATATCAACTTACCTCATCATCACTCATCACTCATCCCCTTCCGCCTTCTTCACCTTCTGTCTCCTCCCACAATGCACAACTACCTGTATACACCACCTTTCCATTCTCTTCTCAAGCATTACCAAACAACAAAGCTCCAGGTTCCCTCGTCCTTGACCCCAGACATCCTATCACCTTCAAAGAACAACTGTACTTCTTCGCCTTACCAGTGTATTCAATCTCACATATTCACTTTCCTGCTTTTGATTTCACCACTACATCTGCGACTTTCAGTCGCCTCACCTTCTTGCCATTTACTAACTCATCAACCTCAGCCTCGACAAAGCCCCTAGAACATCAGCGAACGGATTCAGCAGGAAGAGATACCATGGCAGGACCAGTCAAAAAGAAGCCGAAAATGATTCTATCAAACCCAGTCAAACCCCGATCTTCACTTGGCTCTTTCCCATCATCTTCATCGCCGCTGCCTAAGCAAGAGTCTGATTCTTCTGAAAACGAAGATCCACCAGACGAAATTCACAAGTCACCTTTCGTAAATTCGGTATGGAAAAGAAATGATATTTTGGATCGTGCCAAGTCGGTTCAGGTTAAGGAGCAAGCCGTTCAAAATGGGCTTGCTGCATTGGACAAGTTTCTTCGGACTATGCGGTTGCACTTGCCCACAAACCCCTCTGCTCAGGGACGTATCGATAAAATCTGTAAGCTTCCTCTGCTTCCTCGCCGGCAAGACTCCCATTGTTGGCTAGAATACTAATATTACATAGTAACCGTCAAGAAGAGGAAGAGAAGTCTTGAAGTCTATGTTGGCTTCCTTGGCTCCACCGGCAGCGGCAAAACAACCATTGTAAATGCCCTGCTTGGAATGAAAGATCTTTTACCATCTATGACCGGTCGAGCATGCACTGCTGTTGTTGTAGAAGTCTCGAAAAATGATGTCGATGATATTGCTTCAAGGTTCCGAGCCAGGATCTTTTTCATGACAAAGGATGAATGGGAAGCAGAGCTGCAGCAGCTTTTTCTTGATTTAGAACCCGAACCAGCCGCTATGGACAAAGATGACGATGAGACCGATCCCGACGAGCGGAATGATCGCATCAATCAAGCACTCGACAGGGTCAAGGCTGTCTACCCACATGTCAAAGATATTGATGGGCTAAAGGCCACATCTGCTGCAGAATTGCTTAGACATTCATCAATTAGCAAACTGTTTGGTTCCCCTACGGAGATCGCACACAAATCCAAGACCGGATTTTCCAAGGCGCTGAAAATCTACATTGACAGTGGAAACTCTAATAGTAAAGCTGCCGCGCTCTGGCCCCTAATCAAGCTTGTGAAAGTTTTCGTCAAGGCGCCGATACTAAACACCGGCATCACGCTTGTTGACTTACCCGGCAGCTCAGACTCTAATTCTGCTAGATCAGCAGTTGCGGCTGCTTACTACAAGAAGCTAACCATCACTTGTATTGTAGCAAATGCTATCCGAGGCATCGATGAGAAGAATGTTTGTTTGCTCTTCCAACATGGGTATATGATGCTAACCATTGTGAATAGGCCCACGATCTACTTGAGAAGATGACAAAGCGCAATTTGCAACTCGATGGACTTTATAATCAAGAGTCGCTCTGCTTTATTCTTTCACAGACTGACCGAGATTTTGATAAAACTTCCAAGAATGGTGGATACATCGAAGATTATCCGGAACTGCAGGAGAAATGCTTTGATGATGTCCAACAAGTTTTAGCTGATAAAAAGAAGATATTAGATCTTGAGCGCCAGGCTGAAGAGTTAAGCGGGCGCATCGCAAAAGGCAAAAAGGCTGCTAGAGGATTCTTGAACGAGATCGAAGACATCATTAATCCTATAACAGATGGCCAAAAGCGCAAGCGTAAGCGCCACGCAGCTCAAATCTGTAAGTTCTTCTGCATACTTTTAATACGGTCGGGTACTGATTCAAACCAGTTTCTCAGCTTGAACAGACATCCAGACGGCCATCCGTCATGTCGAGGTTAGCAAGTCTAGAAAAGAACGTAGTCGACGCAAAGGATACTTTACAAACCGAGAAATCCCAAGTTTTGTCCCTCAGAAGACGAAAATGCAACATTGAGCTAGCTTTGTGGCACGCACGAAATAGAATTGCATCGCAGTGCATAAAGTATCGGAACAATCTCTCAGCGGAAGCTATCAGGCAAGATTTTACGAGTTCTCTTCTGGAGATGGGCCGCAAACCAAAGGATAACTTGCAGGTCTTTTGTGTTTCTGCTTCTGTGTTTTTGACTTATCAAGCACAGGATAAACGAATTCAGGGCTTTACAACAGTTGAAGATACTGAAATTCCTGCTCTAAGGGATTGGCTAATGGGAACCACCCTTCATACTCGGGACAAGTATGCATTGGCATTTCTGGCGGATGTTGAGAATTTCGTAGCCTGGGTGCAGCCTTGGATCAATGACTCTTATGGCGATACAAAGATGAGAGCAGAGACAAGAGAGCAGTGGGAGCCTGACCTAAACGGAGAGGTGCTTGAGCTTCAACAGGTATGTTTTCTGGTTACAATGTCACCTTTGAAATGAGATATTATAAAGACATCTGACTGCTTCCCCCAGAGATTTTCTCGGCTTGGTCTTCAGACTGCAACCAAAATGAAGGACCACGTGCAGACCAACATTTATTCTCAAGTACCTGACGCAGAAAAGACAGCCGCCGCAAAAGGACCCGAAATCGCTAAGAAATGGGGAAAGCTTCATTGGCGCACTCACAAAACGATTAACCGTGACAGAGGTACTTGGACCAATTCAAAAGGTGTCGAGCACCACTGGAATGATGACATGTAAGTTCGACTTACTATCTCCATTGATATAGCTTTAATATGGCCTAGAGTCTATGACGTGACGACTGTGTTGCTTCCTGCCTGGACCTCTACTTTCACCGACGATATTCCTAGCGAGCTGGCTTTGTACATTGAGACCGGCACTACTCTTATCTCGGATTTTGCGGAGACTGTTGAAGAAAATCTATTTGGAGCCGAAGTGTACGACGCTCTTCAGGTCCTTAAAGATCATATTTTCCGCACTAAAACCCTCTGGCGCGATCAAACCGAGTCTGCCTTTGACAAAATCAAGAATCCAATGCGACAAACGCATTACCTTGCAGCTCCGGCCGTCAAAGAGTTTCTAGAGCCTGTGTACGCTAAATGCACCTCAGAGAGCGGTAGGTGTTCCTTTCCCTGCCTTGTACCATTTTTAAACTAATTATCTCACAGGTAGGGGACATTATAAACGCAATAAAGCAACCCACAAGTCTCATATGAAGAATAGTGGCAAGCGTATGCAGGAAGCGAGTAACAAAGCCGTCAAAACTGCGCTGGATGAGTTACTCAACACCATCCCTGCTAAGCTGGTTGGAGCATCAAACGCAGTGATTGAACAGATCTTAGGAGAGGTGAAGCTGTTCTTTGAACAAAACACTTCCAACAGTCTCCGCAACAAGACTCGAAAAGTCAAATCAAACTCCAAAATCCTTCTCCAAAAGGACCTCTTGTCCAACATCAATGATCTTGCAAAGTCGTGGGAATCTAACGACCAAGCCCAACAGCACCAAAATGAAGACTCCGAGGATGAGCTCTTTGATGATGATCGTCTATTCGACCTGGAGAAACTTCAGAAAGAAGTTGATGACGAAGAAAACTACGAAACTAGTAGCAGCGCTGAAGATGACTAGTCATCCTTCACCATATGTCAGCCTGCGGTTCTTCCTGATCCTCTGCCAGTTCTGTTATCTCCCGGCCATGCAGTAACATCAGATACGAAGCAGTGCTTTCTCTCCACTCAACAATCTTAATGTTTCTCCTCTCATAGACCTCTGGCGCAATAAAAAGTCTGATTAATATCAGACTGGACACTCGCCAACATTCTTTCGAGCACACAGAAACATTGCCACCTCCTATTATACATGCCTCGCAAGATATCTTTTTAGAATGCCACCTCGCTGGCAATCTTGCGGATACATTCACATCCATTCCATAATACCTCACCACATGATTATATTTCTTATGCAAGTTTTCTTTGACACGGTCCGTTTCTTGATTCACCCAAACCGGAAATCACTACTAGAAAGCTTTTATTACATTCACGTTGTCATTCTGCACCCAAACAGGAACGTTCTCTCTATTCTCCGTTCGAGGGATAGCGCAAGTACACAGTCATTACAGAAACCAATAAAATAATTCAAACCCAGCCTTCATGTTTATGCAATTTTCTCCATGTGATTTGACCTCGCTTTCACTAAATTTCGAGAACAAAAAGTTCCTTTCTCCGTTTTGAACTCGGATGTTGGACGCAGCTGCCATTTACAGCGACATCTTCTACCGTGCTCTTCGCTTATTTATTGAGAAACTCCCCTTTTCGCCCCTCGCTTCTTGCTTTCAATCTTTCTGCTAAATATTCACCAACAACCTCCTTCAAATCTCCAACATCTCTCATTCTTCAATTCTTTCTCTTCCATTGCGACTCCTCACTAGTATTATACCGCCATACATCTTCCTTCGCACATTACGATACTCTCTGCTATGGTATATCGCGCATGCCACAGATTTTATTAATCCGGTAGGTTGACTTCATCTTCGCCTTTCACATTCACCCAATCAAGAATTTCCCTTCAACATCTCGAAGTCAACAAACAGCTATACGTCCCTTCTTGCTCCACGCTCAGAGGTCAATCCTTCAACCCTCATCTCGAAAGCCAAGAAGGTGGAAGAGCTCGAATCCTGTGCATATCTCAAGGCTCGAACGAGTAGCAACTGCAAATCTTGCATTCCTTCTCATATTCTGTCCATCTCTCCACCGATTAATTCACTCTGCCGTTTTGAACTTGTCGATTCACTTTATATCTCTCTTTTACTAATGCTCCGTAGCGAAAGCTGTCATCAAGGATTTCTGCTCTTTCCCACAAAAGCAACTGCTCGTGAATCATCTTAACACCTCTGATTTCAACGTCCTTGCTTCTCAATTGATCTCCTTCGCTTTCAAGTAAGCTCTATTTTCCATCAGCACCTCCTCAACTTCAAATTTTGGCCTCTACTGATATCCTCAGCTTCCAAATTCATTGTCCAACAACTTCAACATCAATATCTCACAAGTTCTCTCATATAATCTCATGCTCCATGGCGGAGCCTGAGATTAAGAGCGAGCCTCGCTCTCGTGCTTCCACCGAATCCGAACCCGTTGCCAATAATATGAAGCAAGATCCCCCAACTCCACAGCTTAAGGTCGATAGTGTGTGGAGCGTTACCCCGGAGCCACCTAATACCGATCCAGTGTGGCGTGACTGTAAATACCTGAACCTCTTGCAACAGATTGAAATCAAAGAGGCTGCGGTCAAAGATGCAGAAGTCTGCCTCAAAGGTATTAAACTAACACTCGAGAAGCATTCTTCGCAGGTCACAAGCACCCAGAACTGGCTCGGCAGAATCCGTAAGTCGTTCTCGAATTATTATTTGCTGGCCTGAATTGCTTTACTAGGTCAGCTCATGGAACATTGCATTACTGACATTATTTAAAGAGAGCATTTACGACAACAAGAAGGAGTGTCGAGTGCTCATTGGATTCTTAGGAGCCTCTGGTGCAGGAAAATCGAGTTTAATCAACGCATTACTCGAACAAGACGACCTTCTCCCAGCCGACGACGAAAAAGCGTGTACGGCAGTCTGTGTTGAGATTGCATACAATCCTAGCGAAAACAGCAACCTGGAGTTTACAGCCAAGGTCGACAGAATTAGTGAGGATGACTGGCGCGTGGAACTTGAAACTTTGTTCAAGGACCTAAAGGACCGGGCCCAGAGTACCGCTCCCTCGCTCTTAAATCATACATGAAAGCAGATACTAAATTCTCCTAGACAATGATGGCGAAGATGGGGAGCCTGACTTGGAGCGCGATATGAGGATTAAAGCTGCTTTCCAAAAGCTCAAATGCGTCTACCCTCACATCAAGACTCCAGAGGACCTTAAAACTTACAAAGTTCAAAACCTTCTTGACCACCCAAATGTCAAGAACATCCTAGGAAAGAGCAAGTGCGTAGCTGATAGTACTCGAGATGGTTTTGCGGCGAAAATCAAGCCTTTCATTGACAGCAGCAATTCCAAAGAAGACGGTGGTAAGTCATTTGCCCACTGGCCCTTGGTCAAGTTGGTTCGCATTCTTGTAAAGTCAAAGATCCTGGAAGATGGCATCGTTCTTGTGGATCTTCCCGGAAGCATGGACACAAATGTTGCGCGCGGAGCGATTGCCGAAAATTACCAAAAACACCTTAAGGTGACTTGTGTTGTTGCTCCTACGCAGCGGGCAGCATCTGACAAGCCCGTAGGTCTCTCACGCAAAATACTATCGGTATCATTCTAACTTGACTTAGGCACAAGACTTGCTTGGAAGAGTCACGCAAAGAACACTACTGCTGGATAATCATTTCTCCAGCGAGAGTTTATGCTTTGTTGTATCAAAAACAGATTCATCGCTCAATACTCCCCGATACATCAAGACGCACCCTAATGTGGAGGAGGCATTATCTTATCAATTTAAGTTGGAGCAAACCCACAACGTCAGGCTGGACAAGGTACGTGACCTCTGCGCTGAGCATAAGCAAACTCAAGTCAGCAGCAAGCTTCTCTATAGCGAGCTTCGCAAAGCATACTCGAAGATACCAGGAGTAGGTAAGGAGCTAAAAGTCAGCCGTCCGAGAAAACGTAAAAGAGATGATGTGGATGATACATCAGGTATGTTTCCAAGCTTCGGCACCTTCCAGCTCCGATAAATTACTGATTATGAGACAAATAGTAAACCAGCCAATTAGCGAGGAAGAGAAGAAGATGCAAAGAAAAGTTAATTCTCTTTCCAAGAGAATAAGACAGGCCAAGGAAAAACTCGATGTTGCTGGAAGCAAGTTATACGATGGCCAAGAAAGAATTAGGGAACTCGAAAATGCCATTAAGCTTTCCCACTCTCTACAGAAGGCAGCATGCATTAATAATCGGAACGAGGTGTCGACAGCAGAGCTCCGGAAAGACTACCAGAATGTCCTAAGGCAGATGGGACAACCAAACAAGAAGCCACTCCAGGTGTTCTGCGTTTCCGCACTTGCATTCGCTGAAATGACAAAAGAATCGAAGCACGTAGAAGGCTTCCCGAGGCTTTCGGACACGGGAATACCATTACTCCAGAGATGGCTTGTTGAGACAACATTGAAAGATCGCGAACGCCATGCAGTTTCTTTTCTAGAGGACGTTGTGAGCCTTGAGCTCTCAATTGCGCCTTGGGTTGCAGATACTTCTGCTGAGTTCAAGATGCTGCTGACCCAGAGAGAGATGATAGAGAAGATCTTTGATGATAATTTCGACACTTTGAAGAAGGTACGTCTTAGCATCTGAGATGGCTTTATTGATATCGTGACCGACCTTGACCACCGCTAACATGGGACATAGGACTTCTCTAATATAAATGCTCGTATCGTTGAAGTTTGTAATAAGCTGGTTGATTCCGGTATCTGTTCGAAGATGCCCAAGAATGAGATCACCGCAGCCAGAGAAACTGAACGCATCGTAAAGAGTTGGGCTCAAAAGCCAATATATTGGTCTACTCATAGAGCTCTTAATCGAAACAAAGGGGAGTGGACAACTTCTAAAGGCATTTCGTATAATTGGAACGAAGAGTTGGTAAGTTCAGACCTAGTGAAATCTGACGTTCCATCTAACATTCATTAGGCTGGGAATTATCTAGAGCCGCTTATCGCACAATGGTCCCGGATTATCCATCACAGGCTTCCAGATGTTCGTAGCAATTACGACTTTGATACTTCCAGACTGGTTCAGAACTTTGTGAAATCAGTAGCAGCTTCAACTACAGATGTATGCCCTGAGATGTCTGAGGCAGTCGAGCAGTGGAAGGGGAGCATCCTCAGAATTCCGGCTCAGATTCAGAAGCATTCCTTCACTATCTTTAATGACAAGATTCAAGACGCTGCTCGCGAGGCGCATCGAACCGTCAAGCCAAAAGTTGAAGACAGTTGGGCTCCTATTTACGATCAATGTGCCGCAGAAGCCGGTAAGTGCAAGCTCTCTGTTCTCCAAAATACATCTGACGGGCTTTCTTAGGCACCGGACACTTCAAGCGTAATCAAGTTACCCATATTAACCATGCGAAGAAGATAGCCCGTCGCATGTACCAACGAGGCAGCAAAGCCATCCAGGCTGGGTTTCTTAATTTATGGGGCAGCCTCCCAGCCAGCTTCGGCGAAGGAACCATACAAGCTTCAACCCAGATGCGCGATGAGTTCGAAACCATGATCATGAACCACAGTCTAAGAGAGGAGACAAACGAGATCAACCAATGCGCTGCAAAGCTCCAGTTGCAGCAGGATATTCAAGCGTCATTCGATAAAATCAAGGCTAGATGGGCCACGAAAATCGTACTCGCCACGGAGATAGAAGAGGTTGATCCAAAGCCTGAAGACATAGATATCGAGGACTTGTTCAACCCAGACGTCGATACCATGTCTCAAAGTTCGGACTCGGAGGGTTCTGAATATGATCCAGGCACCTCTTAGAAGTGGTCACTTTATTCAGCGAACTTCTTACATCGTGGAAGATCGAGGTCCTTGATTTGTTGGCTAGTCTGGAAGATCTAGCATGGGCTGCTCATTTTGCAAAGACTTCTATTCCCGAACCCACGACAGCAAAACGTCTTCACCCCTGATATACAGCACATTTTTAGTAGAAGTAATCGCCATCAGATCGAAAACTCGCTTGACCTCACAGCCACTGAACACGCAGCAAGTAGAAAATATGCTTATCAGGTCGAAGTCTTGCATGGCACGACTTATTCACCGCAAATTCCCCAGAACTTCACCATATCTTGGTATATCTTAAGCACATTTTCCTTGACCTATCCCAAAACCTACACAGTCACCTCAATCCCCCACAAATTAATCCCCAGTTCTTAAATAAGCACGTTTCTTTCCGCCATGTACATACATTCATACTTATGTTCCAGATGGACGGAGCCTATGAAGGAAAGGTACAGTTTCTATAGATAGACATGAATCAAATAAAACATATCCTGGCATCTTCTACGCGGTCTGTGATCTTGCTTTGGTGTAAGTTGAAATCGCTAACATTTTTGCCCCAGTCTTGAGGCGGACGGGGGCCACTTGGCGAAACAGAGGATTAAGAGAACGCTACGTAATGTTTTCAGAATACTTGGTAAGTGGAAGTCGCGAAGGAGGTGTTTCTTCCTCTTATGTTTCATAATGGCAAATGGCTTGTTAAAGGTTTCGCAGAAATGCTGTCTACGCAGTACGACGAACTGAATTTCGAAAGACGATTGGGCTGAGAGAGCCCAAGAATGGAATAGGACGGGGTGGTAGAGGTAGAGGCAAGAGGTGTATTATTTTGAATACAGATGATATTAAGACTGCGAGGAGTTGGTAGATGTACCTTAGGCATGGGGTACACGACCCGTTGTTTAGTAAATGCAATAATGCTATGATAGGACGTCACAGACAGCTGAAATAATCAAAGCGAGCACTATGCGGAGTAGAACGCCTTTTAAAAAGGGAGCACTACTCCGCATGCAAGAATATCACAGAATAAACAAGTGCGGAGTAATGCAGAAACCCATATATTAGTCTGGCATCCATCTGTTCGCAATCTATCTGTCTAATACACCCCCTGCACTAATCTAACAGTACATCTAGGCCAAAGTCTTGATATCACTCGCCTTGATCTTGCTTGCGTCAACCAGCCTCTTAGCCTCAGCAGTCCAGACCTTCTTGATGTCAGCAGCCAGCTTCAGATCCCTCAACTTATCCGCCAACTCGGCCGTCTCATCGGCATCGATCTTGCCTTGGATAGTCTCTACATCAGCCAACACGGCGTTGATAGCAGAAGCCGGAGCCTCGCCCTCAACAAAGTAGTTCGCATCCTTGACACTACCCTTCATTACACGCCTGTTCTTCTTCACAGCAGCCTTGGCCTGCTCCTTGTTCTTCTTGTTGGACTCGCGCTCTATCTTGGCCTTCTCCTCGGCATCCTTCTTGTCCTGCTCTGCCTTGGCCTTTTCCTTCTCCTTGGCCTCCTTGGCATCCCGCTCGGCCTGCTCTTTGTCTAGCTTCTTCTTGTTCTTGCTGGCGTTCGCTTCCTGTCTGAACTGCTTGATGCGCGCATCGCCCGCCATCGCATCGTCGACAAGCTTTCTCAGACGCGCACTATCCTCCGTCTTCTTCTTCTTACGCGCATTATTGTTCTTACGCTCCATGTGGCGTTTCTGATCACGGTTCTCATTGTCATCAGGTACATCCTCATCCTGATATTCAAACGAACGCCAGGAATCAAAGTTATAGAAGAAGTTGTAAAACGCATCCACTTCCTCCTTGGTACTCTTCTCATCCCCAAACTTCGGAACAGGCTGCACCTTGCTGAAGCGGCCTTCGGCTTTGAAGGTGGCGCTCCAGAGCTTGTAGTACTTGCCGTCCTTGGCGGCTTTTTTGGAAGGGGGCTCGACGTCGGCGCGCTCGTCGACGGAATCGAATTGTCGGCGTTTGATGGGGTCCAGGAGCACCTCGGTGGCTTTCTGGATGCATTTGAAGAAGCTGTCGTCTTCGGTGCCGCCGGCTGCGGCGCGCTTGTCGGGGTGGTGCTTGAGGACCTTTTTGCGGTGGGCGCGCTTGATTTGGTCTTCAGTCGCTCTGTAGCGGTATTTGGAGAGGCCGAGGACGGCGTAGTGGTCTTGTTGCTGTGGGGAGTTAGTATGTATGTCTTTCGTATATGGAGGGCAGGGGAACATACCTTCCAGTCCTTGGCATCTCTCAAGAGCATCGATGGGTCTTCGGGCTCGCTGATCTCTCCGCTGTCATCGTCCTCGACCTTCTTAGCGTTCTCTTGAGCTTGAATACGATCATCTTCGGAGAAGGTACGCTTGTGACGGGCTCGGCGGGCGTGCGCGAGGAAGTGAGGACCGACGGGCTCGATGCTGCGTTGGGTAGCTGCGGAGATGCTGCCAATTGCTTTGAAGTCCTTCTCTCCAGACCAGCCCTCAGGAAGGACGGGGAGAGGAAGGTTGACGTTTGCATGGGTAGCCATGTTGAAGATATATCAATATGACTTTCAGATTGTAGCTGAATGTCAAGAGCTTTGGATATTTAGAGAAGATCGCAGGATTGTCTTGCCCTGAGATTTCTCTAGATTGTGTAGCGTTCAATCTCAGGAAGGCTTGAGGTTCAGCCCAAATGCCGAAAAGAAAAAAGTTGGAAGCCATATCTTAGCGTGGCAGGGATATTGGGACTAGCTTGTGAGTCACGTGAATAGGAGCTTTCGGAAAGATCTCGAACTCGACGACTTGTTTTTTATTTTATAAGTGACAAAGCACGAATACACGATTGGCATCTGGCATTCTTGAGACATCAAAGACTTGAATCTCGATTTAAATCTAGACGTTCACCTACCCGATTTCCCCAGCCTTTTACTGTCAGAAACCTAAATATACTTCGACCCATCAGTGCATCATAAGCTTCTGTTACCGACTCCAGCCTCGCATCAGCTACTTGACCAGACCTTTCACCGGCCTCAATCTTACTTAGTATGTTAATATTCATATTCAGTACTTTCGGGTCTGGCATTCGGCGTTTGTTGAGCTTCGATATTGGTTATAGTGGACATCTGGTCTCTTGACATATTGCCACAGAAGGCTAAGGCCTGGTTGAATCCAGTCTGGGAAGTCCTACAGTTGTGTTGATCTTAAACGGAGTAATTAATCACCCCTTGAGTTGAATGAGGTCCTAGTGGATCAAAGCTTTTTTTCCATATCCAGTCAGTTGCATTAAAGTCTGTACGATTCGAAGAATTTGTCAAGTTCGGGCGGTCTACTCTTACAAGGAATCCAAATCATCTAAATTGGATCTCCGCAGATTTTCTGTGCTCTTTGGTGCTTAGAATCCCCTGCGGAGGCCCAAGTTTCATCAAACTCTCAAGTACGGAGCGAATATCTAGACGCATTATATCTACCCTTTCTAAATATATTCTACCTTTACTCTCCCCTTACCTCACTTTCTATCAAATGCCATCTCCATTCACTAACAAATCCTCTAGAAACCTTCTTCTTCTCACTACAATGGCATTAGTAGCTTACCGCCACCTCCTACGCTCAACGCGCATCGCCTTCCAAGGTCCGTTCCCCCACCCACCCCCCTCTTTTATCTCTCCCCTTCACCTCCCACCTCTCTTTTTATCTTCCATACTCACCCCAACAGGTGATCTCCCGCTCCTTAAGGCCGCCCGCCAAGAAGCCCGTAACGGCTTCCTCGCACAGGCATCGCTCCGTCCAGAAGATCCAGCTCTGGGGCTTGCAATAGCGCACGCAGAGCAGGTATCTAAGATCCTCGTAGAGAATATCGTGCAGGGGAAGAATCAGGGAGGTGATAAGTATAGTGAGTCTTACATTTCCATCTCCACTTCTACTTCATTATCGATGAAATGAGGAGAGGCGATTGACGGTGACGTAGAGTTGAGAATACATGAGAAGACGGAACGAGGGGATAATGATACGATTAAGATGCCGAATGGGCAGAAGGTTGTGCTGGATGGGAAGACGTGTGCGGAGCGGTAATGTGGGAGCGGCATGAAGAGGTAGATGTGTATGATAGAAAGTTGAGACAGGGCAGACTGTGTGAGACTTAATCAAGGGACCTTGGTGGTCTACCGGGATTCATGATTGTACTATAAACTACAAATGAGGCCTTTATGCCAAACATCCTTCTGCTACGCCAAACTCCATGCATTTATCAATGCTATCAATTTCCAGCTAAACTTGCGTACTCAACATCGCTTGCCCCAGGTGGAGGAGCAACAGCAGACATATTCGCAAGATCATCCTTTGGTGGTGGCTGAGCATATCCTCCTTGTCCATCACCACCTTCCATAGCGGCCCTCTGCCTTGGATTCGAAAACGCCGACCTCCCTTCCCTTCCAGTAGCTATTCGCTCATCTCTATCCATAGTGCCAATAGGTTTCGGTCGTCCCCACTGTACCCTCAACGGACATCCAGCAATAACAGCCTTTCCCTGCAATGCTTCAGCAGCAGCTTCGGCCGCTTCTCTCGTAGCATAGTTAATAAAGGCGCAATGCGACATGTGCGAGCAGACCAAGGACCGAAGCTTTCCATAGGGAGAAAAGAACTCCCGAATCTTATGCTCTGGCAGGTCATCCTCCACGCCAGTAACGAACAACGACATGACAGTTTGATCACGCGGCGGTAAGATGTCCTGCTCAGTAGGAGGAAGCTGAGCCGCACTGGGGAAGCTCCTCCCACCCCTCGTCCCACCCCTCCCACCGCGTCCCGCCCCAGCACCCCTTGCACTTGCGCCCCCTCCCCTGGTATCTCGTGTTCGGATAGGTCCTGCACCACCTTGCAACGCGGACGCACTCTCTCCAACACCCTCCCCCTCCACCCCACCAATCCGTCTCTGCTTCTTGAAATAAGGCTGGCTGTTCGCTAACCGCCTCAAAAGCTCTCTAGCTTTCTCATCAGTCTTCTCGTATGCCTCAACGCCCCCCCGCCCATCCTCAATTTCCTTCTCATGCTCCTGCGCATAATACTCTCGATTAACCTCGCTCTGCGGACCCGGCGCTACCATCTTCAGCGCGGCATCGCGGACTACAATAGGCAAGCCGAAGCTTAGATCAAGCATGCAGCATTGGCAGCAGTTCTTGAGGCGCGCGCAGGTCAGACAGATGTTGGTGCGTTTGCTGCGCGAGGTGCGGTCGGCTTTCCATTTGAAGACTGTGAAGGGTCGGGTGCAGATCTTGCATTCTTCGCCGTAGTCTTGTTTTATCATTTGTACGTAGGGGTTCTCGGGGAGACAGTTTTCGCAAACGGAGGGGAAGTCGGTGGTTTCCCAGCCGGAGCGGTTCAGGTCTTGCTTGATTTGGGGGGGCATGGCGGTGCCTTGTGAGATGGCTTTCGAATCCGGGTTTGATGTTGGGTTTTGGGTCTCGCGGGGAGGGAGCCGAGAGATTCTTGTGGATCGAACTCTGGGTTGGGGTTGGATGCGACTGGGTATTGAGGTTCTTGGGTTCGTAGAGGGGCGAAAGGCTGAAGGTTCAAGAATTTTGATAAACAGCTCTCGGCTATCAAGTACCTATTATGTGGCTGGTAAAAGGATGTTAATTAGACAATCTGGGTGTGGAAGGATGAATATCAAAATCTCTCTACCAATGAAAGCGTAGAGTATCTCAGAGGAAAGCAGCACAGCCACAAAGATGATACGTTAACGTGTAATTTCAGTATCCCTACCCAACCCTGCTTGTCTTGGCAAAGCGTATTCGGGTTTTTTGACAAGACCCGCTTTAAAGTTGAAGTTCCCCTTGCTTTCCCCTATCGTTCCTGAAATTCATCTCCAAGAGGAAATACATAAAGCAACGACCGCAACCTCTACACCACTTCCCTTCGTCTCAATCAATCAATTCAACTTGTACATTCTCCTCTCTCCTCTCTCCAACAGCCCTCTTTAAATCATCATGGCTCCCGCCAAACTCGAAACCGAGGATCATTCTCGCGATGCTGCTTTCAACAAAGCCATGCACAAGGACTCGTCTGACGCTCAAGGTGGTTTCAGGGCCTTGATGAAGAAGGACAAGGTCGCCCAGAAGGCTGCTGTCGATGAGTACTTTAAGCATTGGGACGACAAGGCTGCAAAAGACGAGACTCTTGAAGACAGAGACGTAAATTAATGCCACCCCCAAATCTGCGAATCTTATAACTAACATCCCACCCAGGCACGGAAAGCTGAATACGCTACCCTCACAAGACAGTAAGTTCCAATTCCGCTCTTTTACACGTTATACTAAACAATTGTAGTTACTACAACCTCGTCACCGATCTCTACGAGTACGGCTGGGGACAATCGTTCCACTTCTGCCGTTTCGCATACGGAGAAAACTTCTATCAAGCCATTGCCCGCCACGAACACTACCTCTCTGCCAAGATCGGTATCAAGGATGGAGACAGGGTCCTAGATGTAGGATGTGGAGTTGGTGGACCAGCCCGAGAAATCGCAAAGTTCTCCGGCGCCCACATCACTGGCCTGAATAACAACGACTATCAAATCGAGCGCGCAACAAAATATGCAGCCAAAGAGGGAATGTCCGACCAATTGGCATTCGTCAAGGGAGATTTCATGGTTGGTTCCCTTTCCCCCTACCCCATTCCCCCCCTCGGCCTCTCTTTTCTTTTTCGCGCACATACTAACTTTAGAATTTCTAGCAAATGTCCTTCCCTGAAGCTTCGTTCGACTGCGTCTACGCCATCGAGGCCACCGTTCACGCCCCCTCCCTCGAGGGCGTCTACTCGCAAATCTTCCGTGTCCTCAAGCCCGGTGGCGTCTTCGGCGTCTACGAATGGCTCATGACCGACAACTACGACAACACTAACGAGCACCACCGCGAGATCCGTCTAGGCATCGAGCAAGGTGATGGTATCTCCAACATGGTGCGCATTTCCGAAGGTATCGCTGCCATCAAAGCCGCGGGTTTCGAATTAGAGCTCCACGAGGATCTGGCCAAGCGTCCTGATGCTACGCCGTGGTATTATCCGATTGCAGGAGATTTCAAGATGATGGGTAGTGCCTGGGATGTTCTCACTATTGCGAGGATGACGAAGTGGGGGAGGGGGTTGACGAATAAGTTTGTTGGTGCGCTTGAGATGGTGGGCCTTGCGCCAGGGGGTACGCAAAAGACGGCTACGAGCATGGCGTTGGCGGCTGATTGTTTGGTTGCGGGTGCCAGAGAGGATCTATTTACACCCATGTACTTGATGGTTGCGAGGAAACCTTTGAAGTAGGTGGGTGGGAAGGGGAGCATGGTTTGGAGTTTGATAGGCTTTGCTTTATAGTTGTGCCTCGGTGAGGAGAGGAAAAGACAATCTGCTTGGCTTTTGCTGCAGATGTGTTTGTGTTAATAGGGACCTAGTAAACTTGAGATACAAGCATACAATACAAATAATAGAGTGCGCTGCATATACAAACAGACAAACAGTGCAAGTTTTAGTTCTCCCTAGACTGAGTTGTGTATATACCATAGTAACTGTGGATATCACAGGATACCGCGTAAATCACTTTATACTAGCTAGTAAAAGGTAGTCATACTCGGTTGGTGTTCCTTCTTGATTGATGTCTAATAGTGGAAACGTGGGAAGCGAAGAGGTGATGTAAATCACATGACTGGAATGATCGGGATGGTGTTATATTATATCGTATTATATCGTATTATATCGTATTATAATATATATGTATATGTATAAATCCATGCATCTATGCACCATATCATAGGTGACCTTTCTTTGAAAAGAGACGGGAAGAAGGGAAAGGAAAGGAAATAAAAGGAAATGAAAAACAGCGCTCGCTTTAGCTTCATATGTATAATGAATCCTGATCCCCTATCCTTCCTTCTTTCTTTCCTACCTTCCAGTTTTATAATAAACACAGACAGTCTCAACACCCATCCGTACATCCTTCCTTCCCTCCCTCTGTATTCCTCTCCCTTCCTTCTCTCATTCATAATTAATCATTAATTAAGCCAGCCAGCCAGCCCGATGAATTCTCAAGCTCCACCAACAGCCAAAGTGCCCCCACCACTACTGCTCCCACCACCACTACTGAGCCTCGCCAGTTTCTTCCCCGCCCTGCCACCAGCGCCCTTCTTCTTCTTCTCCCCTCCATCCCCGCCCTCCCCATCCGCCTGTATCTGACTGAAATCCTTCCACTTACGCCAGCCGTCAAAGTCAATCAGCGCTTGCATGCATCCCCATTCCATGACTTTGCGTTCTAGCCAGACGAAGTTGACAGGCTATACGAGTTGCGTTAGTGTATGTTTATGTTCATGTTTATGTTTATGCATATACATAGAAGTTCAAGGTGGGAATATGAAAAGGGAGCATACCTTAGTTAAGAAATCATTACAGCCAGCCGCCAAAGCTTCATGCCTATCACTCTGCAAACTCGACGCCGTGAGCGCAACGATGATAACAGGCGATTTAAACAACACACTACTGGGCAACCGATCCTCGCCCTCGGCCACGACCTCCTCGCCCCCCTTGCCATTCGGCGCACTGCTACTAGCACTACTGCTAAAAACCCCAATACTATTCAACCGCTCCAGCCTCCTAATCTCCTTGGTCGCCTCCAGCCCACTCATGATCGGTAACTGGATATCCATCAACACTAGATGGAATCCGCCAGCCCGCCATTTCGTTACAGCTTCTTTACCGTTCATAGCCGTTTGCCAGCGCACTTTTAGGCGCTTCATGAATGCTTCGAGGAGTTTCAGGTTGATGATGTTGTCTTCGACGATCAGGACGTTTATGGGGGGTACGCCGCCGTTGAGCATACCGGCAGGTAGGGACGGGTGGTCATTGTTTGCCTTTTTGTATTTCTTAGGCCGGGAGGCGACTGGGCGGGGAGAGGAGACTCGTGGGGGTGGTGTGATGGTACGTTGGATTTGGAGGGGAATAGGGAGGGAAGGGTCTTGTTGTGGGGGGTGCTGGAGGGGTTGGGAGAGGGGGGCGCCGTGGGTGGTGCTTGGGCGACGCTGTGTTCTGACGTACTGGAGTGAGTTCGGGAGTGGGAAACTCGGGGGTACGGTTGCGTACCATTGATGACGGGAGGTTGTTGTGAATGCTGTGGATGGGACTGTAGAATTGTCGGGGACGCGGTATGCGTTCGTCCTATTCGTGGTCGCTCGCGGTGATGTGGTCGTCTGCTCGCGCCTGGTGATGGGAGGGCCGGTACCTGGCCTGTGGTCAGGACTGACATGGAGTGCTGCGTGAGAGCTAGATGATGTCCATTTTGCTGGCCATTAACAGGTACAGCGTTTTGTAAATGTGGTGAAGGTATAATCGGTACTGGCATAGGAGGAAAGTAATCCGACCCTCCTTCCAGTGGTCTTCCATCCTCGTAATAAGACCTACACGGCTGTGGTGAAGGCTTCGGGGTCCTCCTCAAAGGCACATCAATAATAAGAGCCTCACCCACAGCCTGGCCCCCAGGGTAGTACGTATCCAACATCTTAGCCATCGACTCCTCTGGCCCCAGTGTCCTCTCCTGTCTCTGCTCCCTAGGAACAACCCTCAACGTAACATCCGGCGCATCAAAATTCCTGCCCAGCGAATTCGCATATTTCCTCAAGATCATATCCCGCACATCATCCACCAAGTCATCCTCATGAATCGTAACCAGCGTAGCGGAAGCCCCGGGGCGCTTGACCCAAATCTTCCTGCTCATCGTATTCGCACTGCCGGTCGTTGGGCTGTTCTTCGTAAAGGAATCAAGAGTAGCGGCTTGCGACTGGGCCGGTATCTCTAGCAGTGTATTGATCAACTGTGTTTGTCCTGGCGCAAGTAAGCTCTGTCGTCGCGGTAGCTCTGCCGGACGTTGCAGCTTGGAGTTCTTGTTGTTGTTGGAGCTTGATGTAGGTGCAGGGTCGCTAAACTGGGCCCCGACACTAATCCCCACTTCAACCTCCAGTAACTGCTCTTCGGGTACGGTAGGACAATCAGTATTCGGGGTTGGGAAATCGGCAGTCGACGTGCTATCGTGCTTGTTGATTTTATTGTCGCTGTTGTCTTGGTGTTTGGAGGCTTCACTGGTAGTTTGGTGGCGTAGATCACTACTCTGTAAAGTAGTCACTAGGACAGCATCAGACGCTGGCACATCCGCCTCCAAACTCGACCACGACTTTCCAGTGGCAGCTTCACTCCCACTTCCACCTCTTCTACCGCCGTTATTCGTCTCCTCCTCCTGCTTCTCAGGAACCATAAACCCCCGTAATGGAGGCAGTGAAGGGGAGTCTATGTCAATATGTACTCGAGCCGTCTGCGGTCGCGGTGCCTGTCCTCGTGTCGGCGTCTGGGGCTTCTCAGGTGTACCGGTACTTTCTAGGCTGGCTAAGCTGGACGTAGCAGATGCTCGACGCCAGAACTTGAGTCGATTCTTCAGGTCGCCGCCCATGATGGAAGCTGGCAAAGCAGCTCGCCAGGCGGTCGCGTTGTTCCGGTCCTCCAAGTGAAGGTAGAAGTAGAGTGGAAGTGTTGAGAGCTGTCTATAGGTGCACACTGCAACTCGCAGTCGCGTTTAATGAGATTTATCCCAAAGCAGAGCAAGGGCAATCAGTCAATCAATAATGCAACATACCACGCCTGCCTTCCCACGAAATCATTTATTTCACTTAATCGCAGCTCTACTCTGTAGGTAATTATCTTTCTTCCATACTCCGTACTCCGCAGGTAACTTTACAAAGTCGGCATAGCCGGCAATGCAATATCCTACTACACAACCAATTATCCGTAACCTTTCCTTTCCTTTCGCCATCAAGCCAAGCCATGCCCATGCCGACAACATACAAGTGACCCCTGCTCCTATCCCCCTGCCCCTGAACCATGCTATGGAAATCTTGGAAATTCCATGTGGCAAAGCCAGAACGGCATAGCATAGCATGGTATGCCAATCATCCCCAGATTAGGGCCCCTGTTTGATCCGTCAAAGATGAGATGAGGTGGCTAAGCTTTCCCCTATTAAAATTATAACTTGTGATTGATATTGGACTTTTCATATGCGTTACTACTGTATTGTGTACCGTAGACAGGTAATTGGGTATGTATCTACAAAGAACATATTTGGTTGTGTGTTTGAAGGCGGCTGTAGTGGACTTGCAAAGATTATATAGCAGATATCGGATATATTATCATAAGCTTCTGTAATAACTACCTAGCTATAAATGGTCAAGGTTCAGGGGCGAGCTTCCTCTGCTTCTCCCTCCTTTCCAAGAGTTGCCAAAGATATGTTACATATCCAATTAAATGCATTGGGCGAATCAGGAATGGTGACTTTGGATAGTTATATATTGACTATCAGTCCAATCCATTCTGATACAGCTCCACTCCCATCTCAATGATAATGCAATCATCAATCCTACCTCTATGAACAAGCCCCACGACCATATACAGGTCTACCTAGCTCCTATCACTCCATGCTTAAAATACAATCTCAACAGGCATGTGCAATCGACAAAGACCACCCATTTTCATGCCCGCACCCGAAAAAAGACAGTGAAGCCTACTGTCATATGCCATAAAACGCCCGCTAAACCCAAGTATGCGGTCATGTACAAAAGAAACCAGTTCAATGCATATCAGTACTGCCTGGAAGACGAACGAGTTTGTGGCCAAAGGTGTGAGACACGGGGAGATGGTTGTGTTGCACGACTTTGGTTGGGGTTTTGCCGCATGATCGTATCCTCGATGCGTCGATAACAATGGCAGGATCCTCGTAGCTATCAATTTGACAGCATTCTGCCTTTTTTAACCATCGATTGTTAGCGACGGTCGACATGCTGGCTCGTTTCGAGGGGTCGGGATTCAGCATGGTTAGGAGAATTCGGCGTAGAGCTGGAGGGTTGATGTGCTGATCAAAAAATCCCACGTGGGGATAATCTGTCTCTGTGATACCCATAGCGCTCCCATCCGCATGCTTGTCATTCCATTTCTTCCACCCCCGAATTAGATCGTCGTACAACGGGGAGCTTCCTTCCCGAGCCTCGGTCCATAAACAACCATTCGAGCAAATGGTAAGCATAACAACTGCAGCTCCCCACACATCAAGAGGGCGTGGGTCGTATTCACCTAAGACTGTCAGCATCAAGATCCAAGATAATCATCTGCGTTCTTACCATTTTTTTGCAAGACCTCAGGGGCAACGTATGGAGCACTGCCACACATGCCGGGAGCACATAATCGAACCTCTCCCATTTCCTTCCCACATTCACCTCCAGCTGATCTCAAACCCGGATGAATACCACAAAAAACCTCCGAAACTCCAAAATCCGTAATCTTCAGCTTGCTATCCTTTGTGATTAAAAGATTTTCCAGCTTCACATCACGATGGGCAATGCCATTGCTGTGGAGGTAGTTGAGGCCTTGGACAAGCTGTTTGAACAAACATAGGCGATCAATTTGACGATCCGGTTTAGACAAATACCTTTGGCTAACAAGACCGAACAAATCGCCCTGATCGCAATACTCCATCACGTGGTTCCACCGACCGTTGTGGGTGCACAATCGGAACGTTTCCACGATATTCGGGTGGTGCACACTTTTGGCGATAGAATATTCAGACTTGACTTTTTGCTCGTAATCTTCCGCCTTTTCGTTCGATGACTTGCCACGGAACTCTTTGACTGCATAAACCTCGCCACTGCAACCTTTCCGGTTCATAAGCTTGACTTTGGACGTAGCCCCTTTACCAATACTCTTTCCACGTCGACCAACCAGCTTGCTCTGATCGGAGAATTCCGAATATAGCTCTGCTACGTCCACAGTGAAATCGTCCGGAAGACTTAAACTCATGCGCCGTGACTTAAGACCAATACCCGTCTCGGCTGGAAGTGCCCATATAGCTCTCTCGGGAAGCTTGCCACCGCTCGCATCTTGTGGGTCTGGGGAAGGGCTTATAAGGTCTACGCTTGTGGCACGAACCCGTGGGTGATCGTACTTAGTTTCTTTGTCTGGGTGTGCGAAAGAGATCTTGTGCTTCGAGATCTTATCTCGAATACTGAACCCGGTTGAGGATCGGCTCTTTTTCTGATTGAAAAAGTCGTCTGTCAGAGGTTCTTGCACTTGTAGGTGTTTCTGGGGTCTGGCAGCTTCCTTGTCTATAGACGATGTAGGTGACGGCGGGGTATTTGACCGTGTAGTATCCGGTGTTGTATTTGCAGACACCTTCATTGACAATCGACGATGCTCCTTGCTGAGATTTGAGTCTGAACAATTCCCCGGCGCATTCCCATCTGCCTGGGCCAAGGGTGCAGTGTCGGAGTTCGCACTTTGTGAATTGGACCTTTTGAAGAAGCCCGACATTGCTCTTTTGACAGAATCCTTCGAAGACCCCGGCCTCCGCAAAATTGGAGCCTTGGGGATGGATTGTTCGGTTGTAGGTGAAGCATTCTTTTTCGAGGCGGAAGGTGGTGGTGTGGCTTGGGTTTCGAGTATCAGCGGCGGGGCCGGTATCGTACCGAAAGCGTCGGGGTGTTCTTCATCTGGCTTTATGGAAATGTTCATTCGATCTTGGAAGGGATGAGGCTGGTGGTTGTCTGTAGGTGTGACAGGTTCGTTCGTCGCGGCTTCGCTGCTGGTTTCGTCCTCTTCCTCTTCCTCTGGAATGGGGCTTTTCAGGTCGAGAGGCCGCGACTCAGGCGACGAGCTGTGATTCGAATCTATGCATTGCCAGTCGGAGGAGTGTAATTTTGGAGATTCGTCGTTCGTAGGAGTGTTGTAGGAGACGGAATTAGAGGAAGGTTGTGCAACCTGCGGGGTTATTGGGGTGGTGGTCATGGTGCGTTGCGCCGCCAGCCCTGCAATGGCCAAGTAACTAAATAATAGATATGGATTGCGGGCAATTGCGAACGATGGTGGATTGTCCCTGATAACGGATTGTCAATTACGAAGCAAAAACTGATGGTGAGTCCAATTAACATATACGGCTGTCACCGACTTTGTTGGTTATTGTCCTGGTCGGCCGTCCTGTGGATTCAATAGCTGGGAATGGTTCTCGTCTCGTCTCGTCTTGTTCACTCGCTCGCTCTCTTACTCGCTCCAGCAACCCGAGTAAAGGATATTAGAGTCGACAGAACGACATGTGTGCACAATAAAATATGGCCTTGTTGAAAAGTTGTTTTTAAATCCGTGTTTCGCCCAGCATTCCTCGCGGGAGTTACAAGGCAGGTAGGACTTGGCGTGGAGATGGGGATGGGGGATGGGGATGGAGAAGTACGGATAGAGGAGGGTTGAGGGGAGAGTTGGAATTGTAGTATGTATGGCTGAGGCCGAAGCGCATACTGTAGCTACTGTACTGTACGGTACCTTGGTGGGTAGGGTAGTAGTGCACATTAGACTCTAGTACGCCCTGCCCTGCCCTGCCTATGCCGAATAAGAGGCCGTACCTTAGTGTGGGACGCTCGCCAAGATGCCGCCTCAGAAGCTTCTCTTTCCCATTGTTCTTATTTCCATAAGGTAAGGCGGGTGAGGTAAGGTAAGCAAGCGCAAGCCTTGCCGTGGTTCCGTACTGCTTTGCTGTATACACTCGGCTATCCTTCTTATGGATCTCCAAGAATAACCAAGACGGCATGTACGATGTACTTGGTGCACCGCATTGGCAAGTAGTGTCAATTGAAGAGGAAGATGAAGAGGAAGATCCCAATGGATCCGACCTCGCCTCGCTATATGTGAAGCCAAGAGATTCGTGAAGCTCTTGGTCCAAGTTCATGGAGGACAAGGCGCAACCGGAGTCTCACAGTATGGCCATAAAGAGCTTCCAAGACCTTGGCGGTGACTGCCGTACGTGCTTCCTCTGGATACCACACGGACGACTCTATGTAGGGAATGTTACTATCAAATTCCTCAATTCTTTTCTAACCACCGCCGCAAGCCAGACGGTACATCGATTGACTTTTCTTTTCCACTTCTTCGCGCCCAAGCTAACACGCGAAGCGCCGATAACTCCTCTACGGCCCTTTACTCCCAGTTTACGCCGAGGACGCGGGTACGTGGATCGACTCGTTGAGGGGCTACACCCAAGCTGCAGCTAGAAGACTACTTGAGCAAGATTAATTGCTTTGGCTGGAGGATGGGATGGGACATCTATTCTCGTCAAGTGGCAGGCTGGCTTGCTTGTATGGATGAAGGAAGGAACAGATACGGTAGCAGCACTCTATAATGGATACTCCAACCGGCCACAGAACTTCCAAAAGGGCCATAATCTCCATTTTTACGATTGTCATTTATCGTTGAAGCAGGTACCGGAGGCCGACAACAGATACCAAGGAATGGCTTTCAATAATGTGAGGTCGTGCAGCCATAGAAGGATTATGGAACACTAAACCGACGCAGCCAAGAATCCAAGAGGAAGCACAGTCGTCTTGGAATCCAACGGTCAACGTTTGTTTGCCGCATCCCCATCTCTTGGAGTCTTGGAAGTTTGAGATTAGCCAATCTGTTCACGAGGGGTCGCTGGCGGGGTTGTCTCAGTGACGTGGGTGTCAGCAGGGGAGAAATACAGTCAGTACAGTACAGTAAGTCCGTACAGTACCAGTAGTTCCAACGACACTCGAAATAAACAAAAGCAGGCATTCACACTTAGAGAGTACTCGTGAAGTACCTACCTGCCTTGGCTTGCTTCCTCTTTTACCCGTTCCCATTGCCTCGAGCCAATAATAGCCAATACCGGCACTGCTATCGACATTCTGATCTACCACTACCTACTGTAGGCGCAGGCAAGAAAAACGAGTAAATATTCTATTTCCCGAATTATTGTAGATACAGGATGCCGATACAGTAAGGTAGGTCATCTCCCACCATCTAAGGCTGCCATATTCTGTTCTTCTCACCTCATCTCTCATAAGCTTATCTAGCCGTAATCATAATTTATGATGGTGTATCTCAAGCGGGTTCAAAGGCCAATACGGTATAAGTTTTCCCTGTCCTGTCCTGTACGGAATTGTACCGCATTTTAACCGCCAGTGCTGTACCAAAAGCCCCAAACGCCATTTCAATTGACAGGTGCACGGCACTGTTCCTCAGGGGGTGGGGTGGAGTGGAGTGGAGTGGGGTGCAGTGGGGTGCGTGGGGTCAAAACCAACAACACCTTGTCTGCATCTGCAGCCTCACTAATGGAGCTTATTGATAATATACTCGTAGTAGCGATGGTGATGTATATAAGTTTAAAATTACCTAGAGTTCACATCTTCAAACTTCACGTCGCTTCTTTGTTCTCTTCACACTTCTGATTGAGACTTTCAACATGAATTCCTAGAAGTAGATACCACGGCTATCGTGCCTCCAATCTGCGCAACATGGATTTTGCCCTGTCAGAAGACCGATCCCGGGACACTGAACCCCAACCCACTGAACTGGACCTTGGGAAGCCTCCAAGTACCTATCTACAGAGTACAGTACAGCTTCAAACCCGCGCTACGCCCCCACTCACCCACACACATTCATGAGGTGATAGACACTTACCGGATCTTTTTAAACCAATCTCCTTCTGTCCTTCTCTACTTTGAGAAAACGAAAAACGAAAATCGCCGGTGTTCAGTGGCTGGCTGCACCGACAGGCTCTTTGCATACTGCACAACGCCAGATGCAGTCATGTATGCAGAGATCGTGCATACGCAGCGACCTTATCGACCGTTGGGAAAAGTTCCTTCCTTTTCCCCTGTTGTACGGAGGAGTAACGCATCCATTCTTCCGCGTCCCGTGATCTGAGCGAATTTGCACTTTTGCATCCTATACTTCTTCTCCTTCCCTCCTTTTCTTTCTTGAGATGATTGTGTTCCTTAGGACCGTACCGTAGATTCAGTGATTTAGACTACCCCAATCAGTGTCGGGACAATAGCAAGGCTATACTGTAGCTTTTTGGTCGCCATTTCCTGGGCGTGCGAATAGCTAGACAATAGGTTGATGCATTGATGAAGTACTGTAGTTGTTAGTAGACTTCCGTAATAAGTTCTTCAAGAAATCCAACCTCCTATACCGATACATTAATACGCCCGAATAACAGCTACGGTAACCTAAAGCTCACTTTACCTGAGGTACAGTACCATAACAGCATCTGTATCATATCCCCGCTACGCCACTCAAGCGCGGTCATGTCACGAGGCGCCCCAATACGAGTATATTTTGAGGCATTTACGCCGAGTGCAGTGGAAAATCTACTTCCCCACTGTACTCCTTATATACATTCCAATCAAATCAAACCCCCAAACAAAACACCAAGCGGTGAGTTTCACTTCCCCGGATACTACTGTATCTCGCGCTGCTACTTTATGCAGATCGGTTTCCGTACAGTACACAATTTGATCGCGTGAGTGATGTTCGTTTTTGGGTTCCGCGTCATACTGTATGCACCCCACGCCAGCCTGCTTGGGGATTTGATGAAAGCAAATACATAATCGAGATCATACAGTATGAAGAGTTTTCACTCTGCTGCTTGCTTGCTTACCTGCATTGCATTCATACTGTAGCTACAGCAGCCAGCTTCCCAGCTTTCTAAGTCCTGTATACGATCTTCGCGATCTCCAGGGTAATTTTGTTTGGTACGAAGTATTTATTTCAGCAGCGCCTAATACTGTATTCCCACGTCAGCTCAGCTCGGGGGGGGGAGAGGACGATCATGTACTCCGTACTGTACAAGGACTTGTTTCGTTTCGTTTTCATGCCTGGTACTTTGTAGAAGCAATATGTTCACGATCATCTATAGTACCTCATTATCTTTATCCCGAGTAAGTCCGCTGCTGAAGTTCCAAGTGCGAGGAAGGCAGATGTCTATTGTACATTCATTCATCCATACAGTACAGTACGTGTGAAAATGCCCTTCCTCGTGCTAGGTATCATACAGTATCAAAGCGGCACTCATTACCAACTTCACTCCACTCCACTCCACTCCACTCCACTGCTCAACGAACCAAGACGCTCAGTGCCGCTTTGTCTGTTCACCGCGAGACGTCTTTTGCTGGATTGAGCCGCAAGTGCTGCCAAGAACGGAGCATAGATTGCCAAGATAGCCAAGGCACCACGACTGATGCAGTTTACGAGGCCCTTGGTATCCTTGGTCCCAAGAATCGGGATATGTCTGTAATCAAGCATCAACATCCCGACTCGACGAGAATCTTCGGTCCCTCGTCTCAACGCCTGAATGACTCTATAATACAACCCATCAAGCATGCCCTTCTCCATCCTCGTATGCACGCGTCAATTTTACCTATGTTCCAGTCAGTGTTGTATCTTATCTTATCCTGCATATCTAGCATCTACGTATACTTGGCCATGATATGGTGTAGGAGCATAGCCTTGACTCTCGAGTGAGTTGTCGAGTCAAAGTACGGACTTGCATAGCTCGAGGGACTGGAGAAAACGAGTGTACGGGTGGGTATATTATGATGCGTCTGACTAAGTGTGGGAAACGCGTTACTGGTTATAGGCGGAACTTTTTATTTTAAAGAGGGTCTCCATAGGTCTTGCTCTGCCCTGGCAGGGGCTTGGGGAAGAAGGCGTTGGATATATAATGAAGAGTTTACTAAGAGTTGTTTGTATTTTTTGATTGTTTTGAAGCGAACTAGGATCGTTATACAAGTCTAGTCATTAGGACTATTTCTAGAATATTGTTAAATCATCTTTTCTTTGGGGAATTCCCAGTGTAACGTTTGCCCAGTTCCGAAATTCTACTATACCAGACAATATTTACTCCGATATCTTGACATTCAAAACCAAGCCATACCACTTCTCGCCAGTAACGGCAGCAGCTTCTCGGAAAGCCTCTTATACATATCCATCATCCCAACCATGCCCCTCCATCTACTAGCACACCAATGAAGCAGCACTAAACACGAGCTGGAAATCTCGAAAATTTCCGAATAATCAATCTGCTGCGCCACCTCATTCAGCGTCCCAGCGTCCAGCGGCGCCAACGACTTCACACGCCCGTCGATCGACAGCTGCGCGTGCGCCATGATGGTCAGACCCGCAAGATATATATAATGCGCGCTCATGATCGTCATGCCGTACAAGCCCAGCGCCGAATCGTGCGGCGCGCGTACGATGTTCCAGTACGTGCGGATCAACTGGCAGGCTGAGCGGTAGTTCTCCGAGGGTATGAGGCGGCGGGCCGAGGGATCCAGCTCTGCTTCTTTGGTGTCGGACAGGGCGCGGATAAGCAGCGGTTGGAAGAGGATGATGACCGTGGAGTGGAACGCTACGTCGCACGTCGCCGTCTCGATATCCGCTTCCGCCCCATCGACCTGAATCTCCTCGAGCCACTGGCTCAGCGTCACGAAGCGCTGCACGAACCACTCTAGCGAGTGCACCGCGCTGTCGGTCGGCAGGAACAACTCCCCGTATATCTCGCCGCGCAGGTAGAAGATCCGGTAGCGGTGCGCCGTCAGCCCTTGCTCGGCCCCAGGCGACAGCCCGGATATCAGCGTCCCGGGATAATCAGTACTGATAATGTAGCCGGGCAGGTCGCACGGGCGGCCAAAGATCTGTGCCACGATCTGCTCGATGGTGTAGAGGCTCCAAAAGGTGTTCTTGCGCAGCGACAGCGAGACGGACATGTCGTTGCCGGCCGAGTCTTGCGGCTCGGCGTGGTAGCCTAGCTCGACGCTGAGCCGGCACGCGTAGTCGAGCAGCTTCCAGATGTCGCCTTTGCGCGGGTGGAAGAGGCAGTAGAGGACTAGCAGGAGCAGGGCTTGCAGGGACTCGCCGGACACGGAGGATGTGACGGCTTGCACGTGCGGGAGGCCGGACTCGTAGAATTCGGTGTCGCTGGCGGATAGGTGGGTCATGTAGCGGGATTTGTTGGCGCAGGCGATGGCGCAGATCATGGCGATGCGGAAGTATTGGTAGACTTTCTTTACTGGGGGGTTTGAGGTTCCTGGGGGAGGAGGTTGTGTGTCGTGGGTGTTGGAGAGGTAGACTTCTAGGTCTGCGTCGAGGGTCGAGGCGTCAATGAAAGGATAGAGCCTGTTTAAGGAGGACATGTAGTGCCCGATGAGAGTTAGGATCATGTCCTTTGACGGGGTGACGGTGCGTGTTTTCGCCACTTCTATAGGATTGTTGATGCCAACTTCGCTGTTGGCCGTGTATGTCTTCAGGAGGCCATTTTGGGATTGGAAGATAGATGGATCGTCAAATGTCCGAGAGGCGAGACCCACGGTGAGGACAACGACGGAACTACATCCGAAGAAACGAGACGTAGACTCTGTTGTCGTACAAAGCATGAAATGCTCATCATATGTTTCAGCTTGAGGGATGATAGGAGCCGACGCAAAATTCAATAAGTCTTGATTTGCATGTAGTCTTGCTGGGATGATCTGAGGTGCTGAGTTTCCGGTAGTACTGGCCACGCCCATTTTGCGTGTCCCTCTGAGTTCCTGGGCACGAGTCAAGAGAGACAACACGTAGCTAGATTGGTAATTTAGAAACCCCCTTTCTTGAAATCCGAAAAGGCTCACCCACCTTCGAGGCAAAACTTGTTGAAGCGAGTGATCGTAGAAAGAATACTCGAGGTCCGCCTTTTGACAAGTCCTGCAGGATGAAAGATTCGTGTCACACTTCCTCCTCAGCCTTTTGCATCTCTGACAACTTGGAAGTAGTTGGAGTGCAGCATTGAGCTTCTCATCGAACTCGGCAGTGGCATCCACATCTTGCGGAATCGAAGACGACTCTTCATTGCCGGCACTATTGACTAAATGAGACCTACGTTTCAACAAGGGCAGCAAGGTAGCCTACTCACCTGTTCTGAGAGGTAGCCATAGGAGAAGTTTGATATGCTACGCCTGGAGATATCACGGATAAGTGAAGATCGTGGTCGTGACGGTTTAGGTACTGGGCCAAGATTTCTACATCGCTAGATCAACCCACCAGACCGTGTTCTGGGGAACTGGTCGTAGTATAAGTACACATTACCGTATCTATTACTGGTTTGGCTACGACTAACTCCGTCCGTAGCAGAATGGACGACAAAGGTGGGAGTTAAGTGAGCTTACGCAATCCACTTCAGTCTAACTTTGACTTGGTCACAGCACGAATGCGGCCTTTAGCAGTTAATAGACTTAGTGATTTGTAGAAGTTTGATTATTCATATCATGATTTCTTAGGAGGCAAACGAAGCAGCGACGATTCCATTGTATGGAGAATACCCCTGACCAAATTCAAATGCGGCAATAAATGCGCATACAACTCCCACTTAATTTGCTTTAGGTTGCCCTTTGATCTATACTAATTTTACATATATCATCTGAGTATTCCTCCTACACACTACTAGTCATAAAAGTACAAGCAAGTTACATTGTTCCTCCCTAAACGATATCCCAAAAGTCGTGATCCTCTCTCCAGGACATCGGATTCCCGGCAAGATCATCATCCCAGTTGAATAAAGAGGCATCAAACTCTTGATAGTCATCATCTATGCCGACTCTAGAGCTTCCAAATCGCAGTTTTTCTGGATGTGCTGTGTCCGGATATATCAACCTGGCAAGTTCAGCATCCTGGGCTGGGCTAAATGGCTTGTCTGTCGAAGTAGCCTTGGTAAACACAGCATCTAATAACGGTCCTAGAAGTTTCTCATATGTGCCTGCATACTTTGAGATCTCAGACCAGCCTTGAGCTGAAAGTGCCAGTAGGTTCACGGTGAAGAGCTTCGTCATTTGGAAGATTTCTCCTCCACTCCACCTCTCACGGATCGCCTCATATGCATATCGCAGACAAAATAATGGTACCATGGCGTATGAGAATGTATGATGGCAGCCAGCCATGGGCGTCGGAAGAATCCAGAAGTAATATGCTGCTGATATATTTGCGCAGAGCCACATGCAGCCTCGAATGCAGTCAAAAGACTTGAATGAGACGGATAGGGCATTCTTGGGGAAGGTCGGTACAGGTCAGTAATTCCCTGAGAGAAGGTCATTTCGGCAAGGGCGTGGTCCTCTTCGGGTAGAACTGATTCATACCGAGCACGGAGACTCAGGTCAGTGACAGCTAGGCAGTCCAAAATACCCGACGTCTCATGTCAATTGCCGCGGGATCTAGCCCTGCCGCGTCAGATACCTCGCGATGCAATCCAAGCTCCAGGCAAGAACGCATAACAACACCACTGAGAATCCACACGTTTGCGTACTTTGGATTTATCAAAGCATACTGAAGTATAAGCAAGGTAGATTGAATCTCGGCAAGATGATTCGGGAAAGAAGCCTTTCTTGAGAGATGCTGACTTCCTTCTGCAAACAAAGAACCAGAAAAGGCCATACAACGCGCTTCGTGTCCACTGTTGGCGCTGCCAAGGGTCGATGAAATGGCAAGAATTAGATACACAAACAGAAAGTCATAATCAGGTCCGACTGATGGATCTGGCGATCCTTGTTCAGGCTTCGGCGTTTTCTCAATCGCTCGATCCATGTGCTCCCAGATCGCTGGCTCGTACAAGAATGGATATATTGGCAAAATCCTCTGCACATATCTCTTCACTAGGCTATGAATGACATCTGCTGGAAGACTGATAAGTATTGTCAGATCTGCTTGGGCTTCAATGGGCCGCGGCCCAATTGGACTTTGAATTTCCGTCGTGTCTGCCCTGTCTGATAAATTTGGTGGGTTTGTGTATGAAGGAGTAAGACCCATTCTCACGCTTGCCAGCATATCCCTGAGACAGGTTATCGATGGCATGGTAGAACTTATAATGCTCAGCACATCATCACTTGCCATAATTGCCTCTTTCATAACATCTCGTGGATACCTTGGGTGCGCGGGTACGACGCTTTCGGTCTCCATTATTGGAACAACAACGGCATATTCTCCATGTCCAGGAGAAGTCCGTGCTTGTCCTTTTGGAGAGATTTCATATTCAAGCCCTTCTTTGGCCATCTCGGTCTCAAGCGTGGCAATCTCATGCTCAAGAAAATGTACGACACTTCTTGGGATTTCAGCGTTCCCTTTCGGGTTGAATCCTGTGCATTGCGCTCCTGCAACCTTGCATCTTGAACAGGTTGGGACGACACGATCACACTAATCACAGTCGTCAATTGACCAATACGGACATGTCAAAGAATAATGAGGGTACCTTGATTTTCCTTCTACGGCACCGCGCGCAGGAAAGCACTGTTCTCAAACATTCCGCAGGCATTGCGGATATCTCCAATCATACGACGCGGGGTCTCGTAGTAGTTGATGAAGAAAAGGGTGCAGGGAAGCAGATAGAGAGAAGCCGTTCCAGTCATCTCCAAAAATTACAAATCGGCGGAGGATGTCCACATGAAGCTGGAAGCAATGCTTGTCTTTCTTGCTATGAGTAGACTCGGGACAACCACGGTCGCTGTTCTCCGTCGTTATCAGTGGGGGTAGAAGCTCTAGTTAGTGTTGCGGGCAAGGTTTACTAGAGCCCCGAGTCCTCCCTCACCTTCAGTCACCTGATCTCGATACTCTTCTTCCAGTTCACTTCAGTTCATGTTGACATGCACTCACTTGAAAATATACCAAATCCTACTTTTCTGTGTTTGTAACTCATACTTGTCTAATTATACTGCAAATATGACTAAACAACTATTCGCCGACTTAAAAGTCAACTCGACACGGGTAATTGCAACTATTCATAAATCGTGCGAATGGGGATGGTAAGTTTACAAAGTCTAATATGAGGAATTATCGTCTAACGAACTCATAGTACGCCCGATGGCGGCATGAGTAAGTGTCTACACTCTTGAGAGAATTTCAAAGTTGCATTGTCTAATTGGAAAATTTAGACCGCCTCACTGCCAATGATGATGATAAAAAGGTTAGAGACTGGTTCATTGCCAAAACTAAAGAATATGGATGCTCACATAAAGTAAGTTCACTTTGTATACTCATATTGTTTCTCTACTGATGGTGGAAGATTGATGCTATGGGCAATATCTTCGCTGTTCGTCCTGGCCAAAACAATAGTCTACCTTTAATCGCAATTGGTTCCCACTTAGACACGCAACCCACAGGTGGTAGATACGACGGTATTCTTGGGGTTGTGTCTGGAATGGAGGTCCTACGTGTTGTGCATGAGAACAATATCATCACGTATGTACCCCTCGCAGTTATAAACTGGACGAACGAAGAGGGAGCCCGCTTTCCCCCGTGTATGCTTGGTTCCGGAGTTTGGGCTGGTCATTTCACAACGGAATATGGCCATGCTCGTGTCGATGGTAAGGGGATAAAGCTCGGTATGGAACTCGAGCGGATAGGATATATCGGCTCGGAGTAAAGCAGTTTTGAAACGAATCCTATTCTTGCCCACTTTGAAGTTCATATCGAACAAGGACCTATTCTCGACAAGGCTCAACTTCCAGCGGCTCTCGTAAAAGGCGTTCAATCAATGCGGTGGTATAGTCTGAAGATCACTGGTCGAGAAGCGCACACTGGATCAACTCCAATGGACAGACGAAGCGATGCATTGCTGGGTGCTGCATTGATGATCGTAGAAGCCAACAGGATTGCTACGACCGGCGAGCTCGCTGCCCGTGGTGCACGTGCAACTATTGCAGTAATCAACTCTGGTCCCCAGAGTATCAATACCATCGCCGGAGAAGTTCAGGTCAACCTTGACCTTCGGTCGCCCTTCGACGAGGACGTGGTTGAAATCGAGAGGTTGTGTCGTGAGGGTTTTGAGGCAATAAGCAAGCTTTATGGCCTCAAGCTGGAGTTTGAAAACTTATGGACATCACCAGCAGTGAACTTCGACAAGACTATGCAACAATGCGTACGTGAATCTGGGCTGGAATTAGGCTGCACAATGGAGCTTACGAGCGGTGCCGGACATGATGCGTAAGGACTTCCATTCCAATTTATGAGGCAAGCTGACCCAATCACTTTAGGGTATACACGTCGAAACGTGTCCCAACTGCTATGATATTTGTCCGTTCGAAAGATGGCGTAAGCCACAACCCGGCTGAATACTCCAGACCGGAAGACTGTGCGGCAGGAGCACAGATGCTCCTTGGTGCTTATCTCAGATATGATGATCATATTCGTCAACAAAATTCAACTTCTGTTACAAATACTGCGGATGTTGTAAAGGAACCAGTAAGCACGAGCTATACAGAACTTCAAGCCTCAGAAGTTTCAGAATAAAAGGCCATGGAGCAGGATTCGTTGGTACACAGTGATGAGCAAGGGCTTGAAGTTAAGTGAATGGAGGTAAATAACACAAATATTATACAATGCGGGCGGTAGAACTCCTTATATAAAATATAATACATGTGCTTAGAAATTTACTCATAGAGAAACATGTTCAAACTACTAGGCTATGTTGCACTGCAGAATAGCAAAGGTCACCTCGAGTTTCTCACCACATGATGCATTAGTGTCTCAGTTCTTGTATTCGATTGCAATCAGTCAAACTAAATTGTCTGGATGGCCTGCCACAAAGCTTTCTATATTGCTGTTGATAGTGGCTTGAACATTCTTGATACTCGAGTCCGCATACCATGCCACATGGGGAGACAGAGTTAGATTTGGAATACCATCTGCGAGCAGCGGACTTGTTGAAGGAGTAACAGGCTCGGAAGCAAAGACATCGACAGCAGCACCGCTAATCCAGCCATTTTGCAGTGCTTTTACCAAAGCGTCCTCGTCGACCACTCCTCCCCGAGCCACATTCACAAGCAATGAGCGACTGTCCATGAGCTTCAGCTCTGCCTCGCCAATCATGCCTCGTGTCGAGGCATCCAATGGACAACACAGAATCAAGACATCACTTCTTTGCAGTGTTTGTGTGAACTCCGTTCTTCCGGGTCTCGTCGCATTTGGGGGTGTTCCTTTTCGATCAGCAATAATAACTGCCATTCCCATTGCTTTGGCCATGTCCTCGATCCGTTTCCCTTTCGTTATTAGTGCCAGTAGTCTCAGGGATTGGAACGCAAGCTCACCTAAATTCCCATACCCAACGATACCCATCGTCTCTGATTTACATGTCCGTGGCACACCATTGTATTTATGCGTGCCCGTCTTCCTCAGAGGCCATTCGATCCCTTCCCGAGTCAAGTTATGTAATTCGACGACCCTTCTTTTGGCCGAGAGATACAAAGTAAAAGCATGCTCCGCGACAGCCTCCGCAGAAGCCGAAGGAATGTTGGAAACCTTAATCCCACGTTCACGGCATTTCTTAACATCCACAATATCAAATCCGGCAGCCATTACTGCGATTAATTGCAGGTCTGGACACTGGGCGATTGCGGCATCTGGGATCTTGACTCTGGTCGAGATAACAATCGTCGCATCTTTTATTCTCTCTGCTACGAGCTCCAGGGGCGTATTGTCGTATCCTTTATACGTGTGCGCGATTGTAAAAATGGGTGATGGGCAATGGCACTCGTCCAGACAGACTATTCTATGTTCTTCTGATGCCATTGCTGTGGATTCCCAATGGTTATAACTGTGAATAGGTAGGTAGGTAGGAAGGAGGAAGGAATTCCTAGTCTTTAATGACTCAATGATGCTACCAATGCTACAATAAAGAAATATAGGTACTTCTAAGATGAGAGAAGAATATCTTGCTTCAGCTTTATTTTGACACGAGCTCTCGACCCAATAGTCATTTTGATCCAAAATAAAATAATACTTAGTCCGTAGAACTAGCACGGAGATCCGCGGTGGGCCCGATGCGGATGCAGGTCGGATACGACGGCGGCGGTTAGAAAGACCGTGATTGGATGAAAAAAAGGATGGATTGTCTAGAATGGGTGCTCTCAGGAGTCAGGCCGAGTAAAAGATGGGGCAATGAAGTTTGCGGTAATACTCAGTATTACTTTGTATTTTGGCCTTTTTCTCGCCCTGAGAGCCATGGGCTAGGATCGAGGTACACGTGTCAGCACCCTAGGATCATCGTAGAACATTCATGTCGCCTTCCGGTTGACCAATATCAGTATGTCAAAATACAAATAATACTTGTACAATATTCTATATTCTATTTTGGCCCTTTGTGTTTCTGCTTAGTCACTTCAAAACAATTACGAGTAGTGGTGCAATAGTGGCGACCCCTATCTACCCCTCCACTCAAGCGACTTCACAATGTACCTACCCCTCCTTCCGGTTACGGAGGTACAAAACACTTTTTTATACTACCTAATTTTAGGATGTATTGCCACAGTATCACGTAACATCACCATATTCGATTGAGTTCAAGGCTTTTATTAGACTGATATATTAGCATGTAAAATATATTCTCCAATTTTTATGATTTTATCTCAACATGATTACTCTGCGCCACGGCAGCTTATTGCTTTCCAAGATCAAAGTCTACATATGTCATGCCGCAAATCCATTCAATAACCTGGGAATCAAACATTAGTACAACAGATATCAAGCGTTGAGAAGGAAAACTTACAGGCTCGTAAACCAACAACCTCGATTTCGCACCCTTCATAGCACCCAGCATAGCTACCCAGTTGAGCACTTCATGTCCACCGTGCCCCGCCTCCTTCTCGACTTCCGAATAACTCAACGCTTTCATAAATGAGCTGTCACCCGCACAAAACTTGTCCATGAACATACGATCCCACACATCGTTGACTAGGGGATGCGGGCTGTTCAATGGGTATTCGTTCTTCTTCGCCATCTCAATTCGTAATCGTCGAACTCGACAAACAGCTGGGGATCGGACTTCAGGTACTCTTTGCCTTCGGTTTGGTAACGCTTCATGCGCTGCATGAACTTGTCGTCTGGCGAGGCTTGGTGTTCATTCCAGTAAGGGGGCCAGTGAGAAAGACCTCCGGTACACAGGTAGGCCACTTTCGTGTCTGCGGGTAGGGTTTCTACGGCAGCAGCGATGGCTTCACCAAGAGCGTAGGCACGGCGGTAAGGGATCAGAGGAGGTGTAAAGACGTTGATGAAAATGGGAATGATAGGACATGTAATTCCAGGATTCATTAGGATCCAGGGTATGAGCAGGTTGTTGCCATATTCCGTTGATCCAGCTCTCGAGACATCAAAACCATTTTCCACGAGCTCGGCAAGGACATGCCCAGCAATATCTGGGGCACCAGGGAACACAGTCTTTTCTTTGATGCGCAGAGTCTCCATCCATTGGTCTGCTGGTCCAACATGCGAGTCTGCTACTCCGATTGCAATGCTAGGCATGTGGTTTCGGAAGAAATTCTCGAAATGGTCGTCGAGAAAAGCGAATATCACAGCAGGCTTGCCTGCTGCGAGCGACTCCCCGAGATCGAGAGAGGCGTCTTCAAGTTTCTTGCGAATGTCTATGGGGCAGGTTTCGGGGAAGGCAAGAGCGCCCGGGGCATGGGACATGCCCACTGCTGCAATGACTTTGCCCATGATGAAACTGAGAATTATCTTAAAATAAAAAAGTTTGGCTTAAGGGACAAGAGTGTAGAAAGTTTGGTGTTTGTGGTATTGAGAAAAAGACAAACCTGGCCGAGAACTTCAAATACCTATTAAAGGGCAACCCTTCGGAGAGAGACGGACTCTAATTTGCAGAATCGCGTTTTCCGTCTACTGGACGACGCGTTGAGTATCCCGTTGATTGTAAAGTGGGAGTTATTTGGGACGGAGAAGAGCGCTGCCTCGGGCGGCTTCTCGCCTTACCCTGTTATCGGTTTGGTGGATCGCTCGCGCAGCTCGCTACCCCTGATTTAGGCGACCCCACTTTAGATAGGGACTAGTTGCTTAAAGTACCCCTCCATGATTCAGCAGCATTGTTGACTTCAGCAGACGATACAATCATTTAATCGTACGATATACTAAGACAATCTTTATTGGGTATCAAGAGCAGATTGTGGTGGGGGCGCTTTTCTCAAATCTATAGTGTAATCAAACATCCAGGATCAGCTTTGTGCTCAAGTTCTAACATGGGGGAATTTAAAGAAAATCTTCTGGTATTTGGTGCAACGGGGTACATCGGAGCCTATATTCTCAAGGAGATCCTCAAAAACAAAGATTCTTTTGGAAGGATCGCCATAATCACATCCCCGAGCACGGTGGAGAACAAGTCAGAGCAGCTTCAGAACTTGAAATCAGAGGGAGTGGAAGTCATTGTCGGAGATGTGACAAACCCCGCTGATGTGTTGAATGCGTTCAAAGGTCAGTAATTTGCTATGATGCAGGGAATATTCTGCTAAACAAGCTTCAGGTATCAATACAGTCATTAGCACAGTTGGACGAAACGTTCTCGCAGAGCAAATCAACTGGATCCAACTCGCCGAAAAGGCTCCCTCAGTCAGACGCTTCTTCCCATCTGAATACGGAACAGACATCGACTATAGTCCTCAATCTGTACACGAGATTCCCCATCAGCTCAAAATCAAAGTCCGAGCTGCTCTGAAAGCGACAACCTCTCTCGATTATACGTATGTGGTTACAGGCCCGTATGCAGATGGGCAGATGCTGGCATACTTGAGTCCATTGGCAGAGAGCGCCAGGGTGATTGGAACATATGATGTCAAGGCTAAGAGTGCTACTCTAATCGAAGACGGAAAGGGTAAAATTAGTCTTACAACACCGAAGGAGTGAGTTTACCTTATTAAAGTCCCTATAGATTAAGAGCTAACGGTTACAGTGTTGGGAAATTAGTTGTGAAAGCCTTGCTCCATCCGGAAGCATCGAAGAAGCGAGCTTTGAAAGTCAATTCGTTCACTACAACACCTGCGGAAATCGTTGCCGAGTTTGAGAAACAGACTGGGGAAAAGTGGAATGTGACATATACAAGTCTTTCCGAGCTAAAAGAATTGGAGGCGGCTGCATGGGAGAACAAAGTTCCCATGGCACCTCTCTATACACTTCGAAGGATTTGGGCAGAAGGGGGAACGCTATATGCGAAGCGAGATAATAGCCTCCTTGATGCAGAAGATAACCTGGAGACATTGGCAGACGCTGTGAGAGATGCCATTCTCACGCAACGCTCAGAGACACAAGCTACGGACACTCGAAGATTATCATAGCATTTGAGTAAATTAAAATATAAACTTCCTTGTCCCTTCTCTATCTCATATTGGCTCGACTCCTCTGCCCAAGAATGTTCGCTGCCCAAATTCTGCCTCAACTGTCTGAAATAGTGGGAGACCCTGGACTAATGTGACTAGTCAGCAATGATAATCAAAAAGGGAGGAGTTCAGCTTACAATATCCACTTGCACTGTGACCTAAAGCTTCCCATGTTACCTGAGCTTCCTTCTCACCAATGTGAACAAGTGGCTTCCCGCTACCAGCCGAAGAAGCATCAGCAGCCAGTTGTACTTCACAACACTTGTCAAGCAACACGAAGTATGCAACGACCTCTTCAATTGTCTTTCCAGCTGTGAGTAAGCCGTGGTTTCCGAGCAGCACAGCCTTTCGGTGACCCAGGGCTTTGGCAATGTGTTTACCCTCATCTGAAGCAAGGACTACCCCCTGAAAATTGCTACCTTTTGTCAGAAACGATCATCATTTGGAGAGTCAACATACTCGTAAAGTACGTGATCGTTATAGAAGACACAAGAGTCTTGGGTAAGCATATCAAGGGTACGGCCTGTAGCACAGAAGGCTCTCCCGTATACACTGTGAGAATGAGCAGCGCATCCAACATCCGGGCGTGCTGAGTGGATTTCTGAATGAATGGCAAAGGCAGCTATATTTCTCAAGTAAGTCACCCATGCCTTAGTCAGAGAAGCAGAAGCAGTTTACCATAATTCAACATTCTGTTCTTTCCGCCATCCACCACCATTCCTGTATGGTCAACAAGAATCAAATCATCAGCAGTGATAAGCGAGAAATGCAGGCCTAGAAATAACTTATTAGTTGATATTCTAAATTAAGAATTTATTCCATCGCACCAAACGGATTAACGCAAAAGCTTTTAGGGTCAACAGGATCCCTCAAAGTGATATGACCTGCGACTCCCTCAGAGAACCCAAATTTGGCAAACACGCGGAAGGCGAGAGCTAGTCTTTGCTTTAGATATTTCCGTTCTTCATATTTGTCCTCAAATACTGGCGGTCCCTTGGGGACGTCTGTCGGGAAACAGAGATCAGGGTTGCCACTTGAGTATTCAGCCTCGGTCTTGGAGGCTACTATAGGAATTTCAGTTGCTGAAGGGGCCATTTTTGCGTACTTGGAATGAAAGATGCTTGTCAAGACTTAGGATTTAGATCTCTGAAACGTGATCTGGCTATTTCTTTACTGAGATGTTGGCCACATCCCACTCTTGACTCTCTACACCATTGCACCGGTTGCCTCTATGTGGGGTGGGCCACGGCCACGAAGTGATAGATAGAACACTGATAAGAGCCCACTTTTCCCTATCAAATGGACCCTGGAATAATACATATCAAAATCAAACTGGGGGCGGACTTCTCCGCCTGGATTTCATCAGCCTGATTACTGTACAAATGAGAGAAAAATTATCTGACCTCTACCAGTCCTTCCGCATATATGAGCTTCGCAAACGGAGATTCGCGCTGTGGCGGAGCTACGGCAATACTCGTAATGGGCTGGCATGGAATTTGAAGCTTCACGATGAATAGTCAGGTCGTGCATTTACTCGGTTTAGATTTCTTGGGTAACAAGGACTAGCAGCATTTTTCTGTCTGTGTTTTGAGTGCACAAATTATATGCTGTGTTATAGTGATTGTAGATCAACGAACGCGAAAGAAGGCGTTTTGTGGCCGGCGGGCGCGTTGATCTGATTGAAGGACTATATCGATGTGTATTTGTATCTCGGGAGGCTTTGTCCTGGTATGGTCAATTGTGGTACATTCGCCGGTATAGGGAGCCTGCGGTTGCTAGGTTTGAAAGGGGTGGTTAAGGAGTGACTAGCTTGCTTTAAATATTGAGGTATGAGTAGACGGATGAAAACTATGCACCCTGCCCAGATCAAGAACAAATTCAAGAAGTCAAGACGGAGTAAGTTCAGATCATGCAAGTATAACCGAGAAAATAAGATGAGTCGAGTCAGTTGAAAAAAATGGCATGTAGGAAAAATTGAGCTGCGCAACGCAATCTTGATGAGAAGGGTACAGAATCTTCATTGAAAGTGAGAAAGAAAATGTGCTGAAGAGCAGTGTAGCAGAAGACTGCCTCTAAAGATCTCTGTAATGACCGAATCTCGTGCATCTCCCTGCTTAAGATGCTTCATGTCCTATAGCTCTGGCCTCGCCTTCCTCTCGTGAGAGCATTATCGGATGATGGCATCGAGTTGCCCGTTCCGTTTCCCGCAAAGCCGCTCTCCAGTCCGTTCACCCCGAGTCCACAAAGGCCTTCAAGTACCCTTACTCAGAAATCGTTTCTGTCGTTCTCGTGTGGCGTCATGGTGATGGAGTGGTTTCGTAGTTTGGCGTCAGCGCCGTGAAAGAGCATCACTTTGATCTAAAAAGCATGTTTGTGAGTATTACATCCCAATAAGTGTTCGTTGACGGCGTAATCGGAAGACAAGACACCACGGCCCATCAATTTAAGTGATCATTAGGAACTCCATGGCCCCTAACCCAGCCTTTCACCCATTTAAGGGCAGCAGCATGGGTAGGGGTTTTCAATAGACGTCTGCACCATCGAACGAAGAGAAAATGTAGCACCTAAGTTTCCCAAATAACAATCCGCATCTTCAAAACCAAAGGGTGAAACAAGCACAACGAAAAGAAGTCATATTTTCGACAAAGAGCCTGTCACGGTACTGGACCGCGACGAGTGGAGTGACTTGACCCGACTTTTTCTCGAAGAGCGTGTCACGGTACTGGAGTTGAGTGACGACTTAACCCGACTTCGACTTCTTTTTGACAAAGAGGGTGTCACGTTGGTGTACGTCACGCTACTGGACCACGATGATTTGAGTGACCTGGCCGGCCTCGAAGAAGAATCAACGCCCTGCGTATACTCAGCGAAGCGTTGCAGATACCTCAAGGGTTTGCAGACGAAAAATATTCCCAAGTCGTCGAGGATGTTGAGGAGTTCGATGTTGTTGAAGGTGTACATTGGCTTTAATAAGAGTATAATCCCGAGGTCGTCGATGAAGTGTGCAACGGTCATTGGAGGGTGATGGAGTATGAATGGGTTGGATGAATGCGATGAGATGGATACGGCGAGATGGAAACAGTGAAGGAGTGCTGATGTCCTTTTATTACTATTATGCCCCTATTTGAGGTGAATCCACCAGGCATTCCTCTACACATTTCAAATAGGGGCGTGAGCGTCAATCCTTTGATCTCTCGCTCCGGGAACGCCTATTGGCTGGGGAGCAAGTCATCTCAGATACAGCCTCAACAACTCACTGGAGCTGGTGTATACTGGTATTCCAACACAGAGACAATCTCCAAATCCCCCGTGTCTCATGACTAGACGATCGCAATAGGAGTGGACATTACTGCGGTAAAGAATGATTCATATGGCAGCATCAAATCCGACTCCAAATCCAGCGTAGCGACTGACTACGTGGTTTTCTTCCCCACTTGAGAGTTCGTCCCCAACGGCACCACGTCTGCTTTGACGACCAAGTATCATGGGAATAATAAGGACAGCCCACCGCCAACAAATGGTTTCATGTACTGTGCACTACGAGTTACCGGCGGGCTTGTCTTGGCAGTCCCAAAGTGAGCTTAAGCTTACTTGTCCTTTCTTCTTCCAGCACCCCTGCGACGCCTGCAGCGAACACGTCACTCAGGGGAAATATAGGGACGCCCTGAAAATCCCTCGCAGTGCATCCATTCGCGCGGGTCGATGCAGGATGCCCTATCTGGACGCGGAAAGGTGAGGGGGTATTTGTGTAAAGAGACGGTGAAGAGGGTGCCACGAATTGTCTTTTTATTTGGCCTTTTGCAGTGAAATCGTGTGGTGATCAGGTTTTGTCTATCTCTCCTCTCTCCACGGGCCGTTCCCGCCGCCTGAACAGGGGGCACCACAGATAGTGCAGTGCAGTGCAGTACAGTACAGTACAGTACAGTACCACCGAGTCGGCTCGATCTCAACTCGCTCCTGTCCTCTCCTCTCCACTCCACTCCACTCCTCCTCTGTCCGGAACAGACAGACAACACATCACCGCCTGAACAATGATCGTGCACTGAAGACAACACGCACGCATCCTTTAAACGCCTGGCTCCTTCTACAAAACTTCAATCACCAGCACATCACGAGACATTCGCAGTAAAGACATCGATCGACATTGATATCTACCTCTTGGAATTCCGCTTAATATTTGCTCTTGCCTCGGCGTCATCACAGCATAACAACCGCAAAGGAAGTCAACAACTCGACTTCACTCACACTTGCAATACTGGACTCCCAACCCTTAATTGATGACTTCGCCATGTCAAGCCAGCAACGCGACTCCTTCCTCCCCTCCGGCGCAATTGATCCCCCTAGGTACCCGCACCAAATGACTTCTCCACAGAACGTCCCCCGCAGCCTCCCTGAGACAACCTCTTTCGTTCCCTCACTACCTGGCAGCGACCACAATTCACCAAACACCTACAATCGCTCGCCATCCCAACATCCAAATGGTCATCCCATCTCACCTCCGAAGACTAGAAGCGCGAGTGCAGATGACAATAGTGCCGCGTTGATAGAGGACTGGAGAATCTATACCCAGAAACTACGGATGCAGAGTGAGGGGGAGAGGGCACACATGATGGCTGACCGAGCACGGGTGGAGGAAGTGATGGCCGAAGAGCGGGCTCTTTGGGATCGGGAACGAGAGATCCTTTGTGCGCGAATCGCAGAACTCGAAAGGCAGTTACAATCAGAGTCGAGAAGTTCAAGCGATACAGTCGTCTCTCGACCACTCTATCACAAACAATCATCATTGAACATGGGAGCACAGCAAATCACCAGCCCAGGATCACATTCATCATCAAGCAACGACCGTAACGTCCCGCAAGAATCGGGGCGCAACGCAGACGGGAGCCCCTTCTACGCCCCCGCAGCACGAAACCCGTCCCGTACCTTCGACGTATCCTCCAACTCCGACCTGCGCGTCGACTCTATCAGTGCTCCTAGGGAGAGCGCTATCCGAGTCACCAGCAAAGAACTCACATCTTCCGACTTTGTACAATCCCCACCCGTCTTGTCTACTTCCCACGACCTCTCGCCTATCGTCGAAAGCATAGATATCCAGAAAATTCAGCCAGAACTCGAGGGTGTTCCTATAAAAGTGACTGCCGTAGACCCTACTTTTGCCTTCCAGGTACTCAGTCCAAACTCGTCATCTCCAGCGAAATTATCGCCCAATACAAAGCCCCCGCGGCAAGACAAGACGTTGGAGGTTATTCATAGTCCTGCGGATAGGCGGTTGACTTTGCATGCTGGACATACGCCGAACCACTCGATCTCGAAATTTGGCGATATAATAGGCGACCAGACACCTACGCAAGATCACCACAGCGAGCAGCTCGACACGGCATCTGATGACGGAGATAAAGAGCTCACTGGCACTCTAGGTCTCACGAATGACTCTATCAATAACGATGACTTCCTTATTACTTTACATAAGAAACTTATCGTCGAGGCGAAGAAAAGCGGGACTACAAGCCCGGAGGAGGATCCAAGTCCTGTTGCTGACTCTGGCCCCAGCAGTGGGGTTGTCGAACCGCTAATAGAACCATCTGACAAAGATGATGGCCCGGTATTGAGAGTTAAAGCAAGTCTCAATTTCGGAAGGCCGTTGGGGAGGATGTGATTTACTTTCTTATGGTGCGGCAGGCTTATGGTGTTTGGGGGATGGATGGGCGATAAGATACCTTGGGATAGGGAGTTTATGAAAGTCATTACTGCCTTTGTTTCTCTTTCAACTGGGTTGGAAAATGTCGAGTATATAATAAAGGGAACGCGCAGTCAACATACATTTCATTGATTGGATTAGAACGGAGCAAGCGAAAAGAAAGACAAAAGGATTGCATGGACTGGCGGGGCGGGGCATGCCATAGATAGACTACAACGCGCACGCGTAATCTTTTCTTTTGTTTTTGAGAACCGGAGCAGGAAGTGCGCGGAGAGTGGGTGCCAGCGCTAGAATAGTTACGATGAGCGTGAGCGGATGGATGGATAGCTTCAAGCACATGCTTTCAGGCACAGTGAATAACGAGTAGCGAGAACAGCGGGAATGAATAGAAAGAAGAAAGAATGATACCCCTATGCAATTTATCTGACCCCCCGTATTTTTCACTTGCTCTTCAGCTTTAGCATGATCATTTCTGTCTCCCAGTCCCTTCCCATTAAACCTCCCGTACCGAAATCCCCTTTATTACGCATCCTACACTACGTATTCGAAATTTGGGTTTGCGAGATCTATCCTATGAAGCACTTATACTTTTCATAAATACATAGATACATTTATCCTCGCATTTTATCCTCGCATTTTACCTTTGCTTGATTTTATCTATACTTAAACCCAGCCAGTTTATCTACATGACTCTACTGTTACTTACTCCTATATATCTGCCGTAAGCTCTACCTATCCTTGCTCCTCCCCTCCCCACATAGACCCCAAAAATATCACTATCCATCACGTGCCAAAAATACCTAAACGATCCGAGAAATATTATACGAGTAGGCTAGGCAGCTCTGTCTTCATCTGCCGACGTGTAATAGAACTTGCGAAACTACCTAGGTACTGAAGCATCTAAACATCCCCGAAATATTTTTGCCGAATCGTTTCCATTTCTAGTTCTTCGTGCATTGGGTCTAGGAATTTGTCGATCTCCTCTCGCCAGAAATAATTCATCGGGCTTACTTGCGAAGCCGTGGTATACTCCCAATAAGACGGGTACCAGCCAGCTGTCTCCCAATCAATGATTCCTGTAATTTTATCGCCGCGGACAAGAACATTCAAGCTACTCAAATCGCCATGTGTAAAAACCGGCGGCGGCCAAGCCTTGTCTTGCAATGCTATGAGCTTGCTAACTTCGTCGTAGTGATTTGGATCTGCATCAAACCCCCCCTCAGATGTTTGTGGAAGTCGTGCACACTCTTGAAAGGCCCATGGCACATCGAAGTCCCAGGCAGCCGGCTATCCCATATAGATCCACCATCGATGTTACATATGCCTTGTGTTTGTCCTCGAGGAGGAGGTATATTCCGCATCTCAGCTATCATCTTTTTGAGCTGTTCGAGTATCTCTGTCTTTGAATCGTTACTCCGTTCGCCCCAATGACTCCCAAGCATTTCGCCATCTATTCTCTCCATCACGATATATGTCCACCCTTTGCGCTCAAAGGCACAGTAGACTTTTGGGACTGGTATTGAGGTGTGTTGGTGTATAAATCGCATAGTTGACGCTTCTGGAAGGTTCCTCAGAGGCCCGAACTTGATACAGAGCTTACCAGCAATAAATATGACAGCTCCATGGCTAGGAAGGATACGTTTGAGAAGCTTAACAGCTGCGAGAACGAGAAAACGGCGCAGGCGGGTGTTGTTGATAGATGGCGACTCGGTCAATGTCTCAGCAGGAACAGGTTTCATAGCACCAGGCATTCCTCCCCTCCGGTTGATTTCTGATATGGATATCCTTTATAAATAAGAGGTGTTTTATCCTCCGTGGAAAGAGCATGGTGATGGCGGACAGAGAGTGGTATCAGTCTGCGCCTCGGACACCAAATTCTAGGACTTAGCTGCTTATATAAGCCTGGTAGACCATGAAAACTCTCTCTTCACTGGATTCCAATATTAATATAAAAGAAACGAAAAATGTCCCAAATGCTAGATGGATAGATAGATAGATAGGTACTGACTGCTGCTATATAGGTAGTTGGAGATATGGACATCGTCTGATTTTGCGAATGCTGTGTTGTGCTGTGCTGTTCGTATCGTTCACGTGCTGTGCCGTGAAAAGGGGGTATTGTCCGGTCGGGGAGTTTTAGGGTTTAGCCTGCTCGGTACGGAGATACAAATACGGTTACGGTACAGTAGATCTGATCTAATTCGAGGGCAGGGTCTAGGGTGTTTGTAAAATATACAGTACGTATAGGCAGTATGTTGTTCATGGTAAGAATCAGTACTGGTATTATGCTCAGTATTTATGTCCGAGGTTATGATTAATCGTACAGTACACTGTAACGCCCTAGCCTTGACCAATTATGTATTGCGCAGCAACAGGTATGATTTGATATTGTCCCATCCCAATCCCATTTCTTCCCATTCCATTCGCCCCCACCCTGTAATATGAACACGCACTTATGAAAGCCCAACTGGAAGAGATGACTGAACTGTGAGACAGAGATGTAAGAGTCTGTGTCCATGTTGGGGTTGGGGTGGACTTACTGTGCAAGAGAATGCAGCAAGCTCACTAGGAGATGGCAGAGTGAAAACATTAGTATAGTAGTAGTAGTTTTTGTAACCTTGAAGTCGATATGCGAAGATTTTCGTGCTATGCTATGGAGCTGGAGCAAATCAAGGAACAGGACGAGGCGTCTTAGCATACGGTCCGGATCTCAACGGGAAACAAATCTCAGCATGGCGTTTGTACTCGAGGGTTTGTTGTGCTCACAAGTAATCCCGTTCAAACTCGGCATCAAGATGAACCGGCACCCTCTCTTCCTCCGCTGCATTGCGATCTCGCTCCTTGCTGCTGTCCTTCTGATTCTGCACTAATTGTAGAAGCAGCTTGTTGTTTTGGGCCACAAGTACCTCAATTTTGTCGACTTTGTTTTCGAGCGTCCGTAGGCGTGCGTCGTTGCCCATGATATCTCGCCAATCCTCCTTGGATAAAGCACCTTCGACAACGACTCTTCGTGGTGGTTCTGGGGGATGGGCTAGTGCGTATTGCTGAGCTTGTTGGGCTTGCCATTGTTCGTGTTGGAGTTGGGCTTGCAACTCTTGGGTGAGTTGACGTTCGTTCATACGTCTTCTCTTGTTTGGTCGAAAGCCGTTCATGTCGGCCTCTCCATTAGGTTGAGGATGGGGTTGTATTAATGCTCCGCCGTGAGGTGGGGGAGGTGGTGGTAATTGATGTTGTTGTTGTTGCTGCTGCTGTTGCTGGTGATGTTGTTGCTGCATGTCTGCCGGAGGCGCGGGGCCAGTAATCATTCTTGCTTGTGGATTTTGAGCATTTGCTAAAGTCTCTGCGGCAATTGCCTGCCTACGGGCTTCCTTACGTTGCTCTTCCACCTTTCTTCTCGCATCAACTTGTCTCTGCCGCTCTGCCTCGGCATCCCCATCTTCAACTTTGAGAAACTCAATCCATTCATCCAGCTTGTCGTTCAGCTCACCGCCAGGCTTCTGAGGAAGAATCCCGCTCTCCCAATCCGATATCTGCCTTCTGCGGGCTTCGACTAATCGTCCGACTGTGGCGCTCATCTGAGCTAAGACCTTCCCGGTATCTGTTTGGAAAGATGCATTAACGCCCGTCCAGAATTGAGCCTTGGTGCCCTCCTTGAAGTTGTCCTTTTGCTCAATGCAGTGCTTCATCATTAGGATATGATCACGCTCTTCGAGATTCTGACGCGGTTTGCGCGCACTCCCGCCAGAAGACATGACGGAGCTTTCGCGCATATCTCGCGCAGGAGTCATCAAGGAGCGGGGGACAGGAGGAGGGTTCATTCGCGCTTCCGACGTGGGGGTCAAGTTCGTGCTGTTGTCATTGTTATTATTGATCTGATTCTGGGTGTTGTTGACGGCCTGCAGCTGGGGTGAGGGACGCGCATTCGAGTTGGTATTGGACGGCGTCGAAGGCGGGAGGATAGGTGCTGGCTGACGGTTATTTGTAGAAGCCATTTGGGCGACGAGCTTGAAAGTATGGAAAGCAGATGGCATAGATTCATGGGTCGGTCGCAATGCCACAAAAAACAATTAGTCGTCGATCGAAGGATTCTCAACAGGCGTCCTCGATGGCCTTTTGCCTTTTTTGGTGTTGGTGTTGCGAATTTCTCGGACAGGACAAGGTACTTGACGCTAATCCCAGCTAGTGACGGGTTTGTCTCATGTTGATCAAATTTCATGTCTAATCCGGTTGGAAATCTCAAGAGTTTTGTTACCAACAGTTGAGGTGGTCTTGATCTTGAATGTGATTCTCAGATGATGGAGAATTATTCAAGGATTCCAAGCTCTATCAACTACATATAGTACAGAATCGTTCTTCGTACTCTCTTGCGCTTTCCGTACCTTTGAAAATGCAAGAGCGTTCCAGTACCACGCACCTGCCATGATACACAATTTATCAGCTCCACTCGAGTCTCATATGATTTGACTAGCCATTGTCTTTCTCTTCTCTAGTTCTTTCTATACAAGTGTCAAGTCTCTTTCTGGGGCTCGTCAACGCGGCTCTCTCTCTCTCTATTGAAGTATTAGCAGCATCTTGTTCATGACTTGTCATTTCCCCCTGCATCTGAGAAGTATTAAGCCTGCACTCTCCTATCCCATTGTACTATATTCAAATACGAACCTCGATGGTAGAAAGGAATACTTTAAGACTTCGCTAGGCTCTTAAACATTGGACGAATAGCTCTTTTTCATCTCATCCCACTCTCAGAATGTCTCCAGTATAGCTCGAATGCGGAGATGGAACTCCGCTGCGTCTTACTAAGGCTATCAAACACGACTTGATAAATACGATACTATCCCCAAGTTCCCATAACCTTTTTTAATCGAATCATTTCCACTTTCTGCTCTCTGACTTTTAACAAGTGTCCGTTGCGCATATATATTGATTCATCAAGCAAACACAAGAAGGCGAAATGTCAACCGCAGTTCAGGAACCCCCAACTCCAGCTCATACAATTCCATCGAACCCTACAGAATCATACACTTCTAGCAGTCTCCTCACGGGAGCAGATGTCCGCGAAGCGTCTCGCAATGGTTCCTACACAAAGTCCACATCAGGTCTGGCCAAAACCTACATCCAGGCAAATCTGATTATTCTCCCCTCACGCTACGCATCAGACTTCCGACTTCTCTGCGCTCGGAACCCAGTCCCATGTCCACTTATCGCCGAGTCGGAGAGCGTTGGGAAATGGGATGCCGTGAAATCCTGGCTTACTGGTCTTGAAGGAACCGACGTTCTGTCTGCACATGACATTCGCCAAGATGTGCCGAAGTACATGGTGTATAAAGACAGCAAACTCGTCAAGTCACACTGTAGTGATATTGTGGAGGAGTGGACTGAAGACCATGTTGCGTTCCTTATCGGGTGCTCATACAGTTTTGAATCTGCGCTTTCGGAGGCAGGTCTGCCCCCTCGAAATACCACCTCCGACACGATTGTGCCAATCTATCGGACGAATATCCCTCTATGCCCAGCGGGTGTGTTTACAGGAGGTACATACATTGCGTCGATGAGACCCTACAAGCGAAGTGAAATTGAGAAAGTGAGAGATATTACACGGGCTTTTTCAGTCACTCATGGCGAGCCGGTTGCGTGGGGATGGGATGCGGTGGAGAGGCTGGGGATTAAGGATATTGATAAGCCTGACTGGGGGAGCTCGCCAGTCTCTACGGATGGGAGTAGATTCGGGGCTTTTCATGGAGATGAGGAGAATGTTCCGGTGTTTTGGGGATGTGGTGTCACTCCGCAAGAGGCTGTCATGATGGCGGGACTTGAGGGGACGATCATGGGACATGCGCCTGGCTACATGTTGGTTTTGGATTGTCGTGATTGGGATATTGTATCAAAAGCATGAGTACAATTTATCTTTTAATATAAGACCAAAGTAAGATACTACAGACTATTATCTCAAAAATTGGAAGTTTTCCAGCAACGTTCTTGAATTTCAAATTATACTTGAGACATCTTTGACTGGTCCTTGACGTCCAACAACTGCCTCAACCTCTAACAATTCCCTAAACTTTCATGCCTAAAAAGCAGCAAGATGCTCAAAGTTCTGTGAAAAACCCGGCTTAGTCAGCTGGCTTCAGGGGTTCCACAAAATCAACCTCGTCCTCGTCCTCGTCCAACTCCCAGCCGCCGCTCATCCAGCCCAGCCTCACTAAAATATGATCATGAGAACCTTAGACTTCTAATGTACATATCGAGAGTAAGCATTATTGTACCCTGGAGTCCATCATCGCTCGGCCGAATACGCCATAGGGGAGCTAAGTCTGAGCCATCTTCAACCAATCCACTCTTCAAATAGCCCCCGACTGGGCGAGGTTACTATTTGCCGCTACCATGAACAATCGACCTGACGAAGCTATGGAGCAACGTGTTCATCAAGTAGCGTGAGTCTACTACTTCTTCCATTTGTCCCATATAATAAAGATTGAGTGCTGATACAATATCTCAGCTGCGAGAGATGCCGGAAGAGAAAAGTTAGTCGGATATCGCCGCAATTCCATATATGCTGACAGGACTTTATGTAGATTAAATGCGACAGAGTCCAGCCTTGTTGGAGATGCAAATCAGCAAAGGTCGACTGTTCATTCATTGGCTCCGGTGAAAAACAAAGGTGTGTCTAATTCTGTTATGTCCCCAGTCTCAGCTCATATTCGGATACAGGCCGGTCTCCCGAGGATACGTGCAAGCCCTCGAAGGCCAAATCGCTTCCTTGGAAAAGTTCATTACTAAGTTAATCACTGTTGATTCGAACGAGAGAGACGTGCTTTTGAGAAATTTCTCGTCCTCCTCGAATCATCTGCATGTTGACTCGGTGGCCTCGGCAGAAGCTACAGAGGCGAGCACATCAGAATTACCCATTCGGTCACGTACTGGGCACCTCAGGAAGCTCAAGGATGGGAAAGCAACAGAATTCTATGGTGCTACAAGTTTCTTTCAGATCAGTCCGTCCCAAGACCAAGACCCCACATCTTCAATCGTCGAGAGGGAATGTGAAGATAAATCTCATGTCGAGGGCGAAGTGATAGCCTTCCCAGCGTCCCTTGACGAGTTCGCCATAATTGGGGATTCCTACTCCGCATTTTCCCCCCAAAGCGATATCTGTCGTAAGCTCATGGCAGGATTCTTCCAACACCAGTACCAATATTTCATGTGTCTCTATCGAGAATGGTTCTTGCGAGACTTTGATGCGGGGGCAGGTCCATATTATTCTGACCTGCTTATGTATTCTATCTGCGCCCTAGGAGCACTCGCGAGTGAAGAAATAGCTCTACGAGACCTCTCGGGCGTATTCTTTAATCGTGCACAAGAGTTATTATACGGCGGAGCTTTGGAATCCCCAAATCTTACAACACTACAGGCCCTAATCCTCCTCGGGCACCGAGAAATAGGCATTGGTAAAGCTTCCAAGGGCTGGCTGTTTTCAGGAATGGCATTCCGGCTCGCTCACGAGATGGGTCTACATCTAGACCCTAATAATTGGACTGGTTCAGATGATTCACGTATTGAGAGAGAGATCTTGAGACGCACTTACTGGGCTGCCTTTGTGGCTGACAAACAGCTCAGCCTTTATTTTGGAAGACCGCCTGCGTTGGTAGGCTTATTCTCATAGATAGACGATGTTCTCTTTTACCGAAGCTGTCGCTCGAGCTCTCTCCAAGCCCTTGACTTGTTACTATGCTAATTCGTTGAGACAGTATCCCGGGGAGTCTGATGTCCGCGATACGGAACGAATTCCCTATCCCCCGGAATGGGCGTCGCTTCTCAATACTTATATTATGCAAGGCACTTCTGAGACGGCTTACGAGGATGGACTTGCACTTATAGCCGGCTGGGTTCATCAAGTTGAGCTGTGCAAAATTCTTCACCGGATGATCACTGAAGTGTTCGAGAATCGAAGTAGGAAGACAGATGAGACTGTTCTATCAACCTCTGCGAAAGAAATTCATGTTGCCCTCACCAAATGGTCATCCGATCTACCATCGAAGCTTCACTGGAACCAGTGGACTGTTGGACCTGTCCCGTCCTTGGTTCTTCATTTGCAGTAAGTCTCTACATCTCTGTCTAGCAAGTGTCTGCTTAACTTAAATTCAGCATGCAATACCATGCAGCAATGATTATTTTACATCGACCTCCCAGGCATATGTTTCGAGATCCCAAGATTACCACCAGTCAAGACGTCAAAAACTGTTACTCATCTCTGGAATCACTTATCAAACTCCTCGGAATATACTCCAGGCAACATAGTTATAGCCACCTCCCGTTCACGTTCGTACATATCCTGGCAACTGCAGCCAGCGCAATTCTCATGAAGCGTTATATTGAGAGTTTTTCGTGGATCGATACCGAAGTCTCAAGACCCCTAAGCCTCATCATCGGTGCACTTGATGGGATTGCAAAAACATGGCCATGTGCAAAGCAAGTTCAAGGGGTTATCAACTCTGCAATTTTGGGTTCAACGGATGAGAGCGCTGAAATCGAGTCCCCCCAAAGCTTTGATCTTATGACTAGCCTGACTGAAGCAGACTACATCTCTATGAACCAGGACTTGGATTTTGAGATCGACGATATTAATATTGGATCATTCATGCCAGATGCTTTCTTCGGTGACAGTTATCAGTGGGATGACAGTTTTAACCTAGATGCAGCTTCTGTTGATCTTTTCGATTTCGAGAACCCGATGCCTTGAGGACTATTACTTCAATTCATTACGTCGCCCAAATTAATTCACACTTCCTGGGCATAGGCTGCAGCAATCACTTCCTTCAGAGATACAATATTGAACCCGGTCAACATACAGAGCAGCCTTGTCTCCTCAGCCATGTATGCAATACAACAGTCTCTGACCATCTGCTACAGCCTCAAATGTGTAGCTGATACTCCAACGCTTTAATTCAATAGAATTGACGGGCTTCGAGCAGCGAAAAAGGTTGCTTGCTGACCGGACCGGACTAGGCAGGGATCAGCCACGAACACAGATACGGACTTGCTCTGCCGAGCGTTGAGCTCCCGCTCTACCCCACTTCGAGATACCGGCCACCACCAAATAGTAAAATACTGGGGTCTTGCTGTGGACCCTGATAGCTAAAATCATATGACTTCTGTGTTGCATCGGGGGAAGCAGCTTATCTCTCAGCCGGCGCGGAAGAACAAGACCGTACGTAAGGAAGTGTTCGACACAATGACATCCTTCAGCCTCACCTATTATGAGCGATGCCTATAAGATAAAGGATATCTCAGTACCTTGGTCCTTGGAATGTAAGGATTGATTCTAAGAACGAGATCATCATAGCCATGGAAGACCCCAAAACAGAGAAAATTGATACTCCACGCATCGATGAGACCTCGAACGAGGCCGACAATGAGTTTTATGTGGATCCAGTTAAGGAAGTGAAGCTTCTGGCGAAACTGGATCTTGCATTTACTCCCATCATCATGTTGGTGTACCTCTCCTGCTTCTTGGATCGTAGCAATATCGGTTTGTTCACTCAAACTTCCTGACAATCTGAATTGCATGCTAAATTTTCATAGGCAACGTTAAAGTAGCTGGTATGCTAAAGGACATTCATGCCACAGATCAACAATTCTCAACTGCCGTCTCCATCTTCTACGCCACATACGTGACATTCGAGACTCCAGCCGCGGTTTTGATGAAGAAACTCACGCCGCGTGTGATATTAGCGGCTCTGTGTTGTGTCTGGTCACTCACTACCATCTTCACTAGTTTTGTCCAAAACATTGGTGGACTATATGCTACGAGATTGATCCTGGGGGCTTGCGAAGCAGGTCTCTTTCCATGCTTGAATCTGTATTTGACCATGGTATATCGAAGGGAAGAACAGGCGAAGCGTGTAGCATATCTATTTAGTTGTTCGGCGCTATCGGGGGCATTCGGTGGTTTGCTTGCTTATGCTCTTCTTCAAATGGATGGGATTTCCGGGGTGGCTGGTTGGAGGTGAGTCTTGGGATTGTTTTTATGGAAACTTGTGTGGGACTAACTTGAATAGATGGGTCTACATAATTGAAGGAATATTCAGTATACTAATTGCTATTGCGGTCTGGTTTGGGTTGCCTACCGATCCAACCCAAGCTTGGTTCCTCAATACTGAAGAGAGGGAAATGATGAGATGCCGAAACTCCCAGAGAAGACAATACCTTGGTTCGCTCCATCGATTCCTCTTAATTCAAGCTAATTGCTAAACGGTATCCGTGTAGGGTCTGAGAAATTTGACTGGGCTGAAGTACGCATTGCTCTCACAGATCCAAAGTTATACATGAGGTAAATTGCACAAATATCCCTTTATGTGACTCAAATATCGACTAACATATATCAGTGGTCTTATCCAATTCATGCAAGATATCCTCCTCTATGGCTTTAGTACGTTCTTGCCATCGATCTTGAAAGCGATGAAATACGACACTCTCCAAAGCAATTATCTGACAATCCCTGTATACCTATGGGGAGCCATTTCATTTCTGTGTATAGCTTGGATTTCAGATAGATATCAGATTCGAGGTCCCGTGAGCATTGCGCTGCCCCGATCTCTTTCTGCAGTAAAACTGACCGATCCCCAGCTTGTGATTTTCGCCAATGTTTTCGGTATCATTGGTTACATCCTGCTACTTACCGTGAAACAAAACGGTAACTAGCTCACCCACCCTTACCAGGTATCCCGAGACGTAAAAACTAATATATCCGCCCAGGAGTGAAATACTTCGCCACCTATCTGTGCGCTATCGCCGTCTACGTCGGTCCAGGAATAAACCGCAAGTCCCTCCGTTTCCCCACTCTACTCTTTGCAATGGAAAAAGCTAACCTCACAACCTAGTGACCTGGCTCAACGTAAACATCGCCCCGCATTACCGCCGCGCCACCGCAATCGGTTTCCAACAGACCATGGGCAACACGGCTGGAATTGTAGCAGGCCAGATTTACCGCACTGCGCCGTACAAGCTGGGGAATAGCTTCTCGTTGGGCGCGCTGTGTCTTTCGCAGGTTTTGATTGCCGGGAAAGTGATTTATGTGAGGAGGCAAAATAAGCTGAAGGATGAAATTGGTAGTGGGAAGAGGGAGGATACCAGGAAGGTCAGCACGGGGGATAGGGAGTTGGATTTCAAGTATCATATATGAATGATTAGAAATAGGGGTGGATTCGAGGTATAAAGTCGATTAGCTCTGTGCTCAAGGACGCTAAGTGAGAGGTATAACAAATCTACAATTTGAACTGTGCTCGTAGTGCGAGATCTGGGGAAGTAGCGATGTGTTTGGTTCATCTAAAACTACTTATGACTGCTTATTTCAATAGTAATCTCACATTGTTTGTCAGCGAAACATTTCCAGCCTCGCTATGGTGTTCGTCATTTTTAAGCTTCTATCTATCTCGAACCCCAAAAGTCCCAAGCTTATGCTAGTCCTAGACCCAAAAGTGATGGTTTTTCCACATTCAGAAGTCTAGAGCACGTGGCACATCCGGATTAGGTACCCGGATAAAGCCACTCCGCCTTGGTTACCAAGTTGATACTATACCACCAACGTCTATTTTTCCCATGTTATCAGTCTAGCTTGCACGAAAGACAAAGATGCGTGTTCCAGCAAAGCTATGCCGTTGTACAGAAGCCCGACAAGTGGAACATTTATCGCCGAAGCCGTATTACTCAGTTCTTCTCCGCTGGTACACCAATTACTTACTGATCTTCTGGCCGCTAGCAAAACGCTTGGCTGGGGTTTTAACCGGCCGGGTAAAGAATATCAGACGAGGGGGAATAAGTTGCTTGTTGCACGGATTGCGGGGTCGAGATACGCTTGTCTTGTGACCCCAGAGTCTGGAGAGCGTATATGAATATAGGTCGTGCGTCCCCAGTTCACACAAGACGCGCGAGTTCGTCAGCTCCGATTTCCAGACTCGATTTCATTCATTCTTCTTGGCAGTTGATTCTGTCTCCTAACCGCAACGATGGGTATCATCAATCTCGGCCACGAAACAGACCCGATCTTGACTCGCGTCGTCGAGGAGGACAAGATAAGATGGTGGAAGAAACGGAACCTGAGATATCTGTACTTCCTTCTTTACCCAACTTGCATGGGGATTGAAATCACCTCTGGCTTCGACTCGCAAATGATCAATGGACTGCAGCTGATTGGTCCGTGGAATAAATGTAAGCATTTAAATAGTATCTGGGAGACAAATGGATGCTAATAAAGTAGTTTTCGGTCGGTTGACGACTGTTTCGGGGAAGAAGCAATATGCTGTTGCTGGACCGCTGCTCGGCATGATCTCCTCGGCTTATAACCTTGGTGCGATTTTGGCTGTGCCTATTGTTCCTTGGGTGGCGCAGAAATGTGGTAGACGATGGAGTATCTTTATTGGATCTGCTTTCCAGTGCTTTGGTGCTATCTTGCAGTGTTTCTCTGTCAATGCCGGAATGTACATCGTTGCTCGGATGATCCTGGGTTTCGGCATCGTGTTCTGCATCGTCTCGGGTTCAGCTATGCTGGGTGAGCTGTCGTATCCAAAGGAACGACCAATTATGACTTCCATGTTCAATGCATCTTGGTTCGTGGGCTCGCTGGTCGCATCGGGGATTGTGGTCGAGACGGCAAAGATGAAGGGTGATTGGGCATGGAGATTACCTTCGATACTACAGTGTTGCCCATCACTTGTCCAAATGGCTTTGATATTGTAGGAAACATTACTTGTCCCCCAAGCAAGGAACGAAAGCTGACTGACGGACTGACTGTAGTGTCCTCCCCGAGAGTCCCCGATATCTCATCAGCAAAGACAGACGAGAAGAAGCCTACGATATCCTCGCCACATACCACGCAGAAGGTGATCACGACTCCCTCTTCGTAAAAGCCGAAATGGCACAGATCGAAACAACAATCAGAGTCGAAATGGAAGTCGCAAAACAGTCATGGACGGACATGATAGCCACGCCCGGCATGCGGCGTCGTACATTCATTGCTGCAGCCATGGGCCTTTACACGCAATGGTCCGGCAATACCCTCATCTCGTAAGTACAACCCCCCGCTGTCCAAAAAAAGAACATATGCATCTGCACCCCAAATCCCCGAAAAACTTCCCCTGATCAGCATAGATTCTACATGGGCAAAATCCTCGTCATGATCGGGTACACCGACACATACACCAAAACCATGTTCAACCTCGGCTACACAGCCTGGAGCTTCATCAACGGCACCGTAATCGCCATCATCTCGCCGCGCTTCAAGCGCCGCACCATGTTCCTAACGGGCGCATTCGGCATGCTAGTAGGCTATATTGCATGGACGGTCGCCATGCAGCGGGCGATGTTGGCGCTGGATTTGAAGGTGCCGAATAAAGCTGCCGGGATCGCGGTCATGTTTTTCATCTTTTTCTACTCGCCGTGGTATAATATCGGGAACAATGCATTGGCTTACAGTAAGCATCCATCTCACTCAATACAGATTTTGAAAGGCAGGACAGAGCTAATTGATGCCAGCGTATATGGTTGAGCTTTTTCCATATGCCGAGCGTTCGAGAGGTATTTCTATTGAGCAGGGTGAGTCAGGCCGAGCCTGGAAAATATATCACGGTGTAGTGTATGAGAGCGAGTAGATGCTAACACACACCCTAATGTCCAGTCTTCGTCCGCGGAGCCGGCTTCTTCACCACATTCATCAACCCCATCGGTATGGACGGCGCTGGGTGGAAATACCTAATCATGTACATCGCCATGATCTGCCTCGAGATCCTCACCATCTACTTCTTCTATCCCGAAACCCAAGGACGGACATTGGAAGAATTGACTTTCTGTAAGTCTCTTGATTTATTTGTTCCTTTCCTGGGCTATAGACATATAAATAGAATAAGCATACGTACCATACAATACGGTACGGTACGGTATGGTATATTATCTTTACTGACTTTACCTTTTACCTGCAGTATTCGAGGACAAGGCACTTGAAGAGAAGGCCGTCGTTGCAGTAGAGAAGACGATCCACCACGAATCCGCCGACGATCACCTTGTGGGCGAGAAGGGGCCCAGGGCTGAAGAGGGACATGTGGAAGAGTTAGTGCCTCCGAAAATGAGCTGATTATGTGGCCTGGGTGGTCGCTGTCTGCAGGTGTGCAGTAATTGATCAAGGCTATCTATCAGAAGTGTCTGGATAGGAATAAAGGAGCTAGGTGTCTAGGAATGATTCATTCATTCATTCATCCTTCATAATAGGATCGATTAATCATCTCACGAATACGAGTCGCTCGCAGTAGCGTAATATGCTCCAAGGGATTGCCTTACCATGCATCCAAAGCGCCTTCCCTTCCCCTCAGACCAAGCACTGAACTCCAGATTTTCGATCGAACCCCCAATTCTCCGTCTCCGGCCCGAGTTTCCAGCGCAACTAGTAGTGAGTTTGTTCCGGATCGCTGCAGCGTGTTATACTATTTCAGAACAGCCTCCTTCCCGTTTCATCTGCTTCGATTGATCACGCAGGCTGCACAGTTCTTCGGACTGCTGGTGTGAGCTGGGCTGGGTTATGGCGATCCGATCACGCTTAATGGATCGATGCATAGCGATGAAGGGAGCAATGATGATGCAAAGGACTCAAGACCGAGCCGACAAGTGAAGCATGTAGAGATTCCTATTCAGATCTGAAGCTGCAAGTACTAGGCTAGCGCTAGCCTACCCAATGAAGAAAGAGCCTGGCGCCTCTGACAGCTTGCATCACGTATCTTCAGCCTCATGGTGTCTATCTACGGAGTTTTCCCCAGCTGTCACTATATATACATACATACAAAAACCAAGAGTTCGAGGACCGTCCGTGCGTCCGTCTGCCAAGACTAGCGACAGCAGAGGCGTATGCATGCATTCCTCGCTTCCTTCGAATAGGCACAACCCCAACCCCAACCCCAGACAGGACAGGACAGGGCAATCGCGACCTTCGACTGCCAAGGAACTGCCTATTGCCTTGATTTTCTTCCCATATATGTATCCATCTCATAATCGCATCACTACACTAGCAGTAAAACCAAACACCACTACAGTACTCTACTTTATTTCATAGAAATTGTAGTCGAGAGAAAGATGTTGGGTGCGCTCGCTGGACAGTGGGTGGGTATGGCTTTTGGTTTGCGGTGAAAGGAGAAGGAGGGACGAATGAATGAATGAATGAATGCTAGACGCAACAAGTGAGATCGTCAACGTGGGTGGGATTTAGGGGTCCAGCCCGCGTTTTCGGGAATGGAGCACCGGGAGGGGTTGGGTTGATCAATGCGCATGTACTCGTAGAATGCGGGGGGAGAAATGTTTGTAGGTATGCGTGCATGCACCTTGGCATGAGGAAAGGAACTTTGAAATTCTTGACTTGGGAAATACAAGCAAAGTGGAGACTTATCACGACACAATACAAGTTTCACGCACTAGTGTTTAAACCGACAACACAACACAATACACACACGATGCTCAGAAAAACTTTTTATCTTTATTCGTGACTTTTTGTCATGGTGGGATTTCTAATCCAGTTCTCTCCATTCCATTTACTCCATGCTCGCTGATTCGTTTTTCCCGAATGTGATTGATGGTGGCCGTGAGAAGCAAAAACACCGATTCTATGCAAGATGGAGAAAGAAGTGTGATGAACCCATCGTATCGAAGAGGTAATTTTATCTACAAAGAAGTGAAAAGAGGTACGACCCATGCCATGAAATGACGATGAAATCCAATGGGCAAAATCCCAAGAACAAGCCAGCAGAGACATCGAGATGGCGGGAAGTGGTATAAGAAGAGTCACTCCTCCAGAGGTGTGAGATATGCAAGACATTCGTTGGTGATGATGATGTGGTATGTCGAATTGGCTTGTCGAACTGCAGACCAGCGCAGCCACAAACCATTGGCGAAGACCTTACGTACAGGAAAGGTAGCGGCGCTCCCAGAGCTCATGGAACAGTCCCACTTCAAAGGGAACGGACATCTCAAACAGAAATTGCCTCAGTCATCTCTGCGATAGCTCCGGTCGCGGTGCCAACGTTGGTGATGTATTCGCCGCCCACGTTACCTAAGATGTGTTAGCTACTAATCTATACGGATCACAAGGTCATCTTACCAGCAGGGTAATAGTTGCAGACGGTGTACACCGAGTCGTAGCTGGCCTGGCCTAGCACAGTGTCGGGACCGCATGTCGCGCTTGCACATCCAACACTCACGGTGTCCTTCCAGACGACTTGAGAAAAGTGCAGGATATCATGGCCGTTGTACAAACCTGACGTGTCGAGAGTAATGTCGGCTACGTTGAATGGGAAGTCACCAACCTCGCCGTTGTACCAAGCCTCAGTAATAGCATTCGCAACAGCGCTAGAGTCCGAGGGAACACCGTTGGAGGCACCCCAAGCGGCAATATTCTGTCCGTATCCGTCGTTGTCATGCTTGAAGATACACTTGGCCGCGCTGGTGGCAGCAAAGCCGGCAAGGGTTGCGTTCCAGGTTACATCAGATGCAGAGTGGTTCGCACGGTGCTGGTTATGGTTGAAGAGAGCAGTGGAACTATAGTCGGTGGCGGAAGCGACCGGAGCGGCAGCTGATGAGGAAGCTACAACTGCAACTGAAGATGGGGTGACAACTGATGAGGCTGCAGCTGTTGAGGGAGCCGCAACTGAAGTGGGAACAACGGTCGTAGGAGCAGCAGATGAGGTTGGGGCAGGAATCGAGACCTCGACTGAGCTGCTGATAGTTGTAGGTGCAGCTTCAGTTGAAACAGCAGCGCTGAAGTCGTGGCTGTGGTGGAAATGCTCCTTCACGGGTAGAGACACGGCAGCAGCAGATGTTGCAGCTGCAGCTACAGTTGTAGACTCAGCAGCAGATGTTGCAGCTACAGATACAGTTGTTGACTCAGCAGCAGGTGTTAAAACTTCACCAGCTGTGACATAGACAGTGACGATATCAGTAACAATATCAGTGACAAGGGCCTTCTTAGCATGGTGGTGGAAGAGTTGGTGCATCGGGGTGGCCACAGTCAAGCCTGCGGAAAACAGGGTGATGATGGTAGCGGTACGCATCTTGAAGGATTGAGGTGGGGATATTTTTGAAGGTCGAGGTTTTAGTCTTCGAGGTGATCTTCGGAGAGAGGAAGCACTTTGCTGGGGGTGGACTGAATCGACGGTAGATCGAAAACGGCGAGATATTGGCAGCACAGCTGTACTTATTTGATTGACTCTATCGAAGAATCGTGGAAGGTTTCGTTGCCGGGGCTCTGGTTGTACACGGGAACCTGCGGAATGATATAGGTGCTGTGTGGCGTGGAAAAGAGTGAATGTACTGAAGGGTCAAAGAGGACTGGAATGAGTGGCAGTGGCTGGTCGACGGCTTGAGATTTGGGGAATGAAGATGTAGATGGCTGCGGATGGATTGAGACTTGATGCTCTAATCGTTTGTTGAGATGTTGTAAGGAGTGTAATTGTCGCGAACGACGGGGCAAAAATGAACGTGAGGGTGGAGGTGGAAAGAAGCAAACACAAGATGGGTTGGGTGGTGGAAAGGAAGATCGTAAGGTCGAGGCCATGAAGCTTTGGTTTTGTACGCTGCGTGTGCTCGTCTGTGGATAGGCCGAATGGAGTCTAGTCAGGGCTGGCAAGTGAACGATGACTGGTGCAGGGGTCAATTGACCTGGTGCCGGGGGCCGACCCGCTCTTTTCAGGGGAAAACAGGATAAATGTGGGTCGGTGTCTTATGTGAAACGGCGGAGGTCCACTAAAATAGTGCCGCCACCCGAGACAGACCAAGCAGAAGAGGTTATACAAATGAGTTATCCACCTCTGCTGTGCATGAATTACCTCCAATTGATTAGATAGGGTATTCAAATTACAGACACGGTCTTCACAGGTTCTTCAAGTTAGAAACACGGTCATTTGATTACTTGTAAGATTTCGAATATGAATGGAAAATGTGTGAGGAAGTGCACAAAGTAAATCAAAGCTCAGGGGCAAAGGATCAGCCACCAGTGAAATGGCATCTCCGAACTCCAAATGATTGATTGCAGAAGAGAGAGCAGCGATAAATCCCTCCCTCTACGGACAACTACTCTATTAACTATAGGTACTCGACGGCCCTGTGCGTTTTATAAATGAAGGGCTCCTGAATGAAAGTACAGCATATAGTAATTTAATCGAGATCCTTCCCGTGTACTGTAAATTTATCTGCATGCTGAACACGTTATCCCACCGGAATTAATCTTCTTTCCCGTCAGTGTCAGTACAACAACAGCAAAGGCTCCCTACATTCACGTACTCATCCATCTTTTCACAACCACACCAGGAATCTAAAGCCACAAGACCTTCATAAATATCAATCCCAAATCCAGAGGAGAGCAGACCAGACCATGCCATACTTATCCAATCCTCCTCTCTCTGATAGAGTAACACACACTCATAACCCATCACACGACAAACAACCCAGCGCCCAATCCCAATCCAATCAAATCCCAAGCTTAAGCCCACCTCAGATCCCGATCCTCCGGCCAAGCCTGGAGATTTGATAGGGGAGAGTCCTCCGTACCTTAGGGTGGGGCGATCATTTCGCACCTGTATCGCGGGGAAAGCCCTCACGGCTGATGATTGGCAGTGGGATGGGGTGGAGTGGGGTGTGTGGCTGTTTCATGAAAGCGGAAATTGATTGGCAGGCACAGGGGTCCGATCCATTGTGATTTGCTGATTCCGGTTCCTGCATCCGCCCACTCATCATCCCGGCGAGAAGCTTGGCGTGCGCTCTTGCCTTGTCCTGTTTGCCATGGATTGATTGATTGATTGATTGATTGTGCGAGAAGACATGTCGCATTTTCGGTTGCATTTATCATCTTCATTGATGAAGTTGATCATTATACCGAATATTGGGTAGAGATGATATGTCTAATTATATATACCTACACCTACTCTACCACTCTCTTCCTTATCCTTCCCTTCCCTTCCCTTCCTTACCTAATCCTCGTCACAATCCCATCATTTCACTCACCTCACTCACCACCCAACGTTAATTTCCCCTCCAACCACTACTCCATCCTAGAGTCCCCCTCCATGTTTCGTGATCTCCGGTCAGCAACGGTCCAGAACACCTCACCTCTCCCCCAGTCCCGGAAATCAGAAAACAAAACGACATAATCCTTACACCCTGCCTCGCATCATAAACTTAAACGGGCACAGTCCTATCCTATCCTATCCCATCCGTCCCATGTTGAAGAGTTCTTCTCGTTCCCATTTAGCGCCCACCTACCGCGCTTACCTACATGGGCTTGTTTCGAACATAAAGGCAACCAATTTCCCTCCCTCTTTCTTTTCCGAGTCTGTCGGGTCGAGGTTGTGTTGTGTAAACGCCACGCTCTACATTACATTACACAAATCTCACGTGAGCCGCGCCATGATGATTTCGATCCTCTACTCCGTCTCGTATACTTTCAGGACCCAACCTAGGCCGGGCCCGGGGCAGTCAATGTACATAATGCCAGCTTACCCCGAATCCGAATCCGAAATCCGAAGTTGAGTTTATTTGTATGAAAACACGGACACTCCTACTTGGTTTCTAAACTTATATATACTTTATATCCATCTCCTTGTAAGATTACCGGTATATGAATAGATCTGGTGAACAGCCGACATGCATCTATCCCGTGCAGCTTCCCGCGAATCAAGTCGTAGTTACACTACTATAACTATCTCATCTTTACTCCGTAATTTAGCTCAATTCTGAGCTTCAAAGACATACTTCCTTTCCGTTAGTGTTTAATAGCTCTATCATATCACAGCGTGCTATATAGCGGTTATTACCCAAAAAGATGTATGGCAGGTGCTCCCGTTTATCATGCGTCAACATTGCCGAACGCCTCAGCTGGTGCTGTCGCTCAAATCCTAAAATTATAGTACTAAGTAAAGCCACATGTTCTACTATGCATGACAACCTCAGGTGGAAGCACGAGCTTCAGCGGCTGGATTACATAAGGCAGCAGGCAAACGCCGGCCAACATTGCTTACATTCCCAAAACCGCAAACAAGATTCTAAGACGCGATCAAAGCCTTCATAAAGTCCGTACCATTACCTAGGTCTCACACCCTAATACACCGCATAATGCCACGACCGACTCGAATAAAAGGTGGTAATAAGCCTGCTACCAAATCGCCTTCTTCTGTCCCAGGCACCACAAAGCCGAGACCAACATCCGGCACTACTGGCAAAAACGCAAATTCAGTCTCATGTTAGTACTTGCTTATATTGGTGACTCAATTCTTACACTTCTCAAGCTGCAGAACCTGCCCGAAGCAAGAGACGCCAACAATCCGAAGGGCCTGCGCCGAGAGCTTCGAAAAAGTTGAAGGCAGATAGGGCAACCAACGACACCCCATCACAGAAACTGGACATCTATGTATTTGGTGAGGGCGAATCTGGCGAACTTGGATTAGGCCCGAAGCCTATTCAGGGGAGAAAACCTACCGATGTCAGATATCCTCGTCGCAATACACTTCTTGATCCTACAACAGTCGGAGTAGTTCAGGTGGCAGTTGGAGGCATGCACTGCATCGCTCTTACTTACGACCAGAAAATCATAACTTGGGGCGTCAATGATACTGTTGCACTTGGTAGAGATACAACATGGGAAGCACCCACAAGGGATATAGACCAAGATTCGGACGCAGAAGATTCGGACGAGGAGAGCGATTTGAACCCAAAGGAGTGCACACCTACTTCTATTCCCATGGAGAACTTTGGCAAAAATTTACCAACCTTCGTCCAAGTTGCTGCAACAGACAGTGCTAGTTTTGTGGTCACAAGCGAAGGTTCTGTTTATGGTTGGGGAACATTTTCCGTAAGTCTATCCACTAATTTGTGAACTGTATCTTAATTATCTTAGGCAAATGACGGACTCTTTGGTTTTACTACGAAGGATGCTATTCAGGCTGCAAAGATAAAAGACGAAGAAAAAAAGCTGCAGAAAAAGCTGCAGCGAAAGCCTGTCCCTGTTCTACACTTGACGAAGATCAAATCAATTGCGACTGGAAACAATCATGTTGTAGCCCTTGATAGCAATGGGAAAGCTTATGCTTGGGGTGCAGGAGAACAAAATCAACTTGGTCGTAGTATCGTGGAGCGAACTCGTTATGCGTCCTTAACACCTTGTCGACTTGCCCTTTCACCAAAAATCAAGCAAGTTGCTTCTGGTGCCTATCACAGCTTTGCTATTGGCGAGAACGGTCTCGTATATGCCTGGGGTTCGAATAACTTTGGCCAAACGGGAATTGTAGATGGGGCTGGCGAAGGCGACGCAGTTATACCCAAACCCACTATTGTGGAGAGTCTTCGGCCATATAAAATCAGAGAAATTACTGGAGGCGAACATCACTCGATTGCTTGCACCGATGATGGTAAGCTTTTAATTTGGGGCCGTTGCGACGATGGCCAGGCGGGTTTCAAGCTGGAGAACTTAGCAGAACAAGACCTTCTCTTCGACAGCCGTGGTAAACCACGGATTCTCCTAAAACCTACTGTGATCTCCGGTATTCACGTAGTTTCAGTCGCTGCTGCTATTGATAATTCGATTGCAGTTACTGCCGAAGGGAAGGCGTATTCTTGGGGCTTCTCTGCCAATTATCGAACTGGCCTGGGGACGGACGAGACAGTGAAGGAGGCTACTTTGCTAGCCAAGGGAGATATTGCGAATAGAAAAATAACCTTTGCAGGGTGCGGTGGACAATTTTCTATACTGGCTGGTCCGGCTCAGGGTTAGCGGCGTAGGTAATCATTTGGATGCCTTTCTTGTAGCACGACCTGTCTCTTCTGGTCTCTGCTTTGCTACCTGCATCTAACCCAGCGATTTTCCAAAAAACACTCTCCGAAAGGATCAAGGACCTTAGTGGGGAGAAGGGAGGGGGGAACTCGTCCCGGCAGATGCTGAAGGTCAAGTAGGCACAGAGCTTGAGCTGCCGCCTGTCCACCTGTGGCAGGTGGCTCATTTGACTGACTCTGCGCTGTGCGATGGTCCAGCGCGTGCGTGCGTACTGCGGCCGCAGTCCTGCCTGGGAATTCCTCCAAGATCCAGTCCCAAGACTCGTCCTCTTTCCTGTACAGTACACCAGCAAGCGCTGCTGCCTCTACAAGTTTGTTTCCATGGGATGTTTATCCTTGTGCTAGATCCCTGCTTCTTTTTGCGTGAACACGCGTTATTGTCGCTGCTGACATCAGGATCGCTGTTGCTCAAACCGCTCTCGTCATCGCTGCTCGCTTGACAGCTCACCCCCTTCCGACGGCAGAGCTCCAGCATGAACGATTCTGCTATGCTGGAGCGTAGCTGAAGGCGCGTCGTCCGAGACATGACATGACATGGCTTGCCTGCATGGTAGGCGATATAACCGTGCAGCTAGAGAGTCCGGGTGAGGTATGCCGGCTGAAGCCAGTCAAGAGGAACAAATAAGTGCTGCTCTATCGGCTTGATGAAGTCTTCAATCTTTACTCTTCCCTACATGGCCAACGCTCCTTCCTGATGAGTTGGGCACGCTGGCTGGAAGAGACTCCTCGCCTGTTGCGACCATCTCGGATCACTGCTGTGGAGGAGCAGCAGCGTGTAGAGTGTAGACGGGATATAACCTTGGTTCGCGTTGGTAGGATGTTACTAGATGATGGGCCAGGGTTATGGCAGTTAGATGGTGTCTCCGTATCTATGGTTTGTGGCGTTGAAGGTGCTGGCCTTTTTTCCTCCTTGTAATATCAGCAAGTCCAGAAATTACCACGCACGAAATGATCTGACGCTTGATTTGTGACGTGAATTAGTGAATGTCTATTCTATCTCATCCTAGCTATGATTTTGAAACACTGCTTCGAGCGGTTGTACAGAATACAAGAGTAAGTCTTGGACTGTAATACACGAAAGCCGAGACGTCCAGTTTCAACATTCTATGACAATTGTACTCAAAAGTCTGATTATCTCTGCGTCTTTTCTTCCTCGAGCTTTCATCTTCTTCTGAGCTAGGTCTTTTCTCGCGAAGCTCCTTATTACCCTACCTACTGCTCACCTCCATGATTGAAAGAATTTTTCCTGTCCAAGTCCTTGCTTTATAACATCTTCATTCTTCTGGAACTACTCTTTCGCATGACACCCCAATAATCTCTCTCGCTCCTACAAACGTCATAGCAGCCTACATCGCTGAATTCCACCTCCGCAATTCGGTCGGTACCTGCTCATCGTCCGGTTCCACGTTCCGTATAAGACAGGCCACAATATGTAGCGCGAAGACACCGGACTGATCTGCATCAAGATGATGCTGGGATTCGATCCATTGGTGAGTCCACTGACCCATATCAAAGGCGGGCATGTACCTATCAGTAATGCGGGCGCGGGACAGTGTCATTATGTATTCGCGTTCTGGAAGGGATTGAGGCCAGGAGCTGTAGTAATTGAATATCTTCTTCTTTTTATCTGCTACTGAGACATCGCAGGATAAGTAGCTACCGACAAAAGTTTTGAGAAGAGAAGACCCACAAACAACAACCTATACTGAATAGCATCTAAATGCAATGATACACTTCTTGTTCTTGGGATTTAAGAGATTCTTGCACTCTTTAAGCGGATCCGGAATGTCAAAGTCAATACGGCCCAAGATATCAACGCTCGTAAAGCACCTTCGGCGGTGACATGGGTACCAGGACTTAAAAGCTTTGGCGAAGAAGGAAATGGTATTGGTATCGTTGATTTCCTTGGCAGATCCATTTGAAATCATAGATAAGAAACCGTAGTATGTTTCGAGGTTTGGAAAAGGGATTGCACATCCACGGAGTATCTGCAGCTCATTTTGATCCTCTACTAGAGGTTCGCCGAAGTCCATATCCTTCCCTATTTGTAATCTTTCATCCCCATGGAACTCGTTGCGTATTTCTATAAATATCTTTGGAAGGCAGTCTTGGCTGAATTGAGGAATGGTCATCCATTCGAAATCGACCGCATTTGCCGTCTTGCTGGTGAAATTATGCGAGGGTTGAGTCGAGGGGTCAAATATCCGTATCTCACCAGGGTCATCTTTGCATCTGTTGCCCTCCAGCAATGATTTGGTGAGTGTCCCTAGTCCATAGTTTTGAGACCTCGATTTCGGTTCATTTTTCCCAGGATAATCGAATGATTCGAAGAATGCTCTGAAGATGTGGTGTTGAGACTCAAAGAAATGCTCATCGTGCTGCGTCATACAGTAGCCTATCTGCAATTGATCTGGAGCTGCTGTGTATGTTTTTTGTTCATCGTGAATAGTCTGTAGCCACCCTTCAGAGAAACATGTTCTGGTGGTGTTCTGGGAACTCCTTCTACAACGAATTAGTAGCTGGCTTCCCATAAAGAGCGAGAGCGGAGAAGACGAAACACTCTTGAGGGATCCCAACAACGTATAATCAAAGAGGATCAAATAAAAGGGCTGGGTACAACTCAGACATTATAAACGCCTGCTTGGTTTCTTCCTTGGCGATTTTGTCAAGGGTGTCTGGTACAAGGGTGTCTTGTATAGGAACGTCTTGTACAGGAACCTCCCAAGGACTGTCTGAACTTCGAAAAGGTTTTGTATTCTGTGGAACAAGCGAGGGAAGATCTGGGGTCATAGGAGCCCATTGGAAACCCTCATTCGCTGTAGACATTACTCGAGGACGCTTCTTCGTAGAACCAACATCATTGTTAACGTTGCTTTTCGCTTTCCTTCTGCGTGAAATGGACGGAGGCCGTGAGCTGTATAGATCTGAAAATGATCCACTGCCTTGCGATTCATTCTCGCTTTGTTTATGCGTCGGTTTTCTTGTTCGTTGAGATCTTGCTGGCCGCGGGTTAGCTGCGGGGGCTGGTGCTGGACCTGGGGTTGAAGTAGGGCTTGGGGGACGAGTATCTGGACTTCATGAACGTTAGAATGTGTCTCGAGTTACAGGCTGCTCTCCTCTCTGTCGGAGCAAGGTTGGAGGAGGGACTGAGGAGTTTTGCCTGGGAAGCTGAGTGGCAGGTGATATCCAAATGGACGGCCGATTTGGGACGCCTGAGAGAACGTGTTGGGGAAGGTCAGGACTTTGGATAATTCGTGGGATATCATGCACACTCAATCAGATTGTTGAAGACCAGAGACATGGCTGAGTTCTGGGAGCAAAAGATGGAAAAGATCAAGCGAGGAAAAGGGGCTCGCATACCTTCCGCCGACTGCTGCCATTGCTGCACCTGTTCTGATAATATTGAGTTGCGGTCGTAATAATACACGATTATGGATATGTTTGAGTATTTGATGAAAGGGTTTCTGGCCTTGACTCAAAGTATGAGGTGGCACGCCTTTTAGCCATCGCTCTTGCCAGAGTGAATGTCGTGGGGTCGCTGTCGGAAGAGACCATGGTCGTCACTTCCAAAATTCGAAGCAACAACATCATGTTCCAAGTGGATCAAACGCATCGCTGAATTGAATAGAACAATGTATAAGTCTATGCATAGCAGCCTAACAAACTACCTCGCAACCATTCATTCTCACAAGTAGATGCGACGCTATATATCATAATATAAGTGACGGAGGTGGAGATGAATTAGAATGATGTCAAATGTGGGACCATGATGGGGATAATTGAAGTGCAAGGGGGGACGGGGAAGATGTGATTGTGAACTAATGAAAGGTTCTCAGAGGCGTTTTTGAGGAGAATTTACCTAGGTAGGTGGGTAGGTAGGTAGTAGCGTGGATTCTGTTTCTGGGTACTCTTAGGACGAAGAGATAGAGAGTTTAGTGAGGAGATGGTCATGTGCTTAGAACTACCAAATGCTGGATCACATAATTACTTCCTTATGAGAACCCCTTTCATCCATTAGTCTCGCTCGGACATGTTTATGAATAACTGTCATTATACTGCGGGCGAAATACTAGATACCCAAGTATTTCAGCCTTATTCCCAATACCCTCACTCAAGACAAAGCCAGAAAAGCCGCCAACAACTTGGGGTAATTCGGCGTTCCCAATCCCGTCACAGGATCCCACCCCGCTACAGCCGTAAACCCAGCCGTCCCACAGCCCTCATTCCCCCCACTCGTGATATCGTTGAACGCGCTCGGATTCGCATACACCGTCGGGTTAATAAAGCCCACCACACTCTTATTCGCCGCAATCCGCTGCTCATTGATCAGCGTAATGACCGATCCAAACGTCGGCGCAGATGCCGACGTCCCGTAGACCAGAGACAGCGTGCCATCCACGGCCACGACGTAGTTTGCGCCGTTGGCGGACACGTCGGGGTAGCCGCGCACCGCTTGCGAGTTGTTGTATTGCGTCGCGGTGAAGCTGGGCTTGTGGGATGTGTAGTAGCTGGCTACGGCGGCGGACTGGTAGGAGGGCATTGCGAAGACGTTGCTGAAGCCGCCGCCCGAGTAGATTACTGTTTGGCAGGCTTCCTCGGGTGCGGTGGCTGTTACGAGGGTGTTGGGCTTAATTTGGGTTGCGCCGACCGAGGTAACGTATCTATAAAGAATTAGTTTTATATCCCCTGTAAAAAAGCAAGAGCACAGAGCCGCAAAGAAACTCTTGGAAAGTCCTAGATCGATAGAAACATGGAGTGGGAATAAAGAAAAAGGGGTACTTACGGGCACGTGGCTGGGAAGGCTGGGTTGAAGGTTCCAGAGGTTCCACTGTTATAAGTTCCGCCGGCACACTTCGCCTTTGTGCAGCATTGACCTGAATTTCCTGCTACCCCATAATCGCCGGATGAGTAGAGGAAAGTGGTTCCTGCGAGACCGAGTTTCATGTACTCGTTGCATTGACGAGTCTCATAGGCGGCCGTAAGATCGGCTTCGTTGTAGCCATACGAGGTCGAGATTACCGAGGCAGCCTTGAAAGTTCCGCAGTCTTCGTCTCCCTTGTATCCTCCACTCGCAGTATCAGGGTAGATACCATCCCTATAGGTTATAAGCGGATGTACAGTGTATTCATGACATATTCCTTACTGGCTTGAATCATCGCCACCACCTGAAGTGCAATACGCCGCGTCAATGGCATCCAAGAAGTTGTTGAAGGAAGCTCCTTCGACTGAGTCTCCAGTTTGGTAAAGCGTTACCTTCTGTGGATAAACTATATAATTCTGTCAGAAAGTGACAAAACATAATTGAACGGTTCTATTTACCTAACGCGATTGCGTACTGTAGATCAAGATCGGACTCTCCATTATCGTCAAAACTTTGGGTAGTCGTTTGGACAGTAGCACCATCAATGAGGTCGACTGTTGGTTTAGTGCCGGAAGGAATCTCGCGTGCCAGATTGGTATAGAAGAGGTTCAGATCAGTTTGCAAGTATGCCTGAGGAGTATACTCGACAATGCCGTAAGACGACCTGTTACATATAAGTCCAGGAAGTAGCTATCGGACGAGTATTTGAGAACTTACAGTGCCAAGGTGCCGTTGGTAAAGTTGTACAATGCTCGGAGACATTCGGGAGTAATATATTCATAACAGTTCGCAAGAGTGTATTTAGTGGCGTCAGGACTGAGATCCGTTCCTGGCGCGATATCTGATCCTTTCTTAATCTGTGGAGTAGGCCTAACCCTCATACTTCGCTTCTCTAAATCTCTGCGATTTTTCTTTGGCTTAACCTGTTGAGAAAAGAAAAGTCAGCCCAAATTCAACTTCTATGTTGCTAGAATATTGAACCTAGCAAGCGGCATGTTCCTGAAGTCTCACTGATAGTCTGCTCTAAGACAGTCCGGAACAGAAAAACGAGAAAAGAAAGTCCTTCTCCATCAACTTACAAGAGCGTCGAAGTGGATCGTTGGAGTAACAAAGTCAATATGCTCCTTGAGATGTGTTGGTACACTGTAGTCCTCGCAAGCGAGATGATCATTGCCCGTCTCAGCGTTGGTATAGGCATAATACTCTGTTCGAAGAAGGTATTCAACCTCCTCTACGGTAGCGTTGAATTTGGCCCAGCCAAGACTCTTGGAGAACTTGACCCGACTGTTATCAATTCCGGATTCTGCAAGCCAGGACTTGACCGAGCCAACAGTCTCGGCTGATGGCGCAAAAGTCTCTTTGATCTACTTTCTTTAGCTCGTAGTTCCGACATAATTTTCCTCGGAAGCTACCTTTTGCATTGACCAGTGCTTCCCGTAGTTGGGACTTTCGGGGTGTGAGACATCCATCAACATGTCATAGCCATTCTCCAGATTCCGTTGAGTCAGGCCAATAGAGATTGGAATGACAGCATCGCGATTCAGCTTGACGTCGAGATTGCGAGTCCATTTTTCCTTCTGGACTTCACGCTTCTCGTGCAAGGTATAAGGCACAGGGGCAGGAGCGGCAAGGGCTTGAGCCACAAAGCCACCAACGATCGCCAAGACAGTCAGCTTCATAATGCGGAGATTGAGGTTTTGAAGGAGGTTAGGAATGACCAAGGGGTTCCTTTAAAACTTGTGGGAGACTGAGATAATATATACGAATAAAGACCAAGAAATACCAAGACTTACTTGCATACCCATCACTTGATAGATTTCCTTGAAATCAGGAACATGTATACTCAACTGCCCAAAAGCAAGAGATCTCCGTGACCAAGATCCTCTAGGCTAGGACATTTCCCGATAAGAATTTTCCCCACAAGGTTGCAATTTGTAGGGGTGTAGCCCCAATAGGAAGGTTTGAGGTTAATCAAAGATGCAGGCACGCCAGTAGCGCTGAGTGAAGCAAGCAAGCCTCAACCAGAGACAGGGAAAGGAAGGCTGAAGGGATGCTAGTTCTCGGGCGGCCCAGCCTAAATCAGCTACAGAAAAGAAGGTTGACTTCGGTTCGGTATGGCCCGTGTTATCTTTAGCCGCCAGAAAGCTTCTATGGCGCGGTGTGAATGGAAATTGGTGTAATAAGATAGAGGCGTGTATATGGCGGAGTGGCACACTTTGGAATGCTACTAACACTGCAGCACAGCTAATCGCCGGTCAAGCCTTACCAGAGCGCCTGTACGCCGTACTGTACCGTATGGAATGGAATAGATCAGACGATAAAGAGATCGGCGAATATCCGTCACTTGTTCTGGATAGTCACCATCATCCAGCGCAACAACGTGACGAGTCTAATTGCCGCCAAGACTTGCGTGTCGGCAATTGGATGTGAACTGCCTTACAAACCGCCGCTAGCTGGGTTCGTGGCGATTTCATGGGAAAACAGGCTCTGATAAGTAGTCGATAAGGAAAGCCATAACCCATTCGGGAAGGAGATTGTGGAGGTGAAGATGGGTCGCGGGGCTCAGGGGGAGGTAGGTGTCGTTGCTATTTGCCGTGATCTATACGCACGGTTCAATAGGTGCCCTGCCCGCATGCAGATATATCTCCATCAAGATAGTTGCCGTATCATGATTCGTGTACCTCGTATGGCGTACCGACTCTTATTTGTGCGCTTTCCGTTGCTTGAGTCCCTGAGAGCGTGCCGGAAACTCTGACGCTATTATTGTTCATCCGGGAGTTCACAAGCTGGGGTCGGTACGGGTGCAGAAGCATTGCAATTGGTGGATTTCATATTTGCGTATCTGATATAAGGGTAACAATTACCTTATGGAATAGAAATCAACAATAATCCCGTAGAAATGGATGATAGGCCTGGGATTGGGTAGAGGGTCTCAGGCATTTCCCAAGAAGAGTCTATCGCAGCTCTCCAACAACCTGTCATGGCGAATACTCCGTACGGTTGACTTCCATATAAATTGACTAAGCGATGTAAAGCGCCGGATGCGCCTTCAGATTTCGTAAGAGATCAAGCTTTGCCAATAAATATCAAGACATGGTGAAAGGCTTGAGTCCCAGGGCCAAGACAGTCAGGTGCACCCCGCATTGTCTCACGGGTCGCGGCTCGCAGATAGGTATGTGCCAATGCCCTCAAAAACCAGGAATGTCCCTCGAGCGATTTCCCTCACAGATAACTGTAAATGCCTACCAATCGGAATGATCTGGTGTGAGTCTTCAACATATATTTTGGACTTCAAGTTCTCATTATATGTGAATGTAGATCATGCGTTCAGCAATAATGTGATAGCCCGCATTCGATGATGGTAGTTCGAAGAAATGGAGCCCAGGTCTTAAGCACAAAAGACTAAAAGTAGAGAGCGTATAAACCAAGCATGATCTGCAAATATGAAAAGGGAGTCTTGTAGTATCGCAAACCATGCGTCTTAAATGACCGCTTTATACAGCCCACTTTAGTCATCACAAACCTATATAAACTCCGGCGTCATGATCTTGCGCAGCTTCTTCGACCTTGGATCGACATGAAAACTTAACAGTCTTTGGCTCTGGCATTTAGACTGAGCTATAGAATTCAAAAAAAAAAAAAAAACTAGTGCTTGAACAGCCAATCTGGAAATCCAGCTCCTTCTCGTTGCGCGCATAGGTTGAGTCATGCCGGTCTCAAGGTTTAAAGTTCGGGATAAAGGAGCAGCGACACACAGGATCCCGCCATCTTTTCCTTTCAGTGTTCCAACAGGTTGAACAGTACTAATGCAAGTTGGAGAAGCTTTGAGAAATGAATCAGCATTGGAATCGTTGCTGGACCGAGAGTATTTATACTGAGACGAGGTATGAAGCAATACCAGCCATGATCCCGACAGCAGCCTCATCGAAGAAGTCAAACACTGAGTGCGAGACTGGTCGTGTACATAGAATTGTCGAAAGAGCGACCAAGTTCCCAAACGATCAACCAGGCAGCCCGTTCAGAAGTCAGCTCTCAAAATAGTCGGTGATTTGAACTCGTGGGTGGGCAACTTACTGCGGCAAGAAGGAGAGCAGCAAATCCCAGATAAAGCAACAAGATACCCTTCCCCGAGCTGCACGAAGATGGAGATGTAGAGACCTAAGCCTGTACCTTCGAAGCACCCTGCTAAGAAGAGGACGTGCATTAACTGACCAAGACCAACTACAAATAGAGGAAATAGAAGGTAAATAGAACGATTATTTTCAACGAGAGAGCTTGAAAATTTCGACCAGCAATTTTGGAGCAATCTCTGTGCAATCCGATTTTATGGACTACTCACAATAACTTCGACTCGCGCGAAAATAAAAACCCCCGAATCACATCGTTAAGCTGGCCAAACAAAAGATTCCTCCCGCCGGCGACTCAAATTAGGAAGCAGCCGTTTGCAGTTGCAAAATGATACGAAGGTGTGATTTATGGAAACGAAGGTTGATCATTGACCTCACGATGAATCAAAGACCACAAAATTGACTATCCTTACCCTCTCCTCTCTTTCCCCGTACCAAAGTTCATCTCCTATTGATTTGCCCGTTTGTTCACAGAGCTCAGCAGGGAAGTGAAGACACCCACTGCACTAGCAGCTTTTACGACGTGTAAAATCCCACCGAGGAGATGAAATAGCCTTCCCACACCCGCTGCAGTCCCTCTTAGAGAAACTGATATATGCAGGTGAACATATCAGGAAGACAGGAAAAGCTGATGACCTCAGAAGCTGTATTGGACCTTAGGTCGCTCGCAAACACAAAAGCAACCCATGGTAATGCGTCTTTGCAACGTCATCAGGCACGTTTCTGGTTTCTTGCACAGAAGAAGACCTCATAGTCCTGTGCTCAGGAGTTGTGTGTGGATGAACTTGCGATGGATGCTATATATAAACTGCCCATATCAGTCGTGATGCTTGAATACAAGGTAATCCTTTTGCTATGGGGCCCATAACGGTATACTTCCGAAGGTACTTGGTGAGCGATCTTTAGAGTTCTTGCAAAACTTTGGAAGCTACGAGCTGTTTTGTTGCTGATCTCGAATGTTTTGAATGTTTTGCACTTACGGCCACAAGAAAGTTGAGTGATTCCCCCTGTAAAGTTGTGTTGAAGTTATGCATACTAGTCCCTAAACAGACTGGCTCGCGAGATGCATAAGTTTATACGCCAGCGTGCCGAGGTTCTCGGCCTAGCTAAGCTAAGCTAAGTACTAAGTACTCGGTAGCTCCTCTTCAAAATTTCACCACATCATTTCTAAAGTTTATCTAACAGACATCTCCGCCATATACGAGAACAGCTGAAACGAATCCGCCACAACACCTAGAAAGGTACTCTATACCCAGAGGCAGTACACAAACCTACCTACCTTACCTAGGTATTCTTGGCCCTTTCTGGCTGGCAGACTCTTACGGACAATCGAGTTAACGTGCTAGATTCGAAATGCCCTACCTGCACGTACATTCCATACCAGCATCTCAAGTGACTGCGGAGCTGGCGGATATAATCCGCTGAGAATACCATACTACCGAGGGAGCTCTGGACCGCCTATTTCAGTATTCTCAATCAGAAATAGTTTGTTCCTGTTTCTCTTTTTTTTTCACCCCGCGTTCTTGTTTTTTAGTGCTGCACCTCGCTCAAGTCAGTCGTGTTGAGAAACCCCGCAACGCAAACAGTAATTCGTCATGCACCGAACTAGCTGTTCTTGATCCGATGTCTTTAGTTTATACGCTGGATGACCGGCTGCCGACTACGCGGCTTGAGCCAACAGAGACTTCATATCCATTCTTTGACACGGACTGAGTGGTCCGGAGAGGAATGTCACTGATCAGCATTACCGGACTTTGTTCATGTTTCCTAAAGGGAACCAAGCTCAAAACCCCAGCCAATGGAATGTAATACTATTTAAGCATGAAGGTAAGCATGTCTATTCTCAGCCGCTCTCCCCGCAGTTCGTCACCCTAGCGCTGCTCCTATTTGCGGGGTACACTACTGTAGAAGTCAGTACTGCACAATAGCGCAGGGGACCTGAGCTGGAGCTCTCGGCGCTGACGACATGACTGCAAGGCGCCCGTCAGATTTCGAGCCTCTTTCTTTGTTTTGGAACCTCGTGAGCAGGTGCAGCAAGTCATGAATTGCCACACTATTGATTTTAGAGTTTAACCCCCTCAAGTATCCAATGAACGTGCGTCTATTTTGAGCTATTTCCTCGTATGCTGATTCTGGCACCACTTGACTCTTGCTAAAAGAATTTGTGGTAGATCTTGAGGCTCTTTGCCCAGACACGCACTTGGGGAAGACATCGTGGTTTTCACTGTCTATCTTTTGGAGCGCCTCTTGGGGTATTAGTGAAAGAAGCTATTTGTAATTACAACACGGGCCTCTGCGTCATGTTTATTTCTTCTGGAGACAGAATGCTGGTATATAGATATGCTCATAGCCATTCTCTAAGACATCGCTAAACTATATACTCAACAAAATACCTTGTATCATTTGTTCTCATCTACGCTATTCATCATGAAGTACTCGCTCTCAACTCTCGCCGTTGCAGTTGGCGCTTCGCTGGCAGCCTCTCAGTGCACCTTCTCCATCACGGCTTCAGGAGGTCAATCAGGAATCGTTGGCCAGCTCAGTGACGGACAGAACCGCATTGGTGGCAGCAATTCACAGGGAACATACACTATCAGCAACGGTCAAATCACAGATTCTCTAGGACGAGGCTGCATCCTCACTCCACCAACCACTCAATTCCAATGTGACGTTGGAGCGACTCCAACTGGTGGATTTGCAATTGGCAGTAATGGTGAAATCACCTTCAGCGGCTCAAACGTCTTTTACGCTTGCCCCGCTACATCCGACATGTACAACATCTATACTACACCAGTGTCAGGCCAGTCTTTGTGCGTCCAAGTTGCCTTGACCGCAAGCAATTGCTTCGCTGCCAGTGCTAAGCACACTACCATGGTAACCTCCACCGTCCAGAAGACAGTCACCAGACAAGCAGAAGCTACCACGGTAACCTCTACCATCCAGAAGACAGTCACCAGCCAAGCAGAAGCTACGACCCCCACTTCCACGACCTGCCCCGCCAACCTTAGCGGCGCTTATCAATTCCCCCATCTGATCGTTCCCGTCTCCTCCTCCAGCCCTACCACGGCAGCAGGAACCTCTTACAACGGCGTGATAACCTCCATCGTCTCATCAATCTTCAACTTCGACATCCCAACCACCTTGACCGGCACCTGTTCCCTTGTCTTCCTCTTTCCATTGCAGTCTCAGCTTACAACATCTTCCTTCACCTTCTCCGGAAACGGCGTCCTTGATTTCAAGCAGTTGACTACCGTCGCTACCACGTCTACCACTTTTGCCAACTTGGGTACCGTCAAGACCGACTTTGGAACGAAGACTATTACGCCTGGTTCTTCCACCGTTATCACGACCTTCGCTTGCCCCGCTGGCCAGGCTGTCAGCTACGAGATCTCGTCTGTGAGCGGAACTTCTTTGACGTACTTCCAGGACTTCAATCCAAGCCCAATTGGCCTTTACATTACCTCTTGCTAAATGAATGGATGTATATCTTACCCGCTACTTATTTGGTACAAGGGAATAACAAAAGTCTTGTAATTTTGGAGATTTTCTACTTGGGAAAGTTTACGTACCACCACCACATTCCTTGACAAGACACATGACGCATACGACAATGAGGGAAGGAAATAAAAATGTATATAATTCTAGTTGAGAGATAGTCCCTCCTTATACCATAATATTAATCATCTCCATCAAAATATTATCTTCCATTTGGTTGCTGCCACTCCGTGTGCCATTGCAAGTGGCATCTACCTTATCTTTTCTTAATCGGAGTCCATCTTTCGTTGGCTGAAGCATTTTATCTAACTAGTTCCGTATTGATTTCGGGCCTTACTCACACCATTCATTTCCATCTATAGTATCAAAAAAATCAAAGCGTCGAGGACGACGGGGTTGGTTCCTTTGACTTGCTCTCAATACCCGCTTCGTAATCGCACCGCGATCTATCATCTATCTGCTCATCCTCGGATTTCCCTTCAAGCCTAGCAATCCTGAATGGAAAAGCCCTCTTGTCGTGCAAAGCATGATCGTGCGTGTTGCTAGCACTTGCGGCTCTGCTTACTCCGATTATCATTCATTGCATGTTGAATCTCGTGCACGTCGGACAAAAATGCCCGGACTGTCTGCGGAAGGCATGAAGCATGAATCCCGCGGTGATTCCGCGGACTGAATTTCGAAGCTCCTGTGCTAGTCTTAGCTTGCATCCTCGATCGATAATTTCACAACAGTTTAAATGGTATTGAGAGAGCAACTTTTCTATTATGTTTTACTCTACATGCCTTTTAATGTTCTCTTTCTGAATATTTGATTTCGAATTTCTCTTTTATTTCTTCTCCTCCACCGACCAAGATGAGAAACTCGCAAGATCTCAGAGGTATAAACTCAGTCCACCCAAGAGTATCAAATCAACCTGATGAGGTTATGTTTAAACGGAATATCGAGAGCCAACCTGGCCACGAGGACAGTGATTCCGATACCACGGGCCAGGAAAAACAACCAACAGATCCAAATATTGTGGATTGGGATGGTCCAGAAGACCCTGCTAACCCTATGAACTGGAGTTCAGTAAGGAAGATTGGAGCTATAGCCATGGTATCCACCATCACCTTGCTATCGTGAGTCCCCATTAACTACAATACACCACACTAGTCTGATAAGCAGAACTGACGAATAGTAACTTAAAGGCCCCTCGCATCGACTATAATCGCACCTTCTACTCCCCAAGTCATGAAAGCATTCAACTCGACCAACGAGACGTTAGGCTCCTTCATAACCTCCATCTACCTCCTTGGCTACTGCTTCGGCCCGCTCGTCATCGCACCTCTCTCAGAGCTGTACGGCAGGTCCATTATCTACAACGCCTGCAATACCATTTTCCTGATCTTCAGCGTGGCGTGTGCCGTTGCCGACAGCGAGGATTCCCTGATTGTCTTCCGTCTCTTTTCCGGCATCGCTGCATCGTGTCCCCTCACGCTCGGAGCCGGAACAATCGCAGACATGGTGCCGTTGGAGAAACGTGGGATGGCTATGTCGTTCTGGATCATGGGACCTTTGCTCGGACCAGCCTTTGGGCCTTTGGGTGAGCTTTGCATCAATCGGCCTTTGAGGATGAATGGAATTGGACTGATGATGGAGTAGTTGGGGCTTTCCTCGGTGATGCTAAAGGCTGGCGTTGGATCTTCTGGCTTATAACTGTCATTGTAAGTTTCCGAGTTCTGTACAGTTGTTCTCTGACTGATATGAGCGCAGGCTGGTGTCGTCTGGGCGGGTGCCCTATTCCTGCTACGCGAATCCTACCCTTTCGTGATTCTGAAGTGGAAGACTCAGCGTCTGCAGAAGGAGACCGGAAACCAGAACCTGCGATCCGCTTTGGATACTGGCAAAGGTCCAAAGGATCTGTTTCAACAATCCATCGTTTGACCCCTCAAGATGCTATTCCTGTCCCCGGTTGTATTTTTGGTTTCACTTCTCATGGCCATAGTCTACGGGGATATTTATCTTTTATTTACAACCTTCGATCGGGTATTTCAAGGCCAATACGGTTTCTCGAGTGGGATCGTTGGGCTGGTATATTTGGGATCGGGAATCGGGTCTTTCTTCGGCTTGCTCTTCTGCGGCGGAATTTCAGACTGGCTGGCGAAGAAGCTGACCAAGCGCAACGGCGGAAGTGCAAAACCTGAGTATCGTCTCCCGGCCATGTTTGTCGGGGCAGTGGTTGTACCCTTTAGTCTATTTATGTACGGCTGGACAGCAGACAAGAAAGTGCATTGGATCGCCCCTATCATTGGTGTTGGGCTAGTCGGATTCGGATTGTTTGCCATATTCGTAAGTGATCCATCATCTTGGGCGAGAACCTGGGACTAACTCCGAGCAGATGCCGGCTACTGCCTACCTTGTTGATATTTACACTATCTATGCAGCCTCTGTAACCGCCGCAGCGCCTGTTTTCCGCTCTCTTCTCGGAGCACTGCTCCCCTTGGCCGGTAACAGCATGTACGATGCACTTGGACTTGGTTGGGGAACGTCCACTCTAGCTTTTATTTCAGTGGCCTTTATCCCATTGCCTTTGATCCTTTGGAAATATGGTCAGCGGATTCGAGACAGCAAATACGGCCAGGTCAGCTTCTGATGGGAGGTTGTAAAGCATAGAAGCCATGGAAAGGTCGTCGTAAGTAACGGCATTGAGATCACGAGTGTAGAAAAGCAAAGATGGTGAAGTTTTGCTAGATCAAGGAGCCGAAGAGAGGAGATTGATGCCCAGAGTGATGAGAGCTGGACCTAACTATTTTAATCGCCACTTAACATATTTCAAACAAGTGTATTAAACGAGTACAGTACCTCTTATCTCCAATTAACTTACCAATTAACTTACCAATTAATTTTAATTACTATTAGATAGTATTGCAAATCTAAACAACATTTTAGAGGCAATTATTAGAATTTCAAAGGGTCATGGATAGCATAGTAATAGTAATAATAGAGGCATTCAAGCAGGCGCAAGTTGGGTTATAGCCCGTCGGGTCGGCATTATATTGATCCGTCTAACCTTGCCTTAATATCTCCTTCTCCCTCTGTCCAAGGTTCCTAGTTATCCACCTGCAGCTGTATCATCAAACTCCGACCGTAGATCCAGGTACTTTACGACAATCAAGCCAGGCTCGATGCGTGCAGGCCACTCATTATGAACCCCGATCTGCTAAGTAGCAAGTCTAAATTTAGCCCTACCTTGGCTCCGCGGAAAGTCCGCGGCGAATCCGAAATCAGGCAAAGCCAGTCGCTCCTGTCTTCAGCCAAGCTGGCATTTCTCTCATATTTATCCGCATCTTCATCTCCATGGGAAATCCGTCTGCATAATGCCTGAAGACCAGAAAGCGCATCGTTCTCGTCAAAGACCCGTCTCCTGCCGCTTCTGCAGGTCACGGAAGCTGCGCTGCAGTAGAGAAGCCCCATGCTCAAACTGTGTATCCCGCGGTGTTCGTTGCGAATTACAAACCCCCATTCGGTCTTCGTCCAAGTCTCGCGGTGCTTCCGAGCCCGAGCTCCTTGAACGAATTCGTAAATTGGAGGATGTCGTAAAGAGCCAGGAAGCACGGCGAAACGCAAGCATAGAGCGGCAGTCCGACAACTCTGATATTCATCTACAACAAGAACACCCTTCAAATTCATCGCCTCTGATTGAGCACCTCGATGATGATGTTGCTTGGCTTCGGAGCATCTGCAATGTGCAAGACTTCTCGGTAAATCTTCCCTCTGCGCCTCATGCATTACTCTAGATCTGATAACCAGAGCAGGATAAAACACCCTCGAACAAAATCGTGTTCAGGGTTTGTCCAATACAGCAGATTATACAAGGCCAGCAATCATACATTAATCAAGATCCGTTCCCTTCCTCTACACGTGTTGAACCCTTGAGATGTGTCTGGCTGCCACAATACGCGGAGGCCAAAATACTCCTCGAGAAATACCTCGAGGACCCTGACCATGTCCATCATATCGCTCATAGTCCCTCACTTCCCGCTGTTCTCGACAACATATATGAATGTTTGAGCTAGAAAGGTTAGGTGAAGCCTGGGAACATAATGCTGCTCCTGGCCATATTTGCGGCCGCAACTCAAACCTGGGTCCTGCGTGACTGTGGACGGGGTTTGTTCTCTACATGCGCAGAAGCCAATAAGCAGTCAATAGGGTGGATCAAAGCCGTTGAGGATGTGCTCGATATTTCCCATCGAACATCATCCGTGCCGATTGAGGGTATACAAGCAATTAGCATTGCGTCATTCGTTTTGTTGAACATGGAAGGATTTACTCGAAGAACCAAGGCATTGTTTAACATGGCTCTTAATTTGTCGCGAGACCTGGGACTCCACTATCTGGACCATCCGTCCAACGCGCAATCCGCAAATTCAGCCCAGACGGAGATTGGAAGGAGGGTGTGGTGGTATCTAGTGGCAACCGATTGGTTTGGTTCCGTCCCCGAACAATCTTATAGGACTAACAATATCTTAGGATAATTCCTGCAATGAGGTTCAATGGTGGACTCCAGGGCTATTATAACTGTCACCCACGCCACATGCTGGTCAGAAAACCCCTGAATGTTAATGACGAGGACGTTATAGATGGCATGAGTTGTATCGACCAGCCGCTATCTCAACCAACAACCATGTCGTTCACTTTGCAAAGACTCCGTTCATCCGAGATATCCCGCAGGATGGTTGACCGTACTCCTTTGATGATGGGTCGCGCCGGCGGTCCAAGCCACGACGTTGTTATGGATATCGATACTGAGTACCAAACGCTCTTAAACGATACCCCGCCATTCTTCTCCATGCCAGTCGCAGATCTTACCACAACCTACCAACTCTCTCCGTCCCGCGCAGCAAACATCGCTCACCAAGGATACATGTTATACTCCCTAATCCACGCCCAGCGGTGCACACTCCACTTCCCGTATTTCAGCCGCAGCTTCGCGGACCCCGCATATGCCTCCTCCCGGGACATCTGCCTACGATCCGCGCGGCTAGTCATCCAGACGGAATCGCAACTCGAAAACTCAAAAACCGCAGCAACACGTTACAGGTTCCTCGCATTTCTGGTAGCTGTGTTTATGGCTAGCATTGTGGTGCTGATGGATTTGTGTTATGACAAGGCGCCGTGCCAGCAGGAGCAACATCGAGGGGAACTTGCGGAAGCGATAAGGATACTTGAGCAAGCGCGACATGAGTCGGAGACTGCAGCTAGATTCCTGGACTCGCTGATGCATATACTGCGCAAGCACAAGGTGTTGCCACCGAAGCGGACCCAGCTGGGGTGGCAAGTGAACAGCTTTCGGGTGGGGTAGTGACAATGGCGTATAATCATATGTCTGGCCAGCCAATGTCAGGGGCTTCATCGAGCGTGCTGGGAATCAATGAAGCTGGTAGCATTGATATGGTTGATGATGCCTTTGCGAATGGGGAGGACTTGTCTTCGTACTTCGATGAGTTGGCTCAGAGTTTTGAACAGGGCATTGATGTCGGCAGCTTTGATTGGAACAGTATTTTTTCGGGACTCGACTCCCCTGTTGTTTGAGGCTAACCTGGTTGGTTTTCACGTAAATGGGAATTGTTATTTGATAAGGACAAGCTTTTATCGTCAGCAGAAATGACCTAGCTGGAGCTAGAATGAGGCGAGTGAAAATTTCAGGCGCGCCGGGTGTTGAATGAAATGAGGGAGACGACGTTGGATCCCTGGCTAAAGTAGATTGGTTGGTGATTGCTGACAAGTTTGATCCCAAACACTTTGTAGGTAACAAGAGATGCTAACTAGAATACCGAAAGAATGCTTTACGTTTTGGCAACGAAAAACAAGCCAAACGGAACAGATCCTTTATATATTCAAAACCTGGGTATATTCACACATCATCAATCTCAATCCCACCCACCTCAAACCTGAAAGATGAACCTAACATCATCATCACTCTTCACGGGCCCCTCCTCGCCCACCTCACCCCCCGCAACCCTGACCCTCTTCCGCTCATTCTCCCTCCTCAAGCACCACCACAGCACCAACGTATTACAAATATTAGCGCCCAAATACCCCACCGCAAAGCCATGTCCCAGAAACCAGCGCGGGCTCGTCGCCGGCCGATAAAGCTGCGTACCCAACACGGCGCCCAGATTCCCAATCGTGATGGTCATAGCGGTCGCCGTGGCTCTCTTGGACTGCCCACTCACGTTCGCGGCCGGCCAGCTCAGCACGATGGCGCAGCTGGGGTAGATGCCGGCGGCGGCGAAGATGGTGCCGGTGTATGAGACGCCGGGACGGGAAGGCGGGGCGGTGAGGAGGAGGATGTAGCCGATTATGGCGAGGGTGGTGGTGGCGAGGACGAAGGGGGCGCGGGAATGGGTTTTCTCAGCGCCGATGGCGACGAGGATTGTGAGGAGCGTCGCGGCTGCGTAAGGTGGGACGGTGAGGAGTTGGGCTTCGGCGGCTTTGTAGCCTAGTTTTGTGATGATTGTGGGGAGGAAGAGGGAGAGCGTGTACAGCGGGAGGGACATGGTGTGGAAGCCGAGGCCTGGGGTGGGGTGTTAGTAAATATATAGGTTCGTTGGGGCATTTTGAAAGAAGGGTATGAGTGAGATGAATGAGAGTGCACTTACAGTATAGCCAACATTTATAGTCTTTAAACGCGGACGCGACATTCCCCCATGTGAACTTCTCTTCGTTAGTAGCGTCCGAGTCGCCTTTGAGACGCGCTTGTATGAATGCCCGCTCCGGCTCCGTGAGGAAGGGGGCTGTAGACGGGTAATTGTGAATAAATAGGTACGAGAGCGCCGCAATAACAACAGTCAAAAGCCCCTCCTAAACAACACCATACCATTAGCAAAAACCCCTGTCCCAACACTCCGCTGCCCATCAACAACACAACATACCAGAATAAAAATCCACCTCCATCCATTATACCCGCCCACCCCCTTCATAAACCCGATCCCGTACGCCAGAACGCCCCCAAAAGCTCCCGCGAGCGAAGCAGCCGAGAAAAATAACGAAATGCGGTAATGTGTTTCGGTCCGCTTATACCACATGGAAAGGTAGAAGAGCACACCGGGGAAGAGCCCAGACTCTGTGACGCCGAGGAAGAATCGCGCGACTACGAAACCGGCAAAGTTTTGCGTTACGCCGAGGAGCGTGGCTACGATACCCCAGGCGAGCATGAGCGTTGGGAGCCAGAATCTGGGGGGTTGGGTTAGTGGTCGTTATATAAGACTAGGAATAGAGGGTACGTACTTGGGCGTTGTTCTCTTGAGGATGATATTGCAGGGGATTTCAAATAAGACCTTGACAATCAGCTCAGCTCCATCAAATGTCCCAAGACGTAATGGAAAACTCACATATCCAATGAAATAGATAGTCAGCGTAAGTAAGTACTGATTCCCCGTAATCTTCAAGTCCTTTGTCAAGCCCACCAACTTCGCATTCCCAACTGTAGCCCCGCAGTGATTAACACCACCATCCATCATATCGGTTCAATGGGTACAATACATACCATTACTACGATCCAGAAACGACAACAGATAGAGCAACGTTAACGGAGGAAGTAATTTCCAATCCAACTTCCTCACTAGAGACTTCTCATTGATCCCCGTAGGATTCGTGAACGAATCATCGGACTCATCCCCTCTGCTGTCATTGCCACGATCGAGGGTGGTCTTCTCGTGAGAGACTGCGGCTTCTGGGTCTGACATGTGGGATAGTTGCAATTGAAGCAAAGGAATAAAGTGCAATTAAATAAAGGACAATTAAACAATGTTTATATGGGGCAGCAGCTATACAAGTAATAAGGAAAAGAGAAGAGATGTGATTTGCCTAGAGATGACGACTTAACCTGTGTTTTGCCAGGTTGTATGTCCCCGGATACAACGCTATTACTTATCTTGGTCCCTGATTATGCATGTTTATGAGGCTGGAGCTGGCCGCTGGGTGGTGTCGAGGCTGTTTAGCGGATGGTGAGAGCGGTGGACGCGATGTCGTGATTGGGGATGTATTCGGCAGTTGGGGTGTTGATCATCGTTCACGTGATGAATATATATATATACGCTGTGGATTTCTTCTAGATCAGGTATGTGTTATGCCGGTTTTTTATCAAGTTTTCAGACACATCAATCTTTGCTACCTTACTATATATTACATAATTATTCATGCTATTCTATGCTACGAGCGACGCGGAGGTCAAGCATTGCATCACTAACTAAGCGGTTCCAAGTCACATGACTATAAAAGCTCTAGCGGTACCCCGCAACCTCTAAAGGCTAGTATTGCCTCTACCATCAATCTTATAAGCTTACGCCCGAATAGGCAGGTCCCTTGTTTTATTGCACTTCGCATAACTGCAGCTCAAAGCCTTTATAGTCATGTGACTTACCCCAGAAAGCATAACCTCATAACTGGTATTTAAGTCGGTAAACCTTATTTAGAATCACTTAAATAGTAGTTCTTACCAATTAAAATCATTAGAACTATTGTATTGCGATGTAAAAACTTAATATGTCCGAAAAATTGATAGACAACCGCCAGATTGTGTATATGTAGTTTGAAGGAGATGAGAGGAGAGAATATGCGTTGAAAGTGGAATGCAGCTGCATGAACACGAGATAAGGTTATGAGGCACACAAGCGAAACACATTATCAGAAAATGAATGTGAAAAAGTAGTTGATTCCATTATCATCTATTGACGCTGGCTAGCTAATTCGTTTGCGGGAAGTCATCTCCAGCGTGTTTTCCTTCTTCCCCTATCTTTTTCAAAGCCATAAGCAATTGACGGGGTATCGGGAACAAGCAGCAAACACCACGATCCATGCACGCAAAACCCTCCTATGCAAATGTTGCCCTTGGGCCTGGTTGCATCGGGGTGTCCCAAGTCAAAGTCCGAATACTCCAGCAAACAATGTGAAGTCAAAGGTCGTGTGCTACGAGAAATAAAGAAAAGGTCGTAATGGCTGATGGACGAATGCTGGCTTCGTGCCACCAAGTGAGAGAAATTATTAAGATGATCCAGTGATCGTAAATTCGTAGTTCGACAGAATTGTAGTGTTGTTTTTACAAAGTTGATACTGTGCGTAAGTCAAATTATATGGTGGTGCCTTCCAGATTCAGGACTTTGGAGCTGTCGCCGAGAAACTTCGCTCGATGAGCGATAATTTCTGCTGCAATCACATTAAAATCCTTGATCTTTCTAGCCCGCAAGTCGGTCAGAACGGCTCGCAATCCAGCGCAGAACTTGTCTCGCTGTTCAGCACTGTATTCTTCCGGAGAACCAAGTGCTGTAAGCACGGCATCATCTATAGGTATAAGTCAGCCTGGCGGACAAAACGGGCAATGAAAATAAATGAGCCTAGATTGTCGTGGCTTCAAACAACCCACGCACCGGCAAGCCCTATATCTCTGAAATGTTGGAGGTCGCAGGTAGAATCGTTGCAAACCCCGCCGGCCAGCTCATATTGACAAAATTCCATGCTAGGATTGATTTTATGACTATAGGTCAATGATCTCAAACCTCCAGGCACTTGCTGTCTATAATGAGGATGGAAACGGAAGGCACGGAAGCTCTTGAGAGGGCTCTCGTAAGCTGTGAACAATGGGACCTTATGATTCTCTTCGGGATTTCTCTATTTCATCGTCAGCCTCCCCCAAATGCGGTTTAGATAAGATTTTTCCTGTACTTTGATAGGCCGTGAGATGCTGCCGTTCTGTTCCGGCAGTATCTCTTCTACGCCACCTCGTGCACCATCATCAACTAACTGTATTGAATCATCAACAAGCGAAGACTCAGAAATAACATCTGGTGGGGCTGGGCTGAAGGGAGGAGATTCAATAGGGGATGGTTCATCGACGGCTGGTGTTGCTTCAGGTGGCTCGTAGTTGTCTGATTCGGCTTCAGGAACGTGAGGAATCGAGCGACCGAGAACTGGAGAATACATGGGGCTGTCAACATCCTCGGCGGATGACGACGATTCTGGAGCTAATTTGGTTGGATCCGGCGCAAAGGAAGTCTCCATATCAACATCACCCCCTCCAGGCCCATGGATATCAGCCTCGGCGTGTACCGCGTCCTGGAGTGCTACCTCTAGAGCTTGGCCAGTGGTGAGACGCTCTCTGGAATCGGATCCCATTTGTGAAGACGTCAAAATTGTGCAATTCTCAACACTGTCGTCGACCTTAGCGCCCGTGTCTTCTTGGCCTTTGTGGTCGTCATCAGGAAATTGGAGGTGGTCGTGTCCATCCCCAGAACTGGTTCCTTGACGAGAATTGATTGCGACAGATGGCGAGGTTTGAAGGCGGTCGTTCGCGCGTGGGGAGGCCTCGACAACTGTTGCTTCCACAGTGTTATAGGCCGAGGGATGAGAGGAGGCTAATAAGTAAGTCTCTTGGTCATCTCGACATGTTTGAGGTGGGAAGGAGAATGCAAATCGAAATCGGGATCGGAGAATCTACTTACCATCACTGCTCACATTCTCCTCTTGGGTAAGATCCTGCAGCTTATTCTTCTGCGCCTGGAGCAGGTCTTCTGTCTCTTGGCCAAGCCGTTCCATCTCCTCGGCCATTTCCCGCTTGGCCTTCAGGTTCTTCTCGACTTCAGCTTCAAGGCTTGCTATCTCGACTTTGAGATGCTCCAGTTTGGTTTGACTTTGCTGAACCTCAGCATTGACTAAGGGAAGATCACTCTTCAGCTTCTCACGACGAAGACGCTTTATTTCAGCTTCGTTCTTTCTCAACTCCACTGCTTTTTCAAGCTCCGCAGCCTGAGCCTCAGCCAGCTTCTGGATTTCTGAGTCGACTTTCTTCTCTGTGATGTCGATAAGGTCTTGCATCTTCATTGAGGCTTCCACCTTGCTTGCTAAGTTTTCACTGGCGGCGATGCTCTCCTTCGCATCAACGGAAGTAAGCTCAGCAGTGCGTGGGGTACGTGTGCCACTTGGAGGTTGTCGAGCTTTCTTCCGAGCTTCCGCCTCAATTATTTTCTTTTTCAGCGTCTGTAGCTCGCTCTCCATTTGTTGCAAAACTTTTGGATGACCAATGCTAGCTTTTGTTGCAATCTGGGTGACAGGTGGAGTATTAGGAGTAGAAGATTTGGAGGGAGACGTGAAAGGCTTGCGTGCTGGGAAATTAGTCAACGGCGGAAGATTGTGCATAGACATAGATCGTTGATCTGACATTTTCCTAGTTGACTGCACTGGAGAGTCTTGATCGGCTTGTGACTCTAGATCCATGGCTACATCCTCATCATCCGAATCGGGTTCCTCCTCACTAACATCAATTACTAGAGGTTGATCATTCCGACTCTGTCCGAAAGGCCGCTTGAAAGGGGCTGAGGCAGGAGTGTCGAAATCGGCTGCGACTGGGCGTTTACGTTGGCTGGCCTGAGTGTGGATCGGACTCTGGGCGTTCAATGAAGGTGCCGGGCTTGCAGCAGTTGCTGCCAAAAAGAGGCCTGGGATGACAGGGCCTTGCGGTTGTATATTGGGATTCTGTACAGGTGACTGAGACGGGACTTGGGGTTTCGATGGTGGAAGTGCTGGCTGCAGCGGTGTACTCGATGTATTGCTTTTGGTGATAATAGCACTAGCTGGTGTAGGTTGCAGAAGCTGAGACTGAGTGGATGTAACACTGGTCGGAGACTTCGTGCTAATTTTGGCTGCGGCTTTCTGCGCACGTTCCTCTCGTGACTTTCGGAGAGCCTCCATCTTTGATTGTAGAGTCTTTTCCTTGTCGGTCATGGCTGTGGGTTTAGCAGCAGCGGTTGTCGCAATTGCTGATGGGAGCGTTGATGCCTTTCCAGGAACAGAGCCATTCATTGTCGGTTGGTGACCATTTGGCAATGTGGACAACGGAGCAAGTTGGCCGTTCACCTGTGAAGGTTTTATATTCACTGAAGACGAACCTGCGATAGGCGTTGTATTTTCCTCCCTTGAGGCGCGAGTCTCGTTACCTGACTGGATTGCCATCTTTTCTCCACTACCATTAATGGTTTTTGACGGGACTTTCGACAACTTGAGATGGTCAAATAAAGGGCCTAATATGTCTTCACTAACCCCTTCTTCGATATATTGCTGGAAGCGGACCTCATGAGCCCACAGATTCAGTATCGCGTTTTCTGCTTTCTTGCGTGCTTCTGCTACTACAGTATGGAAAGGCGATACATCAGGTACCGGATTCATAGCAGCGGAGGCAGTAGCTGGTGCGTGCTTGATATGCTCCGTATCTAAAGGGGGATGATGGGCATTTGTATGTGACTCGACTTTGGAAGTATCAATTGCGCTATCCTGTATCCACCCCTGCTGGTTTTGTGATGCTCCATTCATCTTTCCACTGGTATAGTTGGGTACATTAGAATCGTTATTTAGAATTGTCTTTGCTTGCTCGCCGTGATCTGTTGGTCTTGGTGAATCGTAAGGAGGGTATGCATCTGATTGCTGAGGCCTCATTTGTGGAGAGTCACGAGCGGGGTAGTTGTATTTGTTTGCTAAAGAGTGTCAGTGACACAAAGCCTAACATTAGAAGTGGAGCAGCTTACAGAAATGGATAGGGGACTGATTCTGGTTGTGAGCTATAGGGTAGCTGGAGCGTTGTGTAGTTTTAACATGACCTTTGCCATCATTTGGCCTATACTGATTTGTCCCATATGAAGGAGCTGCTCCCTCAAATTCACCTTCACTCAGCTCACCTTCATCGTAGGGTCTAGAGGCGGGCTGGTTGTGCTGATACGTGGGTTGAGGGGGAGGATAGTACTGCGGGTTCTGGTGCACACCATTTGTGTAGCCTCCGTATTGTGGTGTTGGGTTTGCAGGAGCGTATGGGGGTAGAGGAACCGGATCTTGGTTCCAACCTTGATATATAGGCAAGGGAGGAACACCAGATGCAATAGCAGATGCACTAAACGAAGGCGTAGCACCATTATACCCATATGTTGACATTCCGGACGCGTCATAACTTGATGGCATACCAGCTTGGTCCATGCGACCGTCATCTTGCTGTGGGTATTGGTTTGGGTACATTGGTGGCAGATAAGGGGGGTTGTTCTGATCTTGGTGTGCTCCATAACCCATGCCGTATGACGGCGTTGCTGGATAGTCTGACATTGTAGCAAGTGTCAAGGCGGAATCGCATTATCGTCCAGAAGCTGAATTATTAGTGAGGGAGGGTAATTGGCTCGAGACTTCTTCAAGAAAGACTCGGGCGAACTACCATTGTACAACAAAAAGAAAGTTTACAATGAAGGCGTATAACTTGTCGAGAGGATGCTCTTCCAGGATACGAAAGAAACTGTGCGCGCAGATCAAGATCTTGAATTAAAGATTGAAAAGTGCCACTAGTTGAGTCCTTGAGGATGCATACGCGTAGTGCGAATGTTGGGAAGGAAAAGAAGTTGATGGTCGAAAAGCTCTTTGACAAACGATTACGACTTTGAGTTCAAGATTTGCGCGCGCGACAAGTTGATGTAGACCAAGCCGCATTAGGGTTAACGCTAAATATCAGCTGACCCGGCGATTCCTCGGCTTACATAAGATTGTTTACATGGAAAGCGGCATCCACTCAGGGCCCGCGTCAAGCACAACAACAGAACGTCAGGAGCAACGCAACTTACTCAACTCGAATCAACTTAATTCAACCCAACTCTCAGCTTTCTACTCCGTATGTCGCCGTGGAGCATTGGATGCCCCTCCTAATTTACGTTCCTCCCCAACCCTCGGCGATTCCTCAACTCCATCCCAACTCTACACCTTGCTCTGAACTCTATGGGTTGAACTTGCTCCACGCCCCCAAACACAACGAAATCGACTGCATGCGCAGCAAAACATGGCCTCCAACACAGGGCAGGTGCGCAATAATCCGTTTTCAAGGAACCAGTCGCCTTCTCCAGTCCCTTCAAGTTCCAATGGGAGACCCAAGTCCATGGTGTTGAACTCGCCGTTGGCTGGCAGCCAAAGCCCCACCAACGTACACAGCCGGCATCAGTCCTACTCTGCTCTTGCAGGAGTGGTATCCCCACCAAATACAAATGGGGGCAAACGATTCCACTCAAACTCCCGAGGAGGGGGCTCCACTTCGAATACGTTTGCTCCTTCATTTATAAAGACCGATGATGTGCGACGCGCCCCAGAGGCCGTACAAGGAATCGAGGGTGAGAATGATTTCTCCGGCAAAAGATATGTCTGGTTGAAGGATCCCGAGGCCGCATTTGTCAAGGGCTGGATTGTTGAGGAATTGGGCGACAACCAGATACTTGTACAATGCGACGATGGCAGCGTATGTTGAAACTTGCAGCTTCCGTCTAGTCATACTAACTTTCATAGCAACGGGAAGTGATCGCAGACAGCGTTGACAAAGTCAATCCAGCGAAATTCGACAAAGCAGACGATATGGCAGAGCTGACACACCTTAATGAAGCTTCAGTCGTCCACAACCTTCACATGAGATACCAGGCCGATCTAATATATACGTACTCGGGACTCTTTCTGGTCGCGATTAATCCTTACTGTCCACTGCCAATTTACACAAACGAGTACATTAATATGTACAGAGGGCAAAGTCGAGAAGAGACCAAACCACATATTTACGCCATGGCAGATGAAGCTTTTCGAAACTTGGTGGACGAGGGCAAAAACCAAAGTATCCTGGTAACAGGAGAGTCAGGTGCTGGAAAGACGGAAAATACTAAAAAGGTCATTCAATATCTGGCAGCCGTTGCCCATTCGGAATCACCTGTAAAGAGCAAGTCCCTACAGCATTCCAACCTCTCACAACAGATCCTTCGTGCAAATCCGATCCTTGAAGCGTTCGGTAATGCTCAAACTGTCCGGAACAACAACTCTTCACGATTTGGTAAATTCATTCGAATCGAGTTCACTCGTACCGGCAGCATTGCTGGGGCTTTCATCGATTGGTATCTTCTGGAGAAATCACGAGTGGTCCGTCTTAATGCCCACGAGCGAAATTATCACATCTTTTACCAACTTCTCAAAGGAGCAGACAGAAAGATGAAACAGGATTTCCTGATAGATGGCCAAGACGTGGAAGATTTTGCCTACACCCGGGATGGTCATGACACAATAACAGGAGTCTCAGACCGTGATGAGTGGAATTCTTTAGTTGAGGCGTTCGAAGTCATGGGATTTCTAGAGAAAGAGCAGGTTTCGATTCTCAGAACAGTAGCTGCAGTCCTGCATCTGGGCAATATTACTGTGATGAAGGAAAGTCGAGGGGCGGATCAAGCTCGGCTAGCTCCAGATGCTCGCGCCCATGCAGAAAGGGTTTGTAAATTGCTTGGAATGCCTGTCGAGCCATTTCTCCAAGGCCTCCTTCACCCACGGGTCAAAGCTGGTAGAGAATGGGTCGAAAAGGTTCAAACTCCTGAGCAGGTGCGGCTTGCGTTGGACGCATTGGCGAAAGGAATTTACGAGAGAAGCTTTGGCGACCTGGTCACTCGAATCAATCGACAGCTCGATAGGTCTGGCATGGGCATGGATGATTCCCACTTCATCGGAGTACTTGATATCGCCGGGTTCGAGATATTTGAGGAGAACAGCTTTGAGCAGCTGTGTATCAATTATACGAATGAAAAGCTTCAACAGTTCTTCAACCACCACATGTTCGTGCTTGAGCAGGAGGAGTACGCACGAGAGCAAATTGAGTGGAAGTTCATTGACTTTGGTCATGACCTCCAGCCTACGATTGACCTGATCGAACTGCCAAATCCCATTGGTATTTTCTCATGCTTGGATGAGGACTCAGTAATGCCGAAAGCCACGGATAAATCCTTCACGGAAAAGCTCCATTCTTTATGGGACCGGAAAACTCCAAAGTATCGCCCTTCGCGCCTTGGGCAGGGTTTCATGCTTACTCACTACGCGGCTGAAGTTGAGTATTCCACAGAGGGCTGGTTAGAAAAGAACAAAGATCCACTGAATGATAATGTCACGAGATTGTTGGCTGCGTCAACCGACAAGCATGTTGCTTCATTGTTTATTGATTGTGCTGATGCCGAGGATGAGAGCGGAGCCACGAGGAGCAGAGTCAAGAAAGGCCTCTTTAGGACGGTTGCTCAGAGACACAAAGAGCAGCTCTCAAGCTTGATGGCACAACTTCACTCAACCCACCCACATTTTGTCCGATGCATAATCCCTAACCACAAAAAACGACCCAAACAACTCAGCGCCCCGCTTGTGCTAGACCAGCTCCGCTGCAATGGTGTACTTGAAGGTATCAGAATCGCTCGCACCGGGTTCCCAAATCGACTTCCCTTCTCCGAATTCAGGCACCGATATGAAGTTCTGTGCAGGAACATGCCTAAGGGATATTTGGAAGGGCAAATGGCAGCTTCCATTATGCTGGATAAATTCGGTCTGGACAAGTCTCTATTTCGTGTTGGTCTCACGAAAGTATTCTTCAGAGCTGGTGTGTTGGCGGAGCTTGAAGAACAACGAGACGCTTTGATTCGGGAAATCATGTCTCGATTTCAGTCTATTGCTCGAGGTTTCACCCAACGACGCATTGCCCACAAGAGACTTTATAGAGCTGAAGCAACTAGAATCGTGCAGCGGAATTTCCAAGTCTATCTCGACCTCTGCGAAAACCCATGGTGGAGGCTGCTGGCTAAGATGAAACCTCTTCTTGGTGCCACTCGCACCTCTAGAGAAGTCAAGAAGCGTGACGAAATGATCCAGAAGCTCAGCGATAAAATGAAACATGAGGCTACCGAGCGACAACGTCTTGATGAAGAGCGCAGGAACGCTCACACTGAAATGCAACGAATTCAACAGACCCTCGAAAGTGAACGAGCTTTAGCATTAGACAAGGAGGAGATCTTCAAACGACTGCAATCACGGGAGCAAGAGCTTAGCGATAAGCTGAAAGGAGCCCTAGAGGACCAAGAGAATCTCGATGATCAATTGGATGATTTGCTAGATGCTAAGAAGAAGGCTGAGCAACAGGCTGAGCAATGGAGGTCCCAGCTTGAACAAGCAGGTCAAATTATTTCTAAATTAGAGTCTGATAAGACTGAGTTGTCTAATAAACTCAACGACTTGGATAACCAGCTGAATGACTTGGCCCACGCCCAGTCGCAAAGGAGCGCGGAGGAGGCACGTCTCACCCAGGAAATCAACATGCTCAAAAGTCAGCTTGACATGAAAGACCGGAAGGCTCAGGATCTCGAAAGCAAGCTCCTCAAGGTTGACCAGGACTTAGACATCAAGCTGGCAAAAGCTACCAAAGACCTTCAAGCTACCCGCCTCAAAGAATCAGAATTGTCTACCGAGAACCGACGAGTGCACCAACAACTCTCAGAGCTCTCTGCGACTTCTACCAGCTATGAAGATCTTGTGCGGAGGAAAGAAAGCGAATTAGCCATTCTTCGGTCTGACAACCGCAAATACGAAGAAGAGCGCAAGAAATTTGATGACGAGAAAAAGGCATTGTCATCCGACAAGGACAATGTGATCAATCGCCTTCGTGAAGTCGAAGCAGAAATGTTCGCAATGAGATCGCAGAAGGCTAACCTTGAGCGAGAGGCAGCAGACACCAAGAAACTGCTGGATGCCCGTCTCAATGAAGACACTCAAGCTGGCCAAAACCGTAAGATGCTAGAAGGTCAGATAGTAGACCTTAAGCAGCAACTGTCAGACGTCCAGCGAGATCTCAGCAAAGAACGCCAATCAAGGGACGACGTTCAACTGCTTGCAGAGCACAAATATCGCGAGCTCAATGAGAAGTTTCAGGAAGTCAACGAAGCCAAGATCATCATTGAGAAGGAGCTTTATGTGCAACAGGATACGCTCAGACGAGCAATGGAGGCCCGCGTAACAGCTGAAAAGGAGCGCAATGAGGCTCGAAATGAAATCAGAAGGCTGAGAGAGGCTAAGACTGCCGCTGAGGAAGCGAGAATCCAGGCAGAACTTGCAAACGATCGGAGTGCGTCGCGCCTCGCTCGAGAGCGTGAGACCAGCCTAAGAAAAGATCTTGATGCGGAGCAGAGTCGAGTGAAGTATTTTGAGGACGAGTGCAGCCGCTTGAATCAGGAAGTGAAGGAGCTGAACAACATTATCGCTGAATCTACTGATTTCGGTGTTCGGAATGACACCGAGAAGGAGCGACTAGAGCGGGAGCTTAATACTATCAAGAGCCGTCTCATGGCTTCGGAGAACGACAATCGCGCACTTCTCAATAAACTTCAACAAAAGGGACTCGAGCTCGCTCGATCGGGATCTAAAGCAAGCGACGCCCAAAGGGGTCAAATGCTCACTCTGCAGCGCGAGAAAGCAAAAGCTGAAGAACAGAACCAAAGGTTGAATAAGCACTTGGGTGATGCCCAATTGGCGGTCGCTACTCTTGAAAAGCAGAAAGAGAAGCTTGAGCTAAGCCTTGAGGATCTCAACCACGAAGTTGCTCGTGAGCATAAGACTAGTAGAAATGCCGAAAAAGCATCCTCAACGTTCACAAGCCAGCTTGCTGAAGCTAATCGAAAACTTGATGACGAGCGTCAACTCCATACCCAGGTGCAAGCCAAATACAGACAACTTCAATCGATCATCGAGACACGAGAAAAAGAGGTACTCCAGCTGATGAAGCTTGTTGATCCCGACATGACGCAGTCAGTGCCTCAGTACGATGGCGCCAGCGCCCGAAGCCCCACGAAATCTCCTAATCTTGTCCCTGGCCTTACTCAGAAGATAGAAGAGCTGCAGAATAACCTAAGGGTTCAGACAGCCGGAAGATCAAATGCAGAGTCGCAGCTGGCCACTTTACGGAAAAGATACGAAGACGATTTCGCTGAGTCTCCAGATCGATCTCCCAGCCGTCCTAAATTGGAAGAGATCAACCCCAATCAAGTTTCATTTGCCAATTCACCAAACCACCTCAGGGGCAAGCTCAACGCCTTACCTCGCTCGAACGTTTCAACGCCAACTCGCCGCTTTCCAAGCAATGGAAATGATGCCGCACAGGACTCCGGGAGATCGGATCGCACCGCAGATATGTTAAGCTTCAATAATCGCATGGATCTCAAGGCTGATTTTGAGGAACTGCAAAACCAACTTCAAATGACTCAAATGCAAAATCGTCATCTCCAAAGTCAGCTTGAGCGGTCGACGCCTTCCCGAGAACTTTGGCCCGAAGATAGTCCATCTGTTCGCCGGGTGCAGAAGCTGGAACAAGCCAATAGTAGGCTTCATGATATGCTAGATGATTCTGCCAGGAAAGTGTCCACTCTGGAGAAGAGTATCCAATCCGGCGAACTCTCTCTTCGCGATGTTCAAACGAAATCTCACGAGGAACTTTTCGAGCTCATCAACGACCAAGAAGACTCACGGCGATCGCTCTTGCATATTCATAACAATAATCTTTCAGAATTAAACGACACAAAGAAACATTTCGAAGCATTGAAGCACACTCGTGCAGCTTTGGAAGTAGACTTAAGAGATGCCAAGTCTGACCTGGAGGAGGTGAACCTACAACGCGATCAAGATGCCGCCAGCCGAAGCCTTCTCTTGCAAGAGTTTGCTGATCTCCAGATTAGTCTGGATGCGGAATCTTCTAAGGTGGCGGACATTAGCTCCAGTCTGTCCCTGTATAAAAGCCGTGCAGACGAGTATTTTAGCAAGCTTGAGCAAGCCGAAATTGCAGTTTTGAAAGCCTCGAGGGCAGAACAATTTGCCAGGACGCAAGCAAAGGAAGCTGAAGATACATGCGCAGAGATTATGTCTGAGCGCAAGGAAATGGATGCTTCGATTGAGGATCTTCAGCGACAAAATCAACGCTATGAAGAGAGACTCGAAGATATGTCTTCTGATCTTGAAGCCGCAGTACAAGCCAGAAAGCGCCTTCAGCATGAGCTGGAAGATTACCGAAGCCAACGCGCCATGGATATCGAGGACAAGGAGGCTAGCATGGAGCAGACTCGCAAGAAGTACCAATCTGAGTTCGCAACTCTTACCAACGAGCTGGATATTGCCCGAGAGGAAAAGCTTTTCAAGCAAGCTGAGGTTACTAGACTGCGTGAAGAGTTAGACGAACTTCGATCCAAGTGGGATGATGAGGTCCTCAACAGTTCCACTTGGTCGAAAGAAAAGTCTCGCCTCGAATCTACCCTCGCGGATCTTTCTGCTTCTCGGGATGAGGCAGCCAATGCTCATAGAGATGCACAAGACAAGATAGTATCGTTCTTGTCTCAAATCAGGAGCATGAGGACGACGGTTGATGATCTCACTGGGGAACGAGACTTGCTCCAACGGGAGAAACGTGGTCTGGAAGCCCGCTTGGAAGAGGCCAAATCTGGCCTCGAGGATCTTACTCAAAGTGACAGCCCGTCATTACGCCATGTCGCGGGAATGGATCGCGAACTCTTGGAGCTCAAATCAAATTTGGCTCAGCAGGAGGATATTGTAGCCGCTGCCGTTGGCAAAATGCGACGAGCTGAAGCTATGGCTACGGAGATGCAAAAAGATATCGTTGCCGAGCGAGAAATGACTGTTCAGTTGAACAAGCAGAAAGCGGCTTTGGAGAAGTCTCTGAAGGATACTCAGCTAAGACTTGTGGATCTTGAGACGAAGAGCTACTCTAGCGCCAGCCAAGATGTTAGATTTTTACATGGCCGCGTTCAAGAGGTAAGAACCAGCCCTAAGATACTTACTCACTGATACTAATTCCCATTCCCAGCTTGAGTCACAACTTGAAGCCCAAGAAACGCAGCGCAACAAAAGCCAACGAGACGTCCGCAACGTCGATCGCACGGTCAAAGACCTTCAACTCCAAATCGACCGTCGCGACAAAGTCAACACCCAACTCGAAGAAGAAGTAGCGCGTTCCCGAGACCGATGCGAGAAATTCCTCAAAACAATAGACGAGCTACAAAACAGCGACTCAGCGAACCAGCTCAACGCTCGCAAAGCAGAGCGCGAACTTAGAGACGAGAGAGAGAAAGCCCTGCGCCTGGAAAGGGAATTAGAAGGCTGGAAACAACTGAGGATGGAGAAAGGTAACTCTGCAAGACGCAGTGGGACATGGAGACCGGGTTCGGAGTTTGGGGGTAGTGGGGCAGAGGAGAACGGGATTCATATCCCGAAGAGGAATAGCAGTGTTAGTCGGCAGGTTAGTATGAGCAAAGGGTTTCTGTGAGTAGATTAGGATGTATATGTGTTGATAATGATGATGGGGGTTAGGAAAATGGACGGGAGCGTGCATACATTGCGTAAAGGCGTTTGTCAGGGGGTGGATTGGTGGTGGGTGCATTTTGTATTTTAGACGTGGGCTGGTCGGTGTCAATAGATGTACTTGCTAAACCTCGATATCAATTCGCTCATGGCTTCCAAATGGCTAGCTAAGTTAGAAATGTTCTCGAGATAAAATGAGGCCCGAGTTGGGTTTGAAGAAAAGGGGGCGGGTATATCTTGGCAGTCACGTGCTATATATCCACTTGAGCACCTGTTTCTATCTTTGGGAGGTGAGCTTAAAGCAACTTCAAGCTTAAGAATATCTCTACGAGTGTTGGAAAAGGTGTTTCACGTCCTTATCCCGACCCTAACCTGACCTTCATGCAGTCGTTCCTATTAGTGCGGAGCAAGAGTAGGTCGTCGGGTGAGAGAACGCCTCCGACAGTCCCAGGCAGCAATAGCGTCTCTCTGCCCGATACTTGTGATCCATTGTTCTGATTTGCACGGGTATAATTCACTACTTGGGGTTGCACAACTTGTGTTTTCGAATAGCTATCCCCTAGTCATGTGCGCCTGAAATCCAGTTCCATTGGCTTTTGAAGCTGCATTACCCCACGGGCTCCAGCTGATAGCTGCCTTTCTCCCACCACCAAACCCCCAACTCAGACTTTCATTCGTAACGCTTTCGGACGGTTTAAGCAAAAACAACCTCCGAATTGCACAAGAAAAGCACAAATCACCAGGTTCAAGTGACTGGGCCCACAAAAACGAAGTCGGGCTTGAATTAACTATCACCAGTACCGCTTGACTGGCTTACCAAAAAAGAATTTGCTCCGGTACTGTTACACCAGGATAGCGGGGCACAATCATCAAAATGGATATACTTCGCAGACTGCGGAATCAACTTTCCCTGGATCGTCATTTGTATAGACGTGTCCCTTCCGAAATGGCTGCTGCTCCAGTCGTTGGCGCGTTAGTCCCATCGAGAGCTGCTTTTCGCCTCCATCTATTGTGTGGATTTTTTGCTCTGGCATCATTTGTGTGGGGGTGACATATACCTACTCATTTGAAATTGAGCCGCGATACTAACCTCATGTCAACCATCTAGGTACAATATTGGTATTCTCGCAACAATCTATGTCCACCCAGGGTTCAAAAAGGCACTTCACAAACCGAATGCCACTCAAACTGGGCTTATCACAGCAATATACTACCTCGGAACATGGACAAGCTATCTTTTTCTTTCTCACCCTGTCGCGGACCGTCTTGGGAGAAGGTGGGCGGCGTTTACTGGCATCTTTGTTACTTTGGTTGGCGCTGCTTTGCAAGCTGGCGCTAGAGATCCAGGTGCCTATGCTATGATGATTGTCGGCCGTATCGTGTGCGGCCTTGGCCTCGCAGTGGTTTCTACAGCTGTACCGTTATATCAGAGGTATGTGAATTGATCATCGGTGAGGACTGTACTGAGTATTAATGGCTCATAGCGAATGTGCTCCTGCAAAGGAGCGTGGTAGATATGTTGTGATGAACCATATTGGGTTGGTTGCTGGGCTCGCTGTAGCTTTTTGGTGAGCGATTGCTTGCATATTTCAACTCCCAGCTAATTATCCCAAGGGTTGGGTATGGATTTAGTGGCTGGAATTCCGCCAACGGAAAGTATTATGGCTGGAGGCTCTCAATTGTCGTGCAATACATCCCAGCTTTGATATTCATGATCGGGGTTCCACTCTGCCCAGAAACGGAAGCAGTACTCTCCCGTCAATTTGGACGAATACTAATATTCTCAATAGACCCCGTTGGCTTGTCGAAAATGGCCATATGGACAGGGCGCAAGCCTCTCTTGCATATCTCAGAGATGCAGACCCGACAAGTGATGAAGTCACGGTAGAACTTGAAGACATCCAAGCCAGCGTTGCAGCGCATAAAGCTGCGCCAGAGTCATCATGGACGGTACTCTTTACCCACAAGCCACTGTTCCGAAGATTATGGCGTGCTGCGTTACTTCAATTTATGGCTCAAATGTGCGGAAATACGGCAATGAAGTACTACCTACCATCAATATTTTCTTCCCTCGGAATCGAGCATCGCATAACATTGTTGATTAGTGGCATCGAGAGCACACTAAAGATTGGATGCACTATTATTGAGATGATGATCATTGACAAGGTGGGGAGGCGCACAACGCTCGTCGTTGGATGTATGGTTATGTCTGTTGCTTTACTGGTAAGTTTTCCATCTATGATTTACTACCTGGCTTGTGCTGATTGTTGCAGATAAATGGTGCTTTGCCGCTCGCATACCCGAAGAACATTAATCATGCAGCGGATTACGCCTGCATTGTATTCATCTTCTTCTACACCTTCGGCTACTCCATAGGATTCGGTCCAGCTGCTTGGGTATATGGTTCTGAGGTTGGCTCTTCTCCACCCCGCATGGCCCGCATACTGACACAACAGATATTCCCAACGAATCTCCGTGCTCGTGGCCTCAACTTCGCTGCGTCAGGTGGTGCAGTAGGCTCCATAATTGCCTCCCAGACTTGGCCTGTCGGCATGCAAAACATCGGGTCCAAGACTTACTTCGTTTTCGTGGCTATCAATCTTGTTTCTGCCGTTGTACGCACACATCCATTGCTGACCATTCAGCTTCCTCGTCTTCCTTTGGTTCTTTTGCTCACCAGTAATAGATCATCATCTTCGCGTATCCCGAGACAAAGCGCCGCTCTCTTGAAGACATGGATGTTTTGTTCGGGGACTACCACGACCGCAACCTCGAGCAGGGAGACGGCCAGTCTGATGCTCGTCCAGAAGAGATAAATGTCCCCCATAAGGCGGTCAGAGACAGCGCTTGATGGATGAAAGTCCTACGAGGAGTTGGATCATGAGCTCCACAATGGAGTTATATATAATTTGGAATCAGCAACCCTTCTAAGCGCCCCCGAAACCCAGCGATTACTGCGGCCTGTTTCTCGACTGGTGCTCGATTATTATACACACACACTCATACACATATATATGTGTCCGACTATAGATGATCCATCCGCATCAGCTCCCACAGCATGCCCGAGTTTTATAGTTTGACATGATTAGATAAGAGAATACTTCATATTATAATAATAATAATGATATGGTATAAACCCTATAGTTTTGATATAGAAATTAATTATCTTAGCTATTTATGCATCATAACTTCGATACAGCCGGCATTATAGGAGGTGTTTCCGGCGCAGCTAAAGAGAGAATGTCGTTCGTCTGGGAAGAAAGACGCTCTTGGGTAGCCTTGAAGATACTTGGTATGCCAACCTCCTCGAACTTCTTCCCATGCAAAATCATCTGCGCAATACCTTTAGTTGATAGCAGGATAAGTGGCATACCATGTCCGCTAAAACCAGCCGCAACCAGCTGGCCTGGCTTTCCTGGTACGTCGCCTACATATGGCATGAAATCCGAGCTATATCCCATAACTGCAGCTCATATTAGCCAGTTCCTTTGTTATGGTCCTAAAACATATGGTGCCGAAACAGAGAAGGGGGAAAGACAAGGGTTACGTACTTCCAGTCCAAACTTTATCAGTATACGCGCCGCTGTCTTCCCAGCCCTTGTAATGCCGCTGCATCAAGCCATCGAAATAATTCTTTGCGGGCTCAATCAGCTTACTATCATCTGTTACACCATACCAGTGCGTTGGATCCGACCAGAACTGCTGCTTTGCGCCGCCGACGATGATGCTACCATCGGTGCGCGGAATCAGGTAGTCATACTGATTGGCCTTATACCGGAGGCTCATAGTATTGACGAGAGTTGGTGCTGGCTTGTTTGCTGGCGTTGTGATACGGCTACAGATTCCGCGCACGGGGACAATCTTATTGGCGAACTGCGGGGCTATGCCAGAGGTATAGGCATTAGAAGCAAGGACGACCTTTTTGGCTTTGATGGAGCCGCGGGAGGTGGTCACCGTCCACCGGCCCTCTGAATCAGGAGTATCGGATATGCTCGTTACAGGCGTGTGTGTCTGGAGGTTGACACCTTTGGCCACAACAATGCTCAAGAGAGCCATGATTAGCTTGTAGGGCCAGACGTGACCGGCGGTAAAGCTGAACGCACAGAGTGCGCCTTTGACTCCCGAAACCTTGAGATCTATTAGCCATCCATCTCAAACTTTAGATGCGCTGTAGAACATGCTCCTTCCGCGTTTTTCCCTGACGTGTATTGCACATCATCTAGAGAAGCTACGCCAGCTTTGACCAGGAAATCGTAATCATCTTTCGACTTCTTAGCAAGCTCCGGATCAAAAGTAACGTCTATGGCGCGAGTAAGAACAAAATCGCAATCGATCTTTTCTTTCTCAACAAGAGCCTTGACGGCGAAGATTTGAGAAGCCTCAAAGCGCGCCACTTCCGCGGCTTCTTGGGCCCCGTACTTCTCGCTGTATTTCCGAATGTTGAAATACACGTCCGGCTTCAGATGCCCGCCTATAAACAGTTTGATCAGATGGGTTTCGATTGATTATTGGAGAGTACAACATACCATTCCGCCCCGTTGCCCCGGAACATGCTTGACGTGCTTCTAGGATCACAATGGATGGCGGTGACGGGTTATCGTCACAGAGGTGATACGCAGTCGAGGCTCCACTATAGCCAGCTCCAATGATCAACACATCGGTTTCTTTTGGTAGCTCTGGTGTTGTTCGCGCGCTATCCAGCTCATGTAGTTCTGTCCTCCAGAATGGAAGTGTAGAGCTCGGCCACGGGAAGGGAGGAGGATACGAAGGCGCTGGTGGTGGGGACATGTTGAATCAGGTGATTTGGCTATCACCGAAAGATGAAATGTTTGTGAGCGTAAAGGAGACTACTGCTTTGATACCACCTCAGAAGAGCAGAGGCTGTTGATAAGCTTTTATGATACCGTAGCCATTGCAATTGCCAGGGGAAAAGCGATGCTATAGTGGGATCGGTGATATGCGAGAATTGTGGGATTCAGACGGAAAGTTGCGAGAGCAGTTCGCCCCGCAAAGTTACTCGAGTACCCACCAAACCCCCATTTCCGAAACGAAGCTACGGCGAGCAATCGATCGGCCTAAGCTTGTGAGGTACCGGTACCTAATTACTGGCGCTGCATCGTATCTACCTATATCGTCGAATAACTAATATGATATAAAGTTTCACTTTCTTGAGGTACTATCTTAATACCACCTTTTGATCTTCACGGATTAAGTGCTATGCTCGTGCCCTATTTTATGTACATGATAAACGTGAATTTGACAGGTCCGTCCTATAACCCCAACGACGCTTACTACCGCTTCCCCTATCTTGCTATCTTAGTATTGATTACATGCTTTGGCTGCGCTATCTTGCTATTGCTATCTTATTATCACCTAATATCTATTGTCATTATCGTACCCATACGTACTGTGTTCTAATCAGAATGCCCCGCCATTTAGGAATATTAAATGTTGAAGTACCTGTGCGTGGGGATCTAGTCTGGATATCTGCCAGATCCTACTTTGACTTACCGAAGTAGGACTATAGTGCCCGTGCCCCTAACTGGTGCCCGTTGATGCACCCTTTTTGGCGATTTCGGGAGGCTTGGGTCTAAAGATGGGGGCAGGCCTAAGGCCTGGGTATACGCCGTGAGTTGAATTCTGGTTAATGACTTTGAATAAACAAAGTCAGAAGTAGAAATGTAAGTATGACATAGTGCGCTTTGCTGGCCTAGTAACTTGTCTATATTGGTTGCTTTCGCTGTATTTCGTGGTATGGTTTCTAGGTGTCTAAGTCTAAATGTGGTGACAAGGCGAGGAGATTTTGACCTCTGCATAGCTTAGTCGTCCATGTTAGTGTCATGTGACCATACACGTGAATACCTATCCCGACAAGAAAGATTATAATATTTCACCTATTTATCATTTTATAGGAATGACTATTTAACCTGGAATGATTTGTTAAGTGTAAGCTATTAAACTATAGTCAGGTTTCATGCCCAACTAATCATTGTGAAGCAGCGATGACTTGGTCTGCCATTTCAGGTAGTGTAGGGGCCATCACATCCATCTTCCCAAATAACTCCACGCACGGTTCATTCTCCCATATCGAACAGTATGCGCCTCTAAACCTATAGTTCGAAGCACAATTAGCATCCTATAGTGGGGTTTGACAATTGTCAGGAATACATGTCCTGCTTACCCTGTGCGCTTTGCTGCTGAGACATCCCACATATGAGCTGCTCCAAACCAGACTGAATGGCCTATTCCACCGCTCTTCTCAACCCCAAACTGCTCCAAAAGCGGGCGGTAGGCGTCCGATGCCGGTTTCCCTACTCCCAAAGTATCGCAAGACAAGAGATTCTCTGCTGGCATCTCAATGCCACCCGACTTGAAGTAGGCGCCGACGCGTGCAATATCACCCGCTGTAAATGCCCAGACGGTGAAACCAGCTGCTCGGAGTTTCTGGACACACTCTACAGCGCCAGGTCGCAGCTTCAGCTGGCGATATGCAGCCAGAATATAATCTCTATCTTCGTCTGTGGCGAACTTGCGGGGTTCTTGGACTCCAGCCATCCATAGCATGCGATAGAAAAGTGGCCCGAAGACGTCGAAAAAGACGGTGTATTTCCCCGAAATTGACAGATAAGTGTATTCTCGCTCAGCTGCCTCCATCCACGCAAATCCTAGGAGTTTGGGTTTGATGCATTCTGCGCGGAGTTTCTCGCCCAGTCGAGATTCAATGGCCTCGAAGAAGTAGTCGTAGGACACAAGGGTGCCTACAACGTCGAAAACGATTTGTTTCTCTGCCTTGACCATTTTATGAGAGTTTTAATGTTTTTAATATACACAAGAGCGATTAATGAAGAAATCTTGCTTTTGTAGATTAACCACGTACGTTGAACGCTTCTTTATTGTTCCGCCGGTGTTCCACTCTCGGGTCATTTTTTCATGGACATGGATCTGGGGCTACTCCACTGTTGTCCGCATTGTCCTAGGACGATGGCCTTTTGCTATCGCAACCCTTGCAAGAGCATTTCCATTCACGTATCTCTCCGTAAGAACTCAATAATCTACCGCAAAATACCGACGAGATCATGGAGAGATTACACGTGCCGATAATAGTTGTGATATGTAGGCTTGTACTCTAAGTGTTTACTTTAAATCATGGCACCCCCACCGGATGGAATATACCATTCTTTACATCAATAGATCAGAAAACTTTGTCTTCGTAAAGAAATGTCTTCTGTCGACCACAAAAGCGATGCTCCGGCAACTGAGAAGGACCTCACCACCACAGGGGATCGCATAGACTACGATGTCGGCTCCACCTATACATCTGATATCTTACCACCTCATGATTCCGCCGGCTATCACCGCGTTCTACCGCGTCGTCAAATCATGATGATGACATTTGGTGCGGGCATTGGAACTGGATTGTGGGTTGGAACCGGAACTGCATTGTACTATGGTAAGTGCACCACTTATATACGGCTTTGAACAATAATAACAATTTCGCAGCTGGACCTGCTGGAATCGCAATTGCATATACTATTATGGCGTATGCACCATCATCACAATTGAGCCACCCAGTACTAATATAGCTTCGCAGCTTTGTTGTATATGAAATGTATATGTCTATTGGAGAAATGACGGCGTATAAACCCATTCATGGAGGCTTCATCAGGCAGACTATGGAATACGTCGACCCGGCGTTGGGATTTGCCCTAGGCATGGCTTTTTGGTTTGACGTGAGTTTACATCATTCATAACCTCCAGTATAGGACAACCAAATACCAACAAGACAATAGTGGGTGATGATTATTCCAGCGGAGATCACAGCCGCTATCACAGTGGTGGACTTCTGGCCGAATAGCGTTCCTACCGCAGCCTGGATCACCATATTCCTCGTAGTAATTGCCTTGGTTAACATCTTCGAGGTGAAGATTTATGGCCACGTCGAGTTCTACATGTCGTTCTTGAAAGTCCTTGCTATCGTGGCTATGATTTTCTTCATGATTATAATGACTTCTGGAGGAATCCCAGGAACGCCAAAAATCGAGTTTACTTTTTGGAAAGAAGGAATGGCCTTCAAAAATGGGTTTAAGGGTTTGATGAAGGCCTTTCTGCAAGCCGGTTTCAGTTTCGGTGGAGGTAAGAGCAGCTTTTACCTGGAAAACCTTTCCTTTTATAAAAGAGAACATGTTTCTAATTTCCTCTTCAGGTGAACACATCGCCGTTATTGCCGGAGAGGCGATGACTCCCCGTAAGACGATCAAAAGTACCATCCGCCCCCTCTTCTGGCGCATGGGCTCCTTTTTCGTCTTGAACATCTGGCTTGTTGGAATGTGCGTCTCCCCGAACGACAAGCGACTCGTCAGTGCGAAAGGTACACTCGCAAGCCCTTTTGTCATCGCGATTGAGAACACTGGTCACAATTGGCTTGCGCATCTTCTGAATGCCTTTATCCTTCTCACTGTCATCAGCTGCGGGATAACTGCCGTGTACATCGCAAGCCGGACCCTGACTGCCTTGTCGGATCTGAAACTCATCCACCCGTTCTTTGCATACAAAGACAAGAAGGGCCGTCCAGTGGTAGGGCTAGTGATCAGCTTGGTCCTTGGTGGGGGACTCTGCTATTTGAATTGCAATAATACTGCCCTTGAGGTGTACACATGGTTCTCTAGTCTTGTAAGTTCTCTCCTTCATATCTGTACACCTCTAGCGTAGTAGTCTAATGAGAATTCTTAGGTCGGGCTCACCGGGTTCATCATGTGGGGAACCCTCTTCATCCAACACATCCGATTCCGCGATGGCCTCAAGGCGCAAGGAATCTCCTACAAAACGCTGCCGTTCAGGGACTACATGGCGCCATACGGACAATACGTGGGTCTGGCCATCATCATCTTCCTACTGGTCGGCGAAGCCTATCTGGCACTCTCGCCCGTTTCCGGTGCCAAGCCGTCGGCGAAGAACTTCTTCTCGACCTATATCGCCGCACCTTTGTTCGTGGCCGACTATCTGGCATATAAGTTTTGGTTTAAGACCAAGTTTGTCAAGGCCAGCAATATGGACTTTACTGCTGCGATTCCGTTTGATGAAGAGGACCGTCAAATGAGAGAGGAGAAAGAGAGGAACCCGCCACCGAATAAGACGCTGCGTCACAAGATTACTTCAGTTCTGATCTAATTAGTGCAAGGGGGAAAGCGTGGCAGGGTCTGAGAAGCTTAGGCCCATGTATCTAGAAAAGACCTCGCGAAAGAAAGCAACAAGCAATAAATATTCAAGTTCTACATAACTACTAAATTTCGTTTCACGCCTCTGATAGTTGCAAGTTTCTATAAAGTGATGAGAACTAGCTGATGCTTTGTGCAAAGTATTATTATGTCTAGGAACGTATTACAAGAAGCTTAAGTCTATATCATAATAAGGAATTACCTCTAAACTAAGCCCAAATCCAAATCACAGCCGATCATGCTTTTTCACAACTGGATTAAAGACCTCTTATGTTAGAGGATATGATATAACCTAGGGATGAAACTATATTTATATATTTCTTTGGTTTATTGAAATATTACCTTCTAAATAGTTAGTTAAAGGAGAAGCTTTCAATACCTACTAGTAACAATTAGCTACTTTAAATATAAATAGCCAATAAAACTAATATATCAGCCGCTACGCTAGCGGGTTTCACCCGTATAACCCCCCTTTGATGCTAAGCCTATTATGAGCAAGGCACCAAGTATTACGTTTACTTGGAAGTAAATATTTGCCAAAAGTTTACATTCTTTTTATATCCTACTTGCAAAATGCCATATAACTCACCACGCTGCAAAACCGAGCAGGTCTTTTAACGCCAATTACAAATGCCCTAGCCATTCCTTACAAACAAGAAAAACAGAAAACGCTCAGTCGCTTTTTCATCTCAAATTCAATCATACCCCTTCCCCCTCGACGATACACTCGGAGCCACACTCGTTGGAGCTTGGGAATTTCCCAGTCCGTTCATCATCATCTCCTCAAAATTACTACTGCCGACCTTTCCTTTCCTTGGAGGCGGCGCATCCAGCATCTTTGGTCTCTCATCTTCGCCATCCTCTTCGTCGGTAGTATCGGACTCCGAGTGGCCGTGCCTGCGACGCTCGACGTGCTCGGAGCGTTCACCGCTGGTGCGTTCTCGTTTGTGGCGTTCATGACGCTCGCGACGGGCCCGGCGACGTTCGTTGGATGCTTCGATTTCTTCTGCTTCTTCGCGGGCGGCTGGATATGTTAGTATGCATGAAGATAGAATAGGGAGATAGAATACAAACCTCGGAGCTTCTGAGTCACTTCAGCATAACCCTGTACTTCGTCCCTGGATAAGACTCTCAAGACGATAACAAAGTCGTCTCTTGCCTCATATCTCTCTTTCCCTAGCTCGAGGGCCTCGGGATTTACGAGTTTCCTAGATATCTTCGTCCATCTGGCGTCTGGAGGCACACCATCTTTCTTGGCATCTTTCAGAGGTGCAACACCTTCTCGGATTGGACTTGGATCCTCTGGGAATTTCTCGCGTGGTGCACGTAGGATTCCTTTGACTGGCTTGTCCTCCGGCTTCTCGCGAGGCGGTGACACCACACGTAATTGACGATTATCAGCTGGTGCAAAAGAATCACGAGAGCGGCGTTCAGTAATATCACTGCTATTCTCAGCCGTTTCGCGAGGAGTTTTTATTACCGAAGCTCTTGGAGATGGCTCCTTGGCAGGTTTGGCAGGCTCGTTTTCTTTCGCATTTAGTGCTGCCTTCATCGCTATTATGTCCATAGCATCCTTGGGATTGAATGCTGGGACACCAGCACCTGCTTCCTTTCCTGCTCTTGAACGAGGTCGGGCCGGAGCAGGGGATGCTGAACTATCTGACCCCGTTCTCGGCGTTGACGCTTCTGGACGTTCAGAACGATTTCTGCGATGCTCTCGCCGGTCTGAACCGCCATCTCGCTCATTTCTTGTGTCAATGTAGGCGGGGTCCTGAGGGGGCTGTACATCTCGGTCAATTGGAGGGCTGGTCCTAGGTGGCGGTGGAATGTCTCGTGGCGCTGGAACATCTCTTGGTGGAGGTGAGCTATCCCTATCTTTGCTTTCTCGGCGACGTCTCTCCTTGGGAGCCCTATCTCCTAAATCTATAGTATCGTCCCTTGAACCTTTGTGTCTGCGAGGCTCCTCATCGTAATCCTTTCGCCTTCGCTCCTCACGCTCGTCGCGGTCCTCTCGGTCGTCCCATTTGGAGTTCTTGACAGCATTGAGACCCAAAGCAGCGCTAGCGAGACCAATTCCAGCCGCAATGGCATCTCCTCGACCGCTTTTATGCTCTGAACGGTCATCTGATTTATCCGACCTGTCAGTTGCGTTTCGACTACTCTTATGCTCTCTCCGATCATTTAATTTATCCGGCCTGTCAAATCGTTCTGACTTGTCTAGCCTATCTAGCCTATCAGAACGCTCAGGTCGTTCAGGCCTATCTGACCATTCTCTCTCAGATCGGTCAGATCGTTCCGCCCTTTCTAGCCTATCAGAACGGTCTGCTCGCTCCAACCGATCGAGTCGCTCGGGTCTCTCTGGTCTGTCGGTCCTGATACCGAAACCTCTCTGCTCAACGGCATCATCATATCGCGGTTCTTGGCGGTGAGATCGCTCCCTCCTCGGCTCCTCATCTCGCACCTCGTAATAATCGTCCCGGGGGCCTCTTCTCGAGTCTGCATGGTATGATGTTGGCCGGTGGGAACCGCCTCGTCTTATCGGTTGCTCCTCATATGGGGGTTCGACTCTCGCGGGCCGTTGAATCGGCTCCATTGACGGGGGGCCAGGTACGGGCATTCGAACTTGTGGAGGCTGTTCCCAAGAAGCTGTCGTCCTTGGAATTCTGTCAAATCCTCTAGTCGTAGGTGGAGGACCCCGTTCTCTCGGGTCATAAGGCCTGGGGGCAATATCATTGTAACTCGTAATGCTGCTTGGCCTGCTTGTTCTGGTGCCAGTTTCCAAGCTGTCCCTCCGTGCATGACTGCGTGAAGAAGTATTGTTGTTTAAATCATATTGAACCAAGTCTCGTGGATTGGTATATCCATATCCATCATCTCCGTAATCATCCGCAACCGTATCTGCGTGTCTAACTGCTGGGGCTGGGTATGCTTGTCGTGCCCGAGAACCAGTGTATGCTGCTCCCTCTCTCACAGGGGCAACCCTCAGCCTATTCGTCTCTCGCTCGGTTGCCAGACGATTCATATCCGCATTGTCCATAGTAGCACTGTATCTCTTTTGGTGATTGCCATGTCCATGGCTCGAGCTTGCGGGAATGGCATAATATTCCTCCTCGCTCGAACGGTAGGGGCTCTTCATGGGACTTACAGGCCTTCCACTGTGTACCACTGGTCTGTGTCTTTGTGCTACTGTCGTGACTACTGTAGGGCGAGGATTTGATTCAAGGGTATTCGACCGTCGTGTACGACTGCCGTCTCGAAGACTGCTGCTGCGAGCAGGTGGGTCTGTTTTGATCTTGTACGTCGTCATTACCGTCCCAGCATTGCTTGTGGTACTACTACTACCACCTCGTGGGGGGATGACGACCTCGCGGCGAGAGGTGGGAATGGCGTGAACATGGTGTTCATGGGTAGATGTAAGGGGCTGGCCGTTGAGATTGATAGGGAGGGAAGCTCTTGCTGGATTGTAGACTGGCGAGCGTGGTCGAGCGTATCTTCCGTATCCGTCTGACATCTTGTCTCAATTGTGGATGGTGAAAATGGTACGTCAGGCCAGAATATATGCTTTGAGCCAGCGAGGCAACAACTCGAAGGTTCGTGAAAGATTCGTGCTCGAGTAAACTGCCGCACGTGAGGGGTAGGTTAGATACTTCGTCTGCAGCCTGCAGGTAGGGCAGGTCCACCGAGGGAGTCGGCCGCTGAAGATACTGTTTGTATGTGAATGCCGATATCTAGCCAAGGAGCAGCACGAGTCAGCAAACAATGCAACGCGAGGATAGACGAAACAAGCTGTTTAGAACAAGGCATATGCTGCAGAAGAATATGTGTAGCATACATACCACTACTTTATGCCGGCTGCAAGGCAGGGCAGGGAAGGGTATGTGTGGTGGTGGTAGGGCTGGCTGGCTGGCTGGCTGCCAATGGTCTGAGACTGGTGCAGCAGGTGTAACGGTGCCGTAGTTCAAGTGGGATATGTTATAGATATTCTTGCGTATCGACGAGGAAGGCGGCCGTGGCGTGGAAGCCTTGAATGCTAGAGGTGGCGGTGGTGGTGGTGGAAAGTTGACCCCGCGGAGGATGAGCAAGCCAAGGAAGCAGGTAAGCAGGCATGCGTCTGACTTATGCAGGTAGGGAGTAGTTCGTGAGGGTGTCGTGAAGTTGTGAAGTGAAGGTAAGTCAAGAGCAAGAGACAGCAGAAGAAGACACCGGAGAATAATACAGCATTAGACTATTCTATTCAAATTGCGGCTCTCCGAGTGGAGGCAGTTTGGGCGTTGATGGTTAAAATTGGGTTGGGTTGGTTGGGTTGGTGGATTGGGTTCGGAGGTTTCCCACATGGAGCGTAGGTAGATCCTCGAATGACGTTGAAGAGGCGAGAGAAAACATGGCACCGTGTCCATATCCGTATGATAGATTACATTATACTGTGATTTCTCCGTATTTCCACCCCACTTTTGCTTCAATCTCGTTTGTCTTTCGTATTTCATTCCAAATATACCTATATCGAGCATCCAATAATATCTTCTTTCAAGCGTTCGTTTTCGTACTCCGTTACTCCGTCCTGCACACATCACAAGACCAGCCCCCCTTTCTTTCAACCACCACAGCTTGCATAGGCAAGCTCCCTCCACACATTCTCTCGCTACCCTACTTTACTCTAGTCTACGGTCCGTACCACAGCCCAACGAGCCTGATTGACTGCTTCCATCAATCCCGCGTTAGGAATAGTCTCCTCCCGCAGCGAGAGCATATGGCTTTCGACGCCCCACCACCACCAGACGGATATCTTCAGGCCTTCGGCACAACAACGTCTCTGATAGCAGGCCGCATTTGGAACTGATACTCGGTGCCATCTATATCCACAGAGCCGTTTACTAGTCGGGCGCAGAGGTAGGAATAGAGATACTCGGCGTGTAGCCACATGTTGAAGCTACCATATTTTCACTACAACACCCATGGAATAACGAAGAGATATCAAATTTCGAAATCTACCAAACCACTATGACATCAAGGAATTGTCTTTCGGACAATATGGCTGGCACTGACTCCCGTTTCATCTCAGACGTGGCGCGCTCACGGGAAACCCAATCTGTCAATATATGAGAAAACGGCGGTCTAAGTCCTTTGGACAAGCAATCCATGCCTTCCAGCCCAGCTCCATCACCTACCATTTTACAGCATTAGGCCTTAATTGCCTCGTCTCCCAATCCCAGCTGGCGCGCCAAGCTGCTTTGTGCAAGGATATCCCCCTTTCATTACAAGCGAGAGTCGTAACTCTAGGTATATTAGGCTTTGGCGGAGCACTTCTAGATCAAATAAATCTTTTGTTTTTGATACGCTTTCCCCCAAAGTGGAGGGAGCATTCTATCCATCGGATTTCCACTTGCTTCCAAATCTCCAACCCTCTTTTACACCCTCTAGATGCGAGGTTATTGGATGAAGCAAAATCGCCAAGTTACAGACATGCTTTCCATTTAAACCATTTGCATGACTTTCACATGTAATCTGCATTTCTCCTTCCTGCATATTTAGCATGCTGCTTGCCCAGGAATGCATGCCAAATTGCAAAGTGGTCATTCACGTGATACAATACTCTTTTTACAGTAATATTTCCTGGGATCGGTATTACCAGCCGCAGCATCTTGTACTATGGTTCTTGTACCATGGTGTTCTCTCTGTGTAATATTTATCACTTTTCAGTCTGCATTGTGATATTTTCTGCACGTCTCGCTAGATACACGTGATTAGGCTGGCGGGGTGGTTGTGCTTCCAGAAGGGCGAAGCGACACCATTCACTCAAAGAGGACGGGGGATACTAATCGCTGCTTAAAGAGCCTTGTACTCAGCTACACACGCATACTCTCCAAATATATGATCCGGGGCAGAAGAGACCTGGAACGATAGAATGACAAAATCCTGGAACTTTCATCTTTCACCTCTACTATTATCAAAAAGGCCGGAAGAGTGCACATCAGCAACCCAGCCACTTCAGAAATGATCCTCATTTGATTTCGAAATCCTTGTTTCCATCCAACTAACCCTTGATACTCTTAAACTTCTCTGCGGCATCCACAAGTAGTTGCTCAGTATTCTTCTCTTTCGCACTATGTCCACTATCCACCACAATCCTATACTCCACCCCCTTATTCCCCTCCCCACCCAGCGCCTGGTACAAATCCCAGCTCGTCTTCGCCGGACACACGACATCGTATCTACCCTGCACAATCACGATGGGTAGGTGCGCGATCTTGTGGGCGTCCGCGATGAGCTGTCCGTCGGCCATCCAACCACCATTTACAAAGAAGTGGGATTCAATGCGTGCAAATGCCAGAGACCTATAAATATTTTCAAGTTAGTCAGTCTAGTTAGTTTGATGATGTTGAAAGGGAAGAGAGGGGGTCAAAAGAAAAGGCAGGTGATGTTACCATTTAGGATCTTCTGCTTTGGCGACAAATCCTGGGTCTACGATGAGTTTGCTGGTGCGTGTTTCCCACGCACTCCAGGCGCTCGCGCTATTCGTCTCATTAGCTTTAATCTCCACTGAATCATGCATTGGAAATCAAAGACAAGCAATAAAACTCACCACTTGAGCTTCTCCTCCTCATTATCCCCTGTAAGCCTCTTATAATACGCAGCCATCATATCGCCTCTCTCGGCCTCCGGGATGGGCTCCTTATACTTGTCAAAGTAATCCGGGAATATGAAATCCGCGCCTTTCTGATAGAACCATTCTAGCTCTTCTCTTTTAAGAGTGAAGATCCCTCTCAGAATTAACCCTAGCGTTCGGTCTGAGTGAGTTTCCGAGTAGGCGAGGGCGAGAGTTGAGCCTGAGTGAAAGGGTCAGCTGATGTGCTGTGATGTGATTGTGTTGCCGATGAGGATGCCATCTACATACCCCATGAACCACCAAAGACGATCCACTTCTCAACTCCGAGGTGCTGGCGCAGAGCCTCGATATCAGAAACCAGGGTCCAAGTCGTGTTGTCTTCTAGCGAGGCATGGGGAGTCGACTTCCCGGCGCCACGTTGGTCGAAGAGGATGCTACGGTAGTGAGAGGGGTCGAAATAACGCCTATTATGTAACCATACACATTTTTAGCACAGTTACTCCCATATACTGGAGTCTAAATACTATACCCAAACTACGTCGGCTTACCTATCATTATCATCGATGCCTCCTCCTGGACCACCATGCAGAAACACGATTGGAACGCCGTTTGGATTGCCGCATTCTTCCCAGTAAATCGAGTGGACGTCTGATACTTGTAAGTGGTCGGATTTGTTTACGGAAAAGGGGGCGTAAAGGGGTGCCATGTTTGCGTGCTGATGAGGTGTTGTTGGCTAGAGGTGGGGTGGGGTAAAGTGATGGAGGGGCAATTATCCGGATTCGGGTCTATCGTACACGGATCAATTTTCTTCCTGTAGATTCAAACTCCACGAAGCTGATAATTGGCGGTCTCCCCCTAGCTTTCCACAACCTCCAACCTCCAGCTAGGGGGCGTTTTTAATTAGTCGTCAATTTTTAATTAGTCGCTGCAAAAAGCAGTATAAAAGAAGACCGTGCCCGAGCTCAGATTATTGGCCTTAGAAAAGGCTGGCATGCCTTAGGCCTAACTCTTATGCACAGACGGTTTTTGTATGAGAAAACAGCGACTAATTAAAAATCGACGACTAATTAAAAACGCCCCCTAGCTAGAGGTTGGAGGTTGTGGAAAGCTAGGGGGAGACCGCCGATTATTAACAATTTTAAAACCGTTAACAAAAGCAGAGACATATGCTACTTTTATATAACGGGCAGTGGTGAGTCTATGGTTAAATCTATATGGTTCTCGCTACAATGCCTGAATTTGTCGGGCGGAGTTTGCGCCCTACTATACTATACCTACCGGTATTTTATTTTCACAGCCTTGAAATTGCAGTCCATCTCTTCCCTTTCCATTCATTCAATATGCCAATCGGTAGTCACATATAGGCAATAGATAATGGATCTGTGAAGTGCTTACGAGTCCCCTGCCGAGCAAAAGTAGCCCCATCTGCCGGTATTGTCAGGTGCAGTACAAAAGGAGCATTGATTTCAGATCCTTCCATCCTACTCCACCCTCCCTGTGATCTCATAGCATGGGTTATGACCAAGAGACGTGTTCTTCTGCACAATAGAAGAAAATACATGCAACTCCCCCACCGAGTAGGAATACCATTATACCCCACCATGTTTTGCAATGGGGCGCAGTGGTTATCAGAGCCTGCTTTTGTCAAAAGCTTACTTTCAAGCTAATGGCTGCCTCTGAGCTTGCTTTACTAAGCGGTAGCTGTGTCCGTGCAGCTAGCATTCGTGCAAAAATCGAAGCTGCATGGATGTAACTCGGCCAGAGACTGCGAACAAATGTTGCCCGGACGCGAAGGAGTCGGGCGTTGGACTGGTGTCACCTGCCTGTTTGATACTCTTTCTTTGTGTAAGCACTATTATGAGTGATTGCCAAGATGGTTGGAGTGCTGCTAGTCTCTCAACTTCGACCTCTGGGGTGGGACCTCTGGGTTGGAGAGACAGTTGCGAAGGTAGTGAAGGTGGCATGTGCGCTTGATAGAATCTTGATGGATACCGTCTTTCCAAGGCATGGCCAGCGCTGAAAACCTTTTGAAGAGAAAGTCTCGTGGTTAAGGAAGTGTCGCTCTCTTCTCTCGCTTTTTAATTGACCTCAAACACAGTATTCAGATTTGGCCATTGTTTCTTTTACGTCTGAGACCTCGACAAGTAGTCTTACCGTCTGTTTGGACAATTTTGCGAGAACACATACCGCGGGAGACAGACGCGTTGCTTTGTTTGAGCTGAGTGGCTGGAATATATCTGCCTCATGCGTAAGCCCCTGACTGTTAGAGCGCCATCACATATAGTTACCACTATACCTTTAGATGATACATAAGCCTATCAAAGCTCCCTTCCGTCTTTAGACCTAAGCAGTCACCGTGTCAGCCTGTGCCGAGGGTGGGCATTCCCGAGATAGACCTTGCCATGTTGTAATCACAACCCTGTGCGCCGCTGAGCAGCTTTAAGCCAGCCTGGACCCTATAACCGTGGTCCATTTTGTGCCCCCCCTCTAAGCCTATGTTGGCTCCTCCAAAGAGAGCCCTGACGAGTGAGCCAGGAACCTGTCTCGACACGTCGAGCACAAGTGTATACGCATTGATAGGGCCAAGGTTAATCAGTGTTTAGAGCACGTGGGCTTGGAACTTTGCATCGTCGTCCTTGGAAATATGAGGGAATTTGACAAGATTGTTAAAGCCGTCTGTATGCTCTATAAACTCTTCACAGAAAATAACTTCACAGGAGAGATTGGACAGAACATGGAAATTCATTTTCAACTCGTAAATAGGCCCAATCTTTACCGGCACACAGACTTGGCCAGTCATTTAAAGCGGCAACTCGTCGAAGTTCTGCTCATCCCAGTGAACTCTGCCATTTTCTTTATCTATCCACGCAGCCTTGTCGCTTACCTTCAGACCAGCCTCCTCGTTTTCGCGCACCTCATTCTCGCTGGCCCCAAAGCCATCTCTAGGCAGCCAAATGACTGGTGTCGAGGAGGTCAATGCAGGGTTAAGATACGCCTTCTTCAGTTGATCTTCGCTATCATACTGGGGTCTGCCGGCATCCTCGTCAAGATCGTTAAAAGCCTGCTCATCCTCTCGAAGCCAGCTTTGCATGGCTCTGTTTGTGGTAAAGACGTGAGGCTCAAAGAAGCGTGAAAGGGGGCCAAAGATTCGTTGTGGGACGCGTGCTTGTCGGCCTAGGTGTTGAATATATGACGGCGAGTCGTCATCGGCATGACCTTCCTCCGCAGAGGTGAGGAGAGCTGTTGATTCGTCTCCTGCGCTATGCTCATATCCATGAGCTAGCTCGGCGGGCAGGAGGTCCTTTTCGAGCGGCGCGAGGTACAGACTCGTCAGATGGTGGTACAGGATAGTGATGAGGATTAGGACACCGATAATAATCCCGGGCCCTGTGGCACCTTTGAGTCCACATAGCCCAATTAGGGCGATCTCAGCGATGTAAACGCCGGTTAGTAGGTGCTGGAGCGCGAGAGTGTAAGCTTCCCCTCGAGTGTCGATCTTGGGCTGGATGACAAAGAGCAAGTTATAGCGGTAGGAGAAATAGTACAGGGCAAGACCCGCGGCGGCAAATCCGAGGACTAAAGGAGCGATGCATGAGTAGGCAATTGCTAGTTTTTGTTAATGCATTTCTTTCAAGATTGAGCAATAGGCCATTACCGATAATTGCAAAATTAGCAAACTATTAATTTTTCATATGTATGTTAGCGGACTCTCTTCCGGGAATTAATTTTACAAAATTATCAAACTGTCAATTTACCTTTGGGTAGACTTTGCCCCAAGCAATCCCCTTCATGCTGGTATCGCGATTGAATTTATGTCGTGGTGTTTTATCGAAGAAATGACCAAAAACGATGTACTGGAGCAAGCTTGTCCAATTGAGCAAGTTATCCGCAGATGAGGTTATCCCTTGAATAATAAAATACGAAAGGTAGTAGTTGGAAGACGTTGGAAGCTGTTTCGCAAGCAGCTCTGGAATAGAAATGGGATTTTTGGCCCTGTCGATCAACTGCGAGAATACCGTGGCCCCACTGGAAAAAACAGCTGTAACGAGGAACACCTGTGTAACTTGAAAAATATAGAACCACCTTTGGACTTTTAGTTCATTGGTAGTGTTTGTTGGGCTACTGCCGAAGGACTTGAATATAACTAAGAAATCGTTAGTAGAAGTACGCATGGAAGAAAGATAGATTTTTATGGAATGACATGCATCTGAATATGTTGGCCACATATTTGCTCAGCAGGCTCGTGAGCACAGGAGGGACCAGGCCCGACAGGATTTCAATGACCGGATCGGGAAGATTCTCGAGCCAAGCAAGCCACTCTATGTTGTCAGCCAGATAGCTAACGTTTGAGATGAGACCGATGAACCCGCTCGGTATTGACCAGAAAACGATCAAAAGCGCGACAATAGCCGCAGCGATGCCTTCTTGGGACATTCTCTGTGCGGGTGGTTTTGACAGGTTTTGCCATATGACATCTTTTGGCAATACACCAAGGTACCTCGGAGACAGCGTCAGTATCTCAGTAGAGGGCACCTGCAAAAATGCATGCTGAGCATCTGAAAGAGTCTTGAACTCTACGAATACGGCTGCTGGCTCCTGGCTTTCTTCTTTTTCGTGTCGTTGTCTACCCTCTTCAATGCATGATTCTTTCTTTTTAATGTCCTCGCGAAAGAATCGAATGGCATCTACCTTCTCACTGGCTGGGCTATAGGTAGAGCGCTGCTTTGGTCTAATTGCTTTCTTCACTGAGGACGAAAGGCTGTCGTAGCTCGGCTCATCAATATTTTGTGACTGGTTGTTCTTACGCGCCTTTAAGATCCTTTTACGGGCATTTTGAATCAGCGATACCTCTGCTTCTTCGAGCTGACTTACTTTGGAGTCACGATCTGATACCAAGGCTTCTAACGATGCAACCTGGGTCACTGGCCAGATGTGGACAGCGTTATCACCGAAGAAATGATGCATTTTGCTCTCTTGAAGCGCGTCTTGAGGACAAGACAGGAAAAGGACAGTCCTGGACGACAACCGTGACACATTTCTCTTCGAAATAGCCCATGCTTGACGCAGCCCGATGACCCAAAGGCGTTCGCGTGCGATGGTGAACATGATGAAGACGAGGAACACCACGGCCATTATGGCATGTGCGTAATAGAAATTCTTCTCGCTGACATTCCCAATACCGATCTTGTCCAGCCCTGTGGATGTCCCTCCGGCAGCGTTGATGGGCATCAATATTGGCCAGGTAAGACAGCAGCCGACGATACAAATGAAGATAATAGTGCGGAGGAAGCGGAGATAGAGATACGCGTCTAATGACTCGTGATACAGTAAAAATTTATCGGGGACCTGGTACATCGTGCGTATCCAGTCAAAGTAGGCTGGGCTTTGGGTAGGGGTGCGGTGTCTGAAAGAACACAGAAAAGGTTAGCACAAAGGAGACCCGGCTGACGGTTGAGCTGACTTCTCTGGTATGGTGCCCATATGGGTACGAGGGGCATATATATTGGGATAGTGACTCCGTATTAGCACGAAAATGACAATAAAAATCATGCCTGTTATCTGCGTAATCTTAGCTAAAGGTCTAATGACAAGGAGTTGTTGGAAAACTCACCCACGTAGGTACGAAGGCCGACACGACAGCTGCTAGAGAAGAAGAGCCTTTGGGCTGAGTAACGTTAGTTGATGATGATGCGGGAGGAGTAGGCGTGTTTACCTTGGGCTTCAAAGTTGAAAATGTATATTCCGCATCATTGACGATACTAAGAAGTGTCTGATGGCCCATCTTGAGTATAGTTTGACTGAATCAGTCTAGAATCAATCATGCGTTACTACTACCAAATTATCTCGTGGAGCGACAACTGGCTGGCACTGAGACGAGCAGTGGGGATTGTCGCCGAGTTGAATGAGGACTTGTGTGTGTTATTATACTAAGTAGACATTCCAATATAATTCTAAGTCGAGGTCGAGATCACCCCCTTTGATCACGTTCGGCGCTAGAATTAACCTTGAAACGTGTAGGATCAATGACGTAGTTGCTAAGGCCAGGGTTTCTACCTATTTTAGCCTAACCATGTCCCCTAGCCTAGACCCCCCTGAATATACTCGCGTAACGTTGACACTTTTCGCATGGCAGAAATAAACTAGCGCTAGCAATAATCAACAAGTCATCATTGGATACTAAAACGGAGAGCAGAAAAGTGCCTGACTAATGTGAGTCAAAAGTGAGGCAAGGGCGCCGCGAGCCTAAATAACCGCGTTCAGAGCAAGGTCAAGAAGGTGTCGCCTGCAGATGACCTCTAAAATCAAATACTGTTTTAATTTCTACAAGCCTCCATATTTCCCTATTAGTGTATTGCAGTTCAAGAAAGAGTTCTTCGAGTGAAGCCCGGCAGATTTTCTCAACATTCATAATCACAAACGTGATATAAAGACAGCACCACTTTTAATCATCCAGCCGTTCTAGCTTTGAATCACCACTATAAAGTTCTATTTATGAGATCATTCGTTCGGTATTTGTCTTTGTACATATACATAATACATTTCAGTATACCCACCTTTTCATCTCCATCTACGTACAAAGCCAGCTAGCTACTTGAAGTCAGCCCCAAACGCAACTAAGCATGCGCAGAAATGGACGCTTCTACGCACATGGCGCCGCAGTCTACGGGCTTTATGGAGGCGCTGGGTATTCTCGACCTCGGCGCCACGAACTACGCAACCGCTTGCTGCAGATCTTTCAAGACAAACTTATCAAGCTGTATAGCAGGAACAAGAGTCGGAGTCGAGGCCCTCGCAGTCCCCTCTTGCCTCCACTTCCATATACGACTGGATCCCTTCCTTGAGATGGCTGATAGATATGATCGCATACTGAAAATGAGGTTGTTTTTGGACAGGTCTTTGTGCAAATGGGTTGGTATGCGTGGTGCTTTTGCATTTACGGAGAACTCGGGCGTGGCTATACCTATATACAACGGGAATTTGGGCTGTCCGGTTCTACAACTTAATATTTGGTCTTTCCGTGGGAGCCTCTGTTTCCGAGACATAGATAAGTACGCTTCAAATTTAGTGTCCATAATATAAACCACCTACCGAAAAACTTTCGAAAGAGGCTTTCCGGACAAGCGAGGTGATGTGAATACTGTCGTTTAATGACCCTACCGCATAAACTCTTACAGGGTGTAGACCGTGTAAAGGAATTAGATAGAAGGCCCGAACCGATATATTGCTACCTTCCGTGAGGATGACTAGAACATGATTCTGAAATAGAAACTTGCATTTCTAAATTTTGCATAAAAAGGAGCCCTTCGAATTAATATCTTTGTTAGTCCGTAATTTCCACGGGTGAATCAGTCCTAGTCGACACTCCAATCACGAATTCTCAAACCACAGATTTGGCTTGTTGGATTGAAGGAGTCATCTCAAGGAGGAAACCGTCATCCCTAGTCAAGATACCAGTCATATAGGCAAGTCCATGAATAGAGATCAATGTAGGGTATATTCTACAGAAGCCAGTTTTGTAACAATGGATGTTCTTCTTGAATGTTGAGGTAAAAGAAAACGTAGCGTATATTATGTATTAAAGGAACCATAAACTTCTCCAGGCTACCGGAGTCTACATCCAATGTGACTCGCCACGCCTGTTTACCAATTCAACCGACGCCAAACCCCCACCTACCCCCCCAACTCGATCCTAAACTCCAAGACTCAAAACATCTCATATCAATAAATCAACAGCACGGAAAGTGATTCGAACTCCGCCCTAAATACCATGGTATTCAAAAATCCAAATCCCTCGCCTAGTTCCAGATTCCGTCCTTACACCACTCTCCAAGATTGCTCTTTATTCGCGAAATCAGCTTCATGTCGCAATCAATACATTTCCACATCTCAATCAACCACCAGACACTTACAAATTCCCCAAGAAGAATTCACACCGCATAATCTCATCTAGGAGATGGAGCCTTGACTTTCTTCATCGTCGCCTCCAAGAAGCGCCCTTGCTGCTCTCTGACCTGTGTTTCGCCAGCAGGCGGCACGAACTTGCCCCCTGCGAAGGTAAGTACGGCAATATTGCCAGCGCTGAGGGCGAGATAGTACGTTGAGGTAACACTAGGCATTGTGACGTGTAGGATACTCGAGTACTCGTTTTTATACAAAGTTGACAAATCCCGTGTCGACCAACTGTGGACTCATTTTGATCTTTATACTTGAGTATCTGCTTTGAGGCATGGAACTCGTACAAGGCCAAAAGGGAGCTTAGCTGCTTAATGCAACCCTGTGTGCGGGGTAGACGGGAATGGCCCCACCCCCGCAGTTTAGTATGGTGCGGTGCTTCGGGCACTCCCGCGAAGCCGTTTGGATTCGCGATAATTGTCGGCTGACTTATGCTGAAGTAACGTGTTTCTTTGCGCAATGGGAACCTAGTATTGGCATATCCAGTTGAACTCACTTCCTTTCGTTTAGCAGTAGAAAGAGATATACTAATAAGCTTTATTAGGTGTTCATGTATTGCTTGTTACATATATGTGGTGAGGGGGTGTTAGCGCTACCTTAGCGAGCCTTTATAATACGCCTACGATCCATCCTAGCGATCCATCCTCTGTTGCACCCAAGAATCAGTCTTCTTGACATTGCTCGTAGTAGTAGCTTGAAAAGAGCCAGCTATCAGAATATCAAATTTAAGCTTAAATATATTGGTGCCTCAAAGTCAGGTACGAAAGATGCGATATTTCACGAGGGTTTCTGGAAATCTATCTTGAAAATGAGGTAGGGACATTCATTTCTGTGGATAGTATGCTGCTATGTATTGATTCTGACTTGCCTCTAGCTGGAACGTAGTACTTGGCATCATTAAATCTAGCGCTCAAAAATGATATAGGTGTAGAATAATTTTGCATACTGAATCCTGCAAAAGCTGTTTTACATTTATGCGATGCTTGGGCAAATGCAATAAACGCTTGTTGCACAAGAGATAAAACGAACTCCCTTGAAGCTTAAATAGTATTAGATCGTGTTTTGATGATCCTAGCTCCGACTGTCTCTGTTAGGAACGGGATTGGTTTAGCATCTAGTGGGAAGAAACAACTAATTTAATTGTGCTCGTATCACATATTGGTGTTTAAACACCAAATCAAACTCCCTGCCAAGATACTCGAGGGTTTATAGGGTATAATACAATCGTACTTATCCAAACAGTCATTAGGCACAGCCTTGTATTTTGGTGCATTACCTATATGTACACAACATATTCATGCCAACCCAGGTATCCAATATCCCCCAAAACTACACATTAATTCCTCCACAGTATACCCGTCATTGCACTCCACGACGTTCCCCACAAATCTCGAGTATCCCTCGGTCGCAGCTGTCCAACTCTCCGGCTCTTCGTTCGACCCAAATGTTTCTTGGCGTTACTATTTCCCAAAATCATGGCTCGAACCAACCCACGTTCGGTTCCTCGAGATGCTGTAGTCGAGATGCTGCCGCTTCTAGAGCTGGAGGCTGTTTGTGATAGATCGATCTGGGAAGCGTTGAAGCCCAGTGAGTACATGGAAGCTGCATCGTTGAAAGGTTCGTCGGACAGTGGAGGATCGTTTTCGGTTGATGGTGGTGCTGTTGCTTCGGCGAAGCTCATTTGGTTTCCCTCGGGTGGTTCAATGCCTGGGAACGGATGGTCGGTAGCCGCAACTACAGGTAGTCAGTATGTATATAGCAGCCATTATAGTTAGGTGGGGGCAGGTATTCCTACAGCATGTTTCCCAGGCAATATTTTCGCTGTGGTATCAGTACCAGCAAGTTGATTTACCGGGCTTGTTCTCGTACAGTCGCACGTAGTTGGAGGATGTGAGGAGTAAGATGGTTCCGAGTAGGACGGAGGAGTTGCGATAGGTTGCAAGCAGGGCTTCGGCTTGAGGTATCACTGAGATGTAGGGCGACATATTAGCTCTTATCTGCAGATGGTGAAACGCTCGATACGTTCAACGCGAAGAACTGGGGAAGTTAACTATCATTGGAGACTGAAGCAAAGAGCGCTTAGAAAATTAGATGCCCCAGCATAGAGGATCTGATCAAAGTGAATTTGAAGTTATCTCGGTTGAACTTTCCTGTTGAATGGCCCCTCACCCTTTCCCTTCAAGCCGGATAATTCCGTGCATAGGTACCCAGATATTTACCGCATATTGAAATTTGAAGATTTGACTGTATAGTTGGAAGAGCTGGGAGAGATGGGTACTTCGAACATATTGGGTCAAGAACCGCTTAGGAAAGCAAGCATGGAACTTTAATTTATTAATCTTTATATAGATTTAGTCATCAAAATTCAAAAAGGTGCAGAAATAGTTATTAGCTGTAGTTTTAAATGATTTATACGGGGTTCGCACAATCTGATCCCTAGCCCCCCAATTTATTACACTCTCAGTTGCTTAAAACTTTGCCCAAAAAGTCATGAACTTCTGCGAACATCTCAGGTGCCGAATCATGCAACATCAAAGTATGACCAGTGTCACTAATCGCTTTAAAACCAAACTCCGTCACACCAGGAAATAGCTCGCGGGTGCTATTCAACAAATCCTCGCACGTCGCTCCTGGAGCTGTGCAAAAAATGATATCTTCTTCACCCGCTGTAATGTAAAGAGGTCCAGTGTAGTTGACGGCCGGCACGAAAAACCCTAAATTGCCCGTCTCCCCTATTGTCCATGTGTCCTGTACCGCATAATCTTGCTCGGCAATTATGTGGCTATATCCCCCAGCATAGAAGAGCGCCTCTCGTTGGGACTCTTGCGCGATAGTGATATAACCTAGCGGAAAGCTTGGGAATCGCTTCGGATTCATGTTGGCTGCAGATACGACCTGAGTAGATTCGAACCCGCTATTGCTAAAGGCAACACTAAACCCCGTCAGCACTATCGCGTCCACGTCCTTCGGATGGGCTGCTGCGAGTCCAGTCCCGAGCCAACCAGCATAAGAGTGGCTAACGTAGACGATTCTATCGAAGGTACGGCAAAGTCCATTGCGTGGAATCGAGCGGATGGTTTCAATAAGCTGGTGCAAGATATCAAGCTGTAGCCAGCCCTGTACGACATTCAACGGGTCGGGATGCTGGGGATTTGTGCCATGTCCCAATCTGTCGATAGCGAGCGTAGCATAGCCCTGACTAGCGGCGTACAATTGCCAATTCAAAGTCTCGTTGCCCAGGCCGAGACTTGACCAAACAGACTTGTCGTAGCTGATGCCATGCACAAGAATCTCAAGGACATTAACGTCGTGACTGGATCCTGGAGTGCAGTATGTGCCATCGATGATGAAGCTTCCGCTTACTAGGTTGGTTCCTTTTATTGCAGCGCCTGTCTCGTTGACAAGGCTCCCAAAAAAGAATTGAATGACTTGCGTCTCGTTGTTCGGATCAGGAGGGAATTGGAAGACGACGTTCTGTCCTGTGGATGAAAGCTGAAATGAGACATTAGAGCAAGATGCAGAAAGACTCAATGCGGCAGAAGTAGCAACAAAAAGCGGTTGTATAGCAAGTGATAAAATTTGGAAGAAATACATCTCTCAGTATGGAGCGACAACGGCTCGACAGATCGCATGTGCGAAAAGCAGTGCCGCCTCCCTTTTTACTTATACAAAACTGAACGGAACCAGGTTTCCCCGCCCTGTACGGAGATTATTTCCAAAAATAGGATGCAGTATTGGTGGCGCGGAAAGCAACCAAAGAGGAACCTTGTGCCGTCTTGTGTTGCAAACAAAATATACGTAATATACCAAAAGTTATATAACTTTTAGCGAGAAATGAAACCAAAAAAAGATCACTTACTACCTAGTCATCGAAAATAACTTTTATTCTATTTCCAACGGAAATGCTCATTCACTTAAAACAATATTTGATTAGGGGAATAATCTTGATAGTGTAATATTTACTTGGCGTGCGCTTTTAATATGCTTAAATTCAGTAATATATTGCTAAGCACTAGTGCTGCATGTGAGCCCTACCTACCCTACCTTGGTACCTAGGTAGTTATTTATTGGATGGACGCAGGAGCGTTTGCAGGATCCCTGCCAACATGTGGCATGTGTGGACGTGGCTCGCGTGGTACTTACTGTCGAGATTTTACAGCGATACAGTACAGTACATGACATTTCGATAGTCCGCCAATGCTCTTTCCAACTCAAGCCATCACCCAAATGTTGTCCCCATGCAATAACTTTGAATTACTTCAAAGAAGGCCTGAATACACTCTTCTCTGTAGCCATCATGCAAAGGTTTTGCAACGACATATTCCCCAATAACAGAAAAACCGTGATCTCCGCACCAACTTCTTTCATAAACCAGTTTTTCAAATCCATTGCAACCAGCGAATCGATACCGTAGGTGTGCACAGGCTTATTCAAATCGATATCTGCCTTAGAAAGGCCCAATATTTGTGCAACTTTACCGGAGAACCATTCAATGACCAAATTTACCGCGTCGTCCTCGGATTTTGCTTCCCTCAAGCCAGCAGCTCTATCTACTTTAATCGCGCCCGGTAGATAGGCGTCGGCGCCTGGGTCTTGAATTGACATTTGAAATAAATGTCGGAATATCGGGCGATGAATCGAATGGTGAAGGTCGATCCCTTTTGCTAAAACAGCAGAAGGCATTTCGATTCCAACAAGTATTTGCGCATCGATATCGCCAAGCAGTGGCAAATGCGGATTGCAATAGTATTCTAGCAAGGCGAGTAGCTCCCGTAACTCGATATCCATCAAATGTCCGATACGCCGCATCGATGCTAGCAGTGAATCACTCTCTGCCACAACTCCTTCGCCCAGCATCATTCCCAAGTCAATGGAAACTGATTTTTGTCCATGCGCTAACCGGAAATGAGCAAGAGCATCTTTGAAAGTGTTTCCAGCAGCATAGTTGGCTTGTGCTCGTCCGCCAAATATGCCGTTTACAGAGGAGATGATGACGAAGAAATCAAGATCTAAAGGGAGAAGTTTATGCAGGTTCCATGTACCTGTGACTTTGGAGCGAGTGCTGATGTCCCAATCCTCTGCGGTCATGTTTTCAAATATGTTGTCCTATATCCGGTCAATGTCTCTAGTGCTTTCTGGGGGAGGTCGGACAAACTCTCAACGCAGCTGTTGCCTGTATGCAGCCTTTTATAGGTGGCATTGTCCTAGAAAGGGGACTTAATACTTCATCAAGACCTTTTGAGTTGCTAATATCGATCTGAGGCGTCGCAACAACTATCCCTTGTAGCTTCAACCCCCTCACGAGCTCTTTAGCAGCAGGACTCAAAGCTCCGGAGCGAGAAAGCAATATTAGATGACGAGCCCCACGAGTCGCCATCCACCTTGCAAAACTTCTTCCTAGTCCTCCTAGACCTCCAGCTATAACATAGGTTGCATCTGTATAGAAATTGTATTGTGGTTTTGTTTCGACGCTAGCCTGTGGGCGGCGAACAGTTAATATAGTATGTTCGAAGCGGAGGAATGGGTACTGATACTGACAAGTAATCTGTCTCCTGGATGCAACTCAATTATCTTTTTCGCAATTAATGATCTGTCTTGGAACTTGAGGAAGGCCTCTTTAGCCTGAGAAGGCGGAAAGACATCGAGAGATAGCGTGTTTTTCAGTTTCAATCGGAAGAATTCTCCCATGGCGTTCTGAAAAGTTCTGTAGGCCTGCTTTGGCTGCGATTCTAATAGACTGGCCATGTTCACATATGATAGCGACATGTTGGTAGTTGTGCCAGCAGGCGGTACTCTCCTTGATTTTGCCCTATCTGTCAAAGTAATATCGATGAGATGGCCTGAAGTAGAGAGACACTCAGTAAAGTCTACTGGGCTATGATTGAGAACCGGCCCCACAATAACATCAACCCCTCGTCCTTGAGTAAGATGATATATCTTGTTTGTCAGTGAGGCGTCCTCTGGGTATAAAATCGACTCCTCAGGCAGATCCAGAATATTTACGAGATGCTTGCATTTTGAAAGTGAGTTAGCAGTGGCCAAAACCTGAGCACCTTTCTCTCTTGCTAGCTGGAGGATCATTTGACCTGTGCTACTCGTGGCCTGGTATATTAGAACGGTATCACCTTCCTCGAGGCGTGCTAGGTCAACAATACTATGATAAGCCAACCACATTGAGACAGGTATTGAAGCAGCCTCCGCAAAGCTTATGTCAGGTGGAATAAGATACACCGCGGCTGCGCTTGCCCTTAGGATGGATTTGGCGATGGAAGACCCCAGTACGCATACTCGATCGCCCGAGTGAAAGCCCGAGTCTATGCCTGAAGCTCGGACCGTACCAGCTGACTCCATTCCAAAGCCGATCTCGTTATGACTTCCACTGCTTATGAGGAAGTCTCTGAATGTCAACCCAAATGCTGACACTTCTATATGTACATCGTCGTCATTCAAATAAGTATTGGCGGGAAGAGTTTCGCCTGAGAACCACCCAAGCGTTTCCAGATGTCCAGGGTGCTCGATACGTAGCGAAAGTGAGTCTTCTCCATTAACATAACGCTCTTCTATCTGTTGTGGTAGGTTTACTTTTGCAATTACCTGATCCATATGACTATTGCTGGTTATGCGACTTATTTGGGGGCCAGTTGTTGACGAAACAACGTTTGTTTCCAGCTCTTCGACCGAAAGTGCGTTCACTCGGCTTATGATCCTCATTAAGAGGTCCACGGCCTGACTTTCTTCGCCTACAGCATCCAGTGTGAGTGTCACAAATTTGCGTATTGGGTCTTCGGATGCGAGGACACGACCCAATCCATCAGCAAGATGGTGATCGGGTTCTATCACCCCTGAGATGGATTTAGTGACCCAAATGGTGTTCTTAGATCTAGCGAGCACCTTGTGAAGATTTTCATAGTTTGTGGCTGATATACCGTGCAAAATCTTTGCGTGAAACTCCAATACGGACACAATGATGCCTGATGAAGGGGCGTTCAATCCAGCGAGCTCTGCTAGCGAGTAGATCTTGCAGTTGTCATATCGTGATTTTAATAATGTGGCAAAACTCAACTGGTCCTCTCGGTCCTGATTTATTAGCACAGCGATCTCCGGGGAACTAGATTCTTCCCAGTCTCCGTCACCAATGGCAGTTGAGATCATGATGCTAGAATACTGAATCTCGGTCTGCGACTGCCCATTAATTTCCACGTCGACACCGGAGAAGCTTGTTTCTTTCAGGCGCTCTTCCCAATCTCGAGATATCAAGCAAGGGCTATGCGGAGATCGAGATTCGAATTTAAGCGGCGCCCACCAGTCTCTCAAGACTCCGAAAGCGAATCCAATATGCAGTGATTCTGGGCGTGTTGCCTCGAATAGAAGCAGTCGCCCACCTGTTTTTAGAAGCTTTCGTATGTTACGTAGCGCTTTGTTCAAATCATCGATTGCGTGGAGCACGAATGAAGCAATCACGAGATCATAACTCTCTGCTTCAAATGACTGAGAGATAGGGTCTTGCGATATATCTAAGACCTTGAAATCCATTCGATTCAAGTGATCATTAAATTTGGCTCGTGCACTTTCGAAGAAACCTGGCGAAATGTCCGTATAGTCATAACGAGACCATTTGTTGACCCCATCGGACGCTAAGGTTTCCAGGATTCGCTGCGTCTGGCCACCGGTTCCAGCCCCGACCTCAAGAATCGTCATTGATGGATCCTTGAAACATAGAAGATCAACATAAGCAGAAGCGGGGTGGCAGAAATGCTCGTTCGTAAGCATCTCTTTGTAATAACGATCAGCAAGACCATTTTTGAAGAACAGCTCAAGCGGGTCGAGTTCGCCGCACAGAACTTGAATAAGATTCCGGCCAATATGAATCAAGAAAAAGTCAGCGTCACCAAAGGCCTCGACTTTTGCAAGCAGCTCTGCTCGTCCATGGGAATCTTTGAGGACCTCCTGCACCATTTCATCGGTGACTGTCAAATGCCGGTTTCGAAGGAGTTGTAACTGGTTTCTCATCCAGTCAACATACGCTGTCATGTGTGGCTTCAACGTCAAAGACGGGTTTCTCTGCACATAATCGACAGCTTCTTCAATGAAAGACATAAGAGCGATGGTTTGGAGTCTGGACCTAGCTACCGCGTCCACGGCTTCAGGGGGTCTATGCGTCGTACAATTGAGGAATAATTGAGTATTGTTGAGTAAATCGATATCCGGCTTCCAAGTCAATCTGGTACATAAAGTCCTTGATGAAGAAGTATTCTCTTCAGAGACCCCAGTGCTGTTTATGAATGTAGTTTCAAGACCTTGGATGTATATTATTTGACGTTGAGAGTCGGTCGAGGTTGCCACTATATCTGCTGAAGCTCCGCGGTAGCCGCGGAAACTACACTTTGCTGTCGCTCGGATATATTCCCTCTCGAGCAGCTCTATGTTACCGCAATCTATACCGATGAGATCTGCATGCGCTGGCACCATTGTTGGCAGATATTTTTTCCCGTAGGCAAGGGCCGGTACAAGGAGTTGTGCCATGCCATCAAGTATTATTGGATGAACTGTAAAGTGCTGGGCAAATGTATTCACAGCCCTGGATTTCCAAGAAGTAGTTTTGACTTCTGCAGTGACTTCACCTTGATATCCCAGGCGCATGCGCTCGACGTTCTGAAAACAGGGCCCATATTGTATAGAAGTCTTTGCTGATGAACAATAGGGATCGTGCTCAGAGCCTTGGCACAAATTAGATAAATTTTCCACCCAATCAAGGATACTTCTCCCGTGCATGAATGAAGGCGCTGGAAAGTCGTCTGTACTTGAGACAGCTCTAATAAAACCGTGGCAGCATTCCGAGTAATCATTATTGTCAACCACGAAAAGCCGAAACTCTGACCACGAAGCGAAGGGCGACGTGCCGGACGGTGTCTCAATGCTCAACTGGGTCTCGGCCCTCTCAGTCTCTCGAGGAAATATGATAGGGCGTAAGAAATCAACGTCCTTCAGCTGAATTCCTTTGATGCCATCTGGATTCGCAGTTACTTGTTTCAAAGCCTCTACCGCGGTCACAACCATCCCTGCGGCTGGGAAAATCACTTCACCGTTGATTTTATGGTCTTGTAACCATGGGACCTCCGATAATCGAATGACATTCCGCCATTGTGCAACAAGTGGGTTCCAGTCAAGGCTTCGAGTTCCGAGTAGGTCATGTCGAGAGGCCTCCCTAAAGCGGAAATTCTTACTCAAACGACTTTCCAGCCAATACGATTGTTTGTGGTTGAATGGGTATCTTGGTAGTCCCGAAGGAATAGGCTTCGTCGAACTATGGAAATTATTTGCTGCTGGTATATTCACGGGATATCCGGCGCAAAATAATGATCCCACTGCTTTCAATATGGAAATAGAGGCGCTCATCTTACGAGTAAGGACGGAGACATAAGATGGTATTTTTGGCTGAGTAGAAGATTGCAAAATGTCACGTATGGGGCCTTGGAGTGTACTATGTGGACCAATTTCGACCATGTGAGTGATCCAGGATTGGCTCGCAACCGTCTTTCCGAGCCGTTGGCGAGGCCCGGTGTTCGAATACGCGATGAGTTTGGAGACTGCAGCCTCAAACTCTACAGTCGATGTCATGTTGCGCACCCAATATCTCGGATCACGGAGAGTCTCTGCAGCAATGAAATCTCCTGTGACGGACGAGATCATGGGCACAAATCCCGAGCTGGTTGTAGTCTGGAGCTCCCCGAGTGTTGCTTGATAATCTGTCGATATAGAATCCATAAAACTCGAATGGTACGCGACTGGGACGAGAAGTCTGCGAGCAAAGATAGAGTCCTCCTTGAACCAATTTTCCAGTTTTGTGAGCTGCTCCACTTCACCTGTCAATGTGACGCTTCTGGGACTATTGACGCAGCCAATTTGAACGCGCAGAGAACCTTCCGTTTGCTGCAGCCGTTCCAGGTATGGCGTTACACCAAGTCTCGAAATTCCAACAGCCATCATGGTCATCTTGACAGAGTCTTGGACAATTCTGGAGGATATGATGCCTCGGAAATACGCGGCTCTGATTGCCGCAGCAAGGGACAGCGCTCCTGCGGCGTATGATGCTGCGATTTCGCCAGATGAATGGCCCAAGACTACTGACGGACGGATCCCCCAACTTCTCAGAAGATCGATCAGCGCAATCTGGAGGCACGTAGTTGCGGGCTGGCTATATTGTGGCTCTCCTATGGGTGCAGTGGCGTTTGTCCCATCTATAATTGCGCGCAAGGACCAAGAACAACCAAGCTCTTCGAGAATCACTTGAGATTCTTGCAGGCTCCTGCAAAACGCAGAGTATATTACAAGCTCACAACCCATTTCAACGTAACTTGCTCCTTGTCCTGTAAAGACGAAGGCAAGTTGGGGACTTTTGATTGATCTCACCGCCTTGGTGGGAGTGATATGCTCGAAGCTATCCGGGTCTTGACCATCGACAACAACAGAATTTCTCCATACAAAATGGGTCCTTCTGGAAGCTAAGGCGTGTGCTAACTCGTCGATCTGAAGCTTGTGTTGACTAAGTTGTTCACAATATGCTTCGGTCAATTTCAGCGCACTGGTCTGCTCTGATGACGACCAGACAAGCAATTGTGGTGCTGCGGAGACTTCTTTGCGCTGCATTCTGTCAATGACTGGCATTGGACCATTCTGCAGCCCTATAGGCTGGAGGCCTTTATCCAAATTGTGGTGATCCTCGACAATACTAACAGCTCTCGTCGAGATGTGCGAAGTTCGGTGATACCCTTGTAACCCATTGAGTTCCAGGAAGTGGTATGCATCATCGAGGATGACGGTTGCATTTGTGCCACCAAACCCGAATGAATTGACCTGATGAAGTGTTAGTCTATTACTCTATTCGAAGAAAAAGCAGGGGAAAAGGAAACACGTTAGATGATACATACGCAAGCTCGACGCAGTCCATCGGTTGGCCACGGTGTCAGGTCAGTAGGAAACTAAGGTCAAGTTTAACAAAAGTCCCGCACAATGGCTTTCATTATACTGACATGTATGTGCAAGGCTGTAGCATTGATATTGCTATTAAGACATTTGAAACCGGCAATTGGAGGAATCAGGCCTTTCTCAAGTGTCAAAAGGGCTTTGATGATACCCGCCAATCCACTGCAGCCCTCCAGGTGTCCAATATTTGCCTTGACAGCTCCGATGTATAAGGGGTCGTCCGCGGTCCTGTAACGTCTAAAAGCTTGACCAATAGCATTTGCTTCAGCGGGATCACCAACTTTAGTGCCAGTCCCATGAGCCTCGAAAAACCTAGTCGGGCCCATATCAAGGTTTGCTTGCTTGTAGGTCCGCTTAATGAGATCCGCCTGAGCTTCTTGACTCGGTTGAGTAATCCCAGGTGTTTTACCATCTTGGTTAGTCCCAGTGTTGCGAATAATGCTCCTGAGAGTGTCTCCATCCCGTAGAGCATCAGTCAGGCGTTTGATCACGATCACTGCAGTTCCTTCCCCCCGGGCATAGCCATTGGCCCGCTCGTCGAAACTCCAAGAGCGGCTGTCAGGGGATAGAAAGTTAAAAGTTGTCATCATCTTCATAAAGTCAGGATGGTAAACCATATTGGCCCCTCCCACCAGTGCCTGAGTAGGTAAGCCAACATTCCATCGAGCGAACGCAATTTTATCACCTACCATGGACGCCGTACCGGCACGAAGATCCTGACACGCAAGATGAAGCGCAACTAAACTACTTGAGCAGGCAGAATCCAAATTCATCGAAGTTCCCTTGAAATTGAAAAACCAACTAACGCGATTTGCTAACATAGAAGGAGCCACCCCCATGACGGCATGTCTTTGTTCAGCTTCATAGTCTTGCTGTAGGACACTCAGGTAGTCATTAGTAAAACATCCGGTATAAACGGAAGTGTCAGAACCAGAGCATTTGTCTAGTGGAATTCCCGCTAGTCAAAAGTCAACACTATGTTAAGAGTATTAGTATAAGGCTCTGCATGATTTACTTACAATCTTCCAAAGCCAGATATGCCGTTTCAAGCATTCGACGGTGTTGAGGGTCCATGCATGATGCTTCTCCTGGAGCGATAGAAAAGAAAGGCGCATCGAACGCGCCGAGGTCTTCCTTCACGAAGTTCCCACCTCGAACAGGAAGCTATTATCAGAGTTGTTAGATCGATCGTCGGAAGAATGGAGTGTAAAAACCTACCGTGCTGTTTCGAGAGACGTCGGGATGGTAGAACGCATCTATATTCAAGCGTTCTTTGGGGAAGTCGGTGCTCGCGGATCTCCCCTCACATATCATCTGCCAGAAGGCATCCTCAGAGGTAGCTTCTTGAGGAAATTCAAATGCCAGGCCGATAATAGCTATTGGCTCCAGCTCCTCAGATATGACGAGTTCTTCTAGAGAATCCTTCATTGTAGTTATCTAATCGTGGTGTTCCTAATGCAAAATTAAGGATAGAAGCAGATATTTTCTTTGAATCTCAGAAAATCAAACCCCTATATTTCCCTATTATCAATTTAACTGTATTCATTATATATTTGTTGGGACAATTGGGATTTGGGGACTCGCTCAGACTTACAGTCGTGTGAATTAGCGTCGCTGACTAAGCACGAAGGCTTAACCTTCGGGCTCTGCAATACAGCACTGAACCTAGCTATGCATCAATACAACCAACCACCAGACCCCCAAAACAGCGTACTTCTGCAGTAGGAAGTGATCCCCTTGTGATCCCAACATATTAATATTGTCTATAATTCTAATTATTTTAGTAGAAAAGTCTCGTTAGTACGGTATATAAATATATTTAATATATTAAGTACATAGATGACTGCTGAATATGTCTTCTGAACTTTTACTACTCGAAGTCATTTCTATATATATAACCAAGAATTCATTTCTTTAGAGACCAAGTTGCTTCTCAATAAACATCCAAAGTACGAAATGGCGGTAGCAAAATTTAAAATCTTGTGTCTTCATGGCATTGGCACCAACAGCGAGGTATATATATCCTACTGTGCTTTGAGCGACAATGAGATTGACAGTACGAACATAGATCTTCGAAGCACAAATTGGTGAGCTGCTGCTGAATGAAAACACGTTGGCTCGCTGCGCAAGAGGAATAACACCTTCTAGCTGGGTTGATCTACGAGTTAGGCACCGACTATGATTTCCAGTTTATTGACGGAGCCTACCCATGGCCAGCAGCTCCAGGGATACGCGAGATGTTCGGTGACCAGATCTGTTATTCTTATTACGATGGATCGGCTCAAAGCGCATACCAGGCTGTGGACGACCTTGCTGCATATGCATGCAGCAACGGACCATACGACGCCGTATTGGGATTCTCGCTCGGGGCAACACTTGCGGCAACCCTGCTACTGCGGGACGCTGACCAAGAGCTCTGTAAGCCTGACCAATGTCGGCCGGGCGGTCCTACTTTTCGCTGCGCCTTTTTCTTTTGCGGCACACTGCCTTGCGATTGGCATCAGCTTGAGCTAGGAGAGATGAAATTCTTAGATGCAGGAGATATTAAGCAACCCATTCAGATTCAAACACTGCATGTTTGGAGTCCAGCCGATGTCGCGTATCCAGGCCAGAGTGCCCAAGTCGCCGACATGTGCGACAACCGGAAGAAGAAAGTCGTCACGCACGGCGAGGGTCATGCAATACCCTCCCAGCGTGGGATTCTCACCAACATCGCGAATGACATCCGAGAGTTGGTGGCCAAAACTGACACATGATCTTCCAAGGAGAACATGGTCCATGATTAGTACCTTTATTGGAGGCTGAGAAAAGAGCGAAGGAGTGTAGGAAGGAAAAGCGGGAGGATGGCTTGGAGCCACAGCGCATTACTTTAACATTATCACCATCATTGCGAGCACTGTTCTAATCATTCACTCTGTAAGAAGCACACCATATTATTGATACACGCCCATTAAATTGTAATTCATTAAGTTCAGTCTTCTCTCTCATTTCTCTCAAACAATGGCCACCGCAACTTCATCGCCGCCATTCGACCCTAATGAGATCAGTCATAGCTATGCCATCTTTATCGGAGTCGGTGGGATGATGACTTTCCTTTCGACCATCAGCGTGATCTTGAGATTCGTTTCTCGAAGCTTGACTCGATCCTACGGATGGGATGATTGGGCAATAGTTAGCGCGCTGGTTTTTGCCTACGGCTTCCTGTTCACCACCATCATTGTGGCAACAGTTGGGAAAGCTGGCCACCATCTCGTCCAACTGTCTCCCATAGAGCTTGAACGATACTTGCAGGTAAGAACACTATCTGTTTCATGATTTGTTCGTGGACCACAATTTCGCTGACTCTATTATGTTCTTGTAGATCGCGTTAGCGAATAACGTCATTTACAATTGCAGTATAACTTCGTCAAAAGTCTCCATACTGCTCTTCTATCGCCGAGTTTTTGCAATTCCAGCTTTTCAGCTAGCAACGAAGATCGTTGGAGCTTTGGTCTTTGGATACTTCGTTTCTGCAGTATGTGGCCTTATCTTCGCCTACAACCCTATCCAGTCTCAATGGAAGTTCTGGCTGCCTCATACGACTATCGACAATAAAACGTTCTGGCTGGCAATGGGCATAATAAATATCTTCTTGGACGTGGTCATCCTCTGTTTACCGCAGACTCGTGTATGGAAACTCCAGATGACAAGATATCGCAAGCTATTGCTTTCGCTTCTTTTCTTGATGGGTGGCTTGTAAGTTTATAGCGACCAGTATCCTTGTACTTCAGGATCTCTGCTAAGTTTTAGTGTGTGCTGCGTGAGCATTGTCAGAATTGTATCTCTGGAGACTATCAATTTTGCGGATGTTACTTGTAAGCTCAGATCACTTTTGCTGTACTAAGAGATTCAAAACTCGACTTTTACTCCATCTTTGCTTGAGATCAAGAAAAATACTCATTTATTATACAGTTACTTTGACGGTCCCAGGCATTTGGACACTGGCTGAAACAAATACCTCCATCATTTGCAGCTGTTTGCCCACATTTCCGAACTTGTTTCGACACTGGTTCGGTGACAAAAAGCCGAGTGGAAGTGGTTCTACGACTGCTGTCTCTAGTGGGCAGTACTTCCGATCGTTTCGGAAAAACCAAAGTCAGGGCTACACAGACCTTGTTGGGACATCGACATCGACTACTTTACGAAATGACATCGAATTGACTCGTGCCAGCCACGATTTGATACCAAAGGCACCGCCTGCTATTCATGTTCAGAGAGACTTCTTGGCAGATTACTAGGCATTCTCATGGCTTTTATCTCTCTGTATTGTATTTGGTTGATTTGGCGTGGAAGGCGAGGGTTGTTTCTGCATTTTGAGATATCCCCGTACCGCTGTATTAAAACATAATCAAGCATTAAACCTCGCAGGAATCTGTCGGGCTTCGTTTTCTTTCGTGTATATCCCATCGCCTGTTTCCGGGCATGTCAGGTCCGTGTAGGGACATGCACACGAGAACCAAAATGGGGCTCCCTAAGATACTTGTCTAGTACACTGAAATTTAGCGATACCCCGCTGAAAATACAGGGGTCTGTTGCTAACTTTCAGGGTTTTAGCTTTTAAGGTCATGGGTCTATAAGCGAATGCACTAGACTAGACTACTTCGTAGATTGGACTAGCTTTGTTAACTTTTTATTTATCTGATTTTAATATAATTAAGTTTTACTAAAATTAGATAAAATATTAAACTATTAAAAAAGAATTTATAAATAAAAAAGTAATAAAGAAATATAAATTTAATACTAGAATTAGCTTTTTTAAAAGAAGATCTAAAAGTAGATAAAGTATATATATTAGTATATAAAAGAGATTATTGAATTAAGAGATAAGAATAAGTATAAAAAAAGAGAAAAAAAGAAATAAGAGAAAATAATAATAAGATAAAAGTAATAGATCTCCCTTTTACCTCTCTAATTACGCGAGAACCTCCTATAGCGCTTAGATAAAGCCTATAATTTAATGCTTATGCTCTAAAACTATAGGGGACTAAGATTATAGCGCTCTATAGAGCATAGATCTGCTTGAGGCCCTGTATATTCAGGACTTTTTCCCGCAACCTCCGTACATCCGTTTGCATTCGTTTTGCGTTTGTCGCGTGAAGTTACACCGCTCTTAGGGTACTTAAGTTGAACACCGCCTAGCTAGCACTATCATTCGTGGTCCATATCTTCTTCGGTCTTGGAAGAACTGTCTTCGGTATCATACTCTTACAACTCCGTAATGACGGCACCCACTCTGGTTCTCGTTGGTGGCGGATGGCACGTTCCTGCCAGCTACTCGAAGCTCAGCAATGCTCTCAAAGAAGCTGGTTACGACGTTCATGTTCCACGTCATCCATCTACGGTACGCTTTATCCGGCATCGATTCATGTTTAAACCGGCACTAATGAGGTCGTAGGATGAAGCTCGACCCCCGATCAACGACCTAGCTACAGATACAGAGGCACTCCGCAAATATGTTGGTGATCTAGTTGAGGAGGGCCGTACTGTTGTCGTCGCCATGCACTCATACGGGGGACAAGTCGGAACAAATGCGCTCTGGGATATGGACTTGAAGACCCGGGCGCGCCAGAATTTGTCAGGAGGTATCTCCCGTCTGATTTATATGTGTGCCTTCGCTCTCCCAGAAGGTGGTTCGATGATACAGAAAGTGGAGGTGAGAAATACACTTACTTATTAGGCTTTTTTAACAGCTTATATCTTTTTTCATTGTCCATTTAGCAATTATCAAGATCTTCTTCTGACTGACTTTGATACTTAGGAGATGGGCGATGGGTATCTTATGCCGATTGCATTTGACTTCGCGGATGATGGATCAGTTGTACCAAGAGATCCCCAGACTATTTTGATCGGCCCTAGTGACGACGAGGAAGTTGACCCTTACCTAGCAACTCTTGTTCGTTGGAATGGGAAGTGTATGCATGACAGTATTACTCATTGCGCCTGGAGACATATCCCAGTCACTTATCTCTCGACAACTCAAGATTTCACGATTCCAGTTCATTATCAGGAGTCGATGGTAGATGTTATACGGGGCCAAGGGGTGGAAGTACAGGCAATTCAAATTGAATCTGGTCACTGTCCTAATCTGACAAAGACGAATGAAGTAGTCGATGCCATTAATAACGCCATTGGATGGACACCGACCAAGTAACCTGTTCTCATGAATGTTGTTGGTTGAATGTTAGGGATAATTCGCCAAAGCAAGCTTAGTTCCCATTCAAGAGCATTTCCATCCCCTGCTGACTTCTTAACATGTATTGAAATCGAGTCTAATATCAACCTGTCTGAAGTTTAAAATCGGGTTCCTCTGATTCTCAGACTGTCCTGTATGGGAAAATCCACTAGTGCAGTAAGAAGTTTACAAATAAAAACATACAGATCTTGAAACTACAGATTGGTTTTTTTTTTTCGGAAAGAAATTTAATAATAAAGCTATATTAGCTAAATATAATAGAGCTTTTAGTTTTACCAGCCTTACTTATGTTATGAATCTCATGTTGTGAATCTCGTATTAAGCCGAGGGTTCCAGCTGAACCAGTGCGCATTAAGCCGCAATCGAGCTGCTTGGTGAGCCTTTTTTGGCTAGCTACATCTGCATAATATGCACTTCAAGTTTCTCTACTTATACGAGAGCGGTTGAAATGGCGAGCACTTTGCATTGCATAAAGCATTAATGCCCAACGCGACCAAGCTGCTTAAAATCATCTTACTTTCTATACTAATCACCAATATTCTATATTAACCTGTATTACCAATAGAAACTTTATTGGCTCAATCGGTTAAATCGACTGACCTTATTTTTCAATTGCTTTTATCGAGATATATATGCTTATCTATTCTTCGATTAGCTGTCTCGCGACTGTATCAGGCCACGGTCTTATATAAGCCGGAAGCAAAACCTGTATTTCTTCGTCTTCTGCTATCCGGATAAAAGAGCGCATAAAGTGGCTTTTACTCCGCCTCCTAAGTCCATTTAGTACTCTAACCTATTATTTTATATGTAATACTAAAACAAAATTTAAATAGGAGTTAAAATATTTTTTATATTATAGATATTCTTAATAGGTTTTTAAGAAATGTTTTTAAAATTAGTTGAATATATAAAACATAAAGATTTGCGTTTTTAGAGGAAAGTATAAATAATAGCTAAGCGATGCGATCTTTGTCTTAAATAGCAAAAAGATACTTTAATAGATTATTACTTGTTAATGCTTGCTATAACTATTGATCAATTGTATCTATAATAGTTATAGTAGTCGATTGCAGATAGAGGTACTATAGTAAAGTAAGTGGAAATGGTATTAAACTAAAAAACAAGAAAAGGTTTAGTCTTATTACACCACAAATTATATTACCAGGCTTTGTAGAGTTTTTGGTTTTTAAGACCCGTTATATACGAGGCCACGTCCTGCTTAATTAAAAAACTTGTACGCCTATAGGACTATGTTGGAGTATACGGTAAGCGGCTTTTTCCCAACTACAACCCATCGTGTAAACGCCCAATATGCCCCGTCTCTGGTCTCTTTCGCTACTTTGGGCAACAAGTCTCTTAGCTGTTCTCGTACATGCTCATTCTGGGTCTGTTCTGCTATTAATTCGTGGATCAGAAGACTACACTCATGCATCGCAAGCGCGAGATGTGATGGTGCTTCGCGTACGTCTGGCTGAACATTTTCAAAGCCTTGTTTGCTGAAGATCGCTGGCAGATTCGGGACCCATGTTGGTCTTAGACGTGGATCCTGCCTTTGTGAAACAGTCATAAGCTGCAGCTGAGCATCTGCCTTGACGCCTGGGTCTGTCTTCTCGATACGGAAGGACGTAATATCGAATTCTCCCCATTGCAGATAACCACCCGGCTCTGCAGTAATATTAGCCTGGAGATTACATGCAATTAGATTGATAATTGCAAGGTTTGACTTACTGAGAAGCTGAAATAGATTCCGAATCGCACGGTCTATTTCTGCATCCTGCAAGACGAAGGCAAAGTTCCGAATATGAACGATATCATAGACCTCGGTGAGATCTTCGGGGACATCTGCCATTACATCCCAGTGTCGTATTGTGACATTCGTTGGCAAGCACTTCTTTGGTGGGATCGCAGTGGAAGAAATATCCAAAGCATCCAAGCCGACTGAGTGTGGCAGGTGAGCACTCAAGTCGGTGAGCCAAATCCTGCGTGAATGTGAACCTCATGCTCCCTGTCAATGAAACAGGGTTTTCCTTACCCTGTACCGGATCCGACGTCAGCAATTCTCAATTTTCGATCTTCCAGTGGGATTTGAGGATGAGTGAGATATCCGAAAAGCGCAATCCATTGATAGTGCTGAAGGTTAATCCTGGCAAAAGTAAGTATTTTGAGGCGTGTGAAATAACAAATATTGTGGATTGCGACCCACCTGTTGTTGTCTAGAAAATCTCTAGTGAAAACGTAATTTGGAATGGTATTTGGCATCGTGTAAGAGTGTAGAGCGGGAAAAGTTGTACCTAGGTAGTTGGGGATCAGCGAGTATAACGGGACTGGTTGACACTAAGAGGCTTTTCACATTCGGAACTGTTGCATGGACTCCTCTCGCTTTATTTATACACCAGATTCCTAGAACACAGTAGCTTAAAAGCCGCGGCCACTTTTCCCCTGTTCTTTTTGGCTTGTGATATATTGCAAGGAGTCTAATATTCTGCAAGCAATCCCTTCTTGACTGCATTCACCGACCATAGCCCTTTGAGATCTGAGCAATTTCCGAGCACCTCACTTTCTCGTGGAGCTTACTATTTCAGCGGCGCGCAATTCTTTAAGATGCTTGGTGTTGATTTCCAGCTATACATTGCAGCGGTGTGCGGCGTCGTAGCTCACTTAGGATTCTTTAACCACGGAGAGATAGATTTAAAAGCGGCCAGAATTGCGGCCTTTCATGGTCTTGTTGCCCTCCTTGTTTTCGGTGAGAAACTGCTATTCCAGGGTATGGTAGCTCGGAGAGCAATCACTGAGAGCAGTGCCATTGCTGCTGTATACCTGGTATCTTTGTTTTCCAGCATAATCAGTTACAGGCTCATATTTTCCCCACTACGACATGTTCCAGGACCTTTGGAGCTCGCCCTCACTAAATTGACTCACGTCTGGTATATGGCAAAGTATCAGAATAGCCTCTTTCTATATGATCTTTCTCTTCAATATGGCCCGGTTGTACGGACAGGTGAGTCGAGATTCCATCGCATTCCTTATCGTAATTCGAGATTGTCTTGAGGGTCTGACGCATGTTTCCTTTGCTGCTACAAATTCAAACAGTTTCCGTACGAACCCTTTCATCTTCGATTGTAACACTTTTTGACAACACTTGGATTCCGTCTAATGACTAATTGACTGATGATCTATAGGCCCCAACGAGGTCACGCTGTTTGGAACAGATGCTTATTATCAGGTCAATGGGCCCGACTCCAAATGTGGCCGAGCTCAGTATTATGACTTGCTTCATCCTTTGGTCTCTTTGGACACGATTAGAGATCCCAATTTTCACGCGCAGAAGCGAAAAGTATGGGAGCAAGCTTTTAGCATACGATGTAAATCGTTCCTTTCCTTTCCTCTCTTGTTGAACTTGATGACTTCCTAGAGAAAGAGAACAGTATCTAATGCCAGGGTTCCAGCCCTTGATAAAGCCGAATCCATAATTTATGAGAAGGCAGACCAATTGGTCGATCGACTTTGTGACTCGGAAGGAAACCCCCTCAACGTTACAGCTTGGCTTGAATACTTCACATTCGATACAATGGGAGCATTTGCGCTATCGATAGACTTCAAAAATCTCACTAAAGGCGAACATCCTATCCTCAGTCTGTATCGCATGGCACACCGCCGACTCGGGCCATTTGGAGCCGCTCCATGGGTAAAGCATCTCTTGATGGGGATTCCTTACATTGAGCGTATGAAATATTATCGGATGTTCATGAACTGGGCAAACACTGAGGTGGAGAGAAACATCGAGGCAAGGGGACCCAGCACAGCACGTCCCAGTCTCGGCTAACATCTTAATGTGCGTTCAGATGTTCAACCAGTCCGGCGAAAGAAATCTTATGGGATTTCTCCTAGAAGACGCAAAAGCCAGAGGTGGTATTCAATCAAATTGGAATTTACTCGTAGGGGATTTTGTTTTGGTGATAGTGGCAGGCAGGTGAGAGATAATCCTGAAATATGCTCGGAATCGGCCGAGTTGAAAACTAAGAGTTCCATGCAGCGACCCTGTGAGACAGGTTCTAACCAACCTTCTATACTATCTCATATGTCACCCACAACACTTGCAACAAGTTCAGGCTGAGTTAACGAACACCAACATCCGAGATCACAAATCCCTCCTCAAACTTGTGCACTTCAACGCTTGCATTTACGAGACAATCCGCTTGAATCCGCCTGTGCCATCTGCAGGTCTTCGCATGGCTCCATGTGGGGGCTTGACAGTCGGCGATACTTTTATCCCTGAGGGTACGACAGTAGTAGTTCCTCAGTATAGTCTTATGAGGGGTAAGTCACACGGGTTTTGCAGCTCGAAGTGAGAGAACCAGTAGAGAATGGAAGCTAAATTGATATCACCAGATGAGAGTAATTTCCAAAAGGCGAACGAATGGATTCCCGAGCGATTTAGTACAAAGCCTGAGATGATATATGATAAACGCGCTTTTGTGCCATGGACTACAGGTATGTCTATGTCACGTTCCGAATAACCTTTTTCCGACGTCAGAGCGGCAATATATTGTCCAAAGCGAGCGAGGAAGTCAGTATTAACAGAATTTTAGCAAGATATATGTGCCTTGGAAAGAACCTGAGTTTGATGGAAGTCCGTGTGGTGGCGGCTTTGTTGCTTACTACTTTCGATATTGAATTTGCTCCCGGTGAAAACGGTGTTAATATGTTTACAGAAGCTTGTGATTACTTCACTACAACTCCTGGACCGTTGCTTCTTAGTTTACACAGGCGAGAGAGATTTTAGCTTTCTACGATTGTTTAAGGAAGTGACCTACAATGTAGCTGATACGCAGAAATTTTATATCAGATTGAAACTAAAATAATGATGCTCTTAAACTTGTTTTCAAAGCGGATAATACAGTAATTTGAAGTGTAGTCCAAATGCCCCCCCCCCCCCCCCCCCTTCGTACAATTCTGTGCTCTTCCTCAAGACTCCCTAGGTTGAGCCTTAACGCGTATTGTCGCTCACGTCTCTTTTGGCACTTGGGTGTTTGCTCCCTCCTGCGCGCCATTGCCAGCTCCTGACGAGTGCACGTTTTTCCACTCCATTCCAACTGCTCCAAGCACACTTACACACGCGATTATCAAGGCTATCTGAAATGTATCGACCAAAGCATGATTGTAAGCACTCACTGTTTGCTGCACGAACGCTGGAGGTACCCCTGTTCGCAGTTGTGTAGCTCCCAGCTGAACCACAGATTTAGGATCCTCGGCAGGTATGTCTAAAGCCCCAATATACTTGACAAGTTTGTTGTTGAGCACATTATCACTTATGCTAGCAAAAAGAGCTCCTCCAAACAGCTGCGCAAAGAAAGTTATTGACACCCCTTGGGCAACATCTTGCAACGGAAGAACAATTGGGGCTGCAATTTGAGGTACTTGAATCGCAAAACCGCAACCCAAGCCGAAGATGATTTGATATCCAATCCATTTTCCTGGATCGCTGTTAGGAGCAAGTGTTGTGAGAAGTCCTGCCCCAATCGAAGTAAGAACCACATTGGCGTAGACGAAGGGCATGTAGTATCCAAATTTCGTGGTCAGCCCCCCAGAGAGCGCAATCCCAAGAGTCATACTTAATACCAGTGGAATGAGCCTAACACCAGACTCCCAGGGATCTACCCCTTTGATCGCCTGAAACCACACCGGCAGGAAGTATGTCATGATAATGAAACCGCCACCCATAAATATCGCAAATACAGAACTAGCAGCTATAGTTCGCTGGCTTGCAATATGAAGGGGTACGGTTGCTTTGTCTCCCATCCAGTATTGGACACCCATGAATGTAACGAATAGGATTCCGAACACGACAAAAAGAGCGATGATACGTCCGTCGTCCCAATTGTATGTAGTGCCTCCCCATTTCAGAGCCAGGAGGAGGCATATGATACTCGGTACGAAAAGGATCGTGCCGATGGGGTCCAGATACCAGATGACTTCCAGAAGACCAGATTTTCCTCCATTCTGAGCCGAGGAGTTTTTAGACTTCAATAGTAGTATGATTATAATGGCACTAATGCCCCCGAGAGGCAGGTTTATGTAAAAACACCTGCTCGACTTGTCAGTCATATTCTTGCACAAACGATTGAATTGTCGGACCAGCGCCACGTAACCTTAAAGGTAAATGCACCTCCAATTAAAGGACCAAGAACTGAGCCCAAGCCGTACGTGCCACCGACGATGCCAGTGTACGCGGGTCGTTTGTAAACAGGACAGGAATGTGCGATAATCACAAAACTACCAGAGAACAGGCCTGCAGCACCAAAACCTGCAATGGCCCGCTGTGTTCATAAGTGTCAGGAGTAGATCATTGACAAAAGCAGGATTCAGCGGGAAACGTACCCCGACTATCAGTGCAGAAGAACTGGGAGAGGCTCCACAAAGTGCTGAGCCAACTTCGAAAATTAGTAATGCCACAAGAAACACAGTCTTGACATTGAAACTAGCGTAGAGTTTGCCGTAGAAAAGCTGGAAAGCCGATATGGTGAGAAGATATGCTGATCCGTACCAGCCTATGTCCTGAAGGGCATGGAATTCATCCGTGATGCGAGGAATTGCTGTTGAGATAATAGCGTTGTCCAAGCCAACACAAAAGACAGCTAGACACAGTGCCGCAATAATGCCACCAAGCCTACTACCCACAGGGTAGCCATTCCCTGCGACAGTAGACACATTCTCTGGCTCTGAAGTTTGGTTGGGTAGCTCGAGAGAATGGTGTATTGATTTTTCGTCAATTTCGGCCGCGTTCTGCGAAGTAGCCTCGGTGGCAGATGCCCGTTCCGACGGCATTTCGACAGCCATCATGTTAATATCCACTTGCACCAAGAGAAAAGTAAGTTCAATTTTCAAAACAAAGATGCCACAAGTTAAGAGGATGAAATCTGGATATTCCGCTTGTCCAATCGTCGTGAGAGAACAGATGCCGGAAAACACGAACCACGGTACGCTGGTACGGACAGTCGTAGCGTCAGGAGAGCGGCAAAGTACGGAGTATAGTTGCCGTAGGAGTATTACTACTTGCATTAAAATAGTTGGTGATTCATTTTCCTGGCGAGAAGTGCATGCAGATGTAAAGCTACGCTCCATCCCTGCACACGAGGAAGTGTGACTGTTCTAAAGGTTGCAACCATATTTGTCGGCAAGAGGAACCGCCGATGTCGTGTTACCACATCCTGACCAAACGAACTACGAATAGTTATTGGTTGGGTGTACAGCATAATTGGTACAATTTGAGGGATAATCTCGGAAGCCTCTGTAAGCATACCTGGGTGGTCGCTATTTGTCTTTTCTGACCCGGTATCGGTACCATGCATCTGACTAGCGAGGCTTGCTCTTGTAAAATTGAACGTAGCTGTATGAGATGTAGTACATAACGTATTAACGTCAGCCTGAGAGAATTCAGAATCGGTCGTAGAGTGTTTCCTGAATCTCATCTATGATTGTTATTTATGACATATTGTATGTTGAGATTTCCCTATAATTGAAGTAGAGATCGCAAGGTTGAAAGATGCAGATGGGAATAGGTGACTATTTTGCTTAGTCAATCCCGCTATCCTCCAACCTACAATGCGGACCCGTCAACACCGACTTAATAGTCGGTATCCCCTCTCCAACATGAGTTCCAGCTTGCCTGGGGTGAATATTACCATCGCGTTGTACGATATAGAAGGGGTTGTACGATTTGCCAAGATGTTGACTAGCGTTGACTTTTGGGGGAGGATCGTAACGATAGGGCGCGATGCCTGGGAATGTGTTGTCAGTGGGTCCAACTATTACACAAGATAACCAGAGTCAGAATCAGAACCAGCAAGTTATTTAGGTTTGATATATGTCGTGACTAGGTGCGGAGTAATCAAGGGGAACGGGAATGCGGATGGGAATAGGAACATGACATACACCAGTCTGCCCAGACTAGTCTCTCGCTCTCGTACTCGTACCACGTAGTTGAGCGACTAGGATAAAACTGCATAGCTTTCCGTAAATGCGTGAGAATGTCATGAAACAGATTCCGTTCTTCTCTCGGTTCTCTGTGGGAGTTTTCTATACGAGCTTTGGCTACTAGTTCAGGGAGGATAGAAAGGTAGGAAGACATTTTTGAGATTTAGGTTAACGCTTTGTGTATGTATTGATTGTTACAGGATATAGTAGTATTAAAATTGAAGGAAAGCTGTTGATACACACTTTGAAACCCTTATACTAAGTAGGTAACAGTATTAACTGGTAAGTCAATGACTGATAACTTCTGCCCCAGGGTTCCATTCACAGATTTTTACCTTGGTGGATAAATCAGGTTTCACAATTAACTTTAAGCTATCGCTATGTTTGAAAAGAGTTACTGAAGTCGCTGAGAGTATGTGCAATGTGGTTGTGTGGCGAGTACAGCAAGGGGAAAGCAAAGAGTCGAAGGCATGCACAAATCCAAATTCATATTAGTGTGACAAGAGCAATTGGTGCATCTTCCCACCATCCTGCGCCTCTTCTGTGAACCAACAACCCAAGTCTTCTATATGTTGGTCCATCGTCAACTTTCCGAAGCACAAGTGCATATGCTCCCAATAGCTGGCTTGATGATTCTTCAGACTCAAGCTTCTCTTTCCGAGTAAGATGCTGAGAGGGATGTTGGCCCATCCAGTCTCTATCTGAGAGCGTGAAATGGCCAAGCAGTAGACAAAATACGGCATCACCATGGCTTATATCTGTAATGCGCTGTTTGATATCAAAACAATCGGGAGAAATCCGGACAGACTCTCCTTCAAACCTTACCCATGTTTCATACGTTTCGCTCATCTTCTCTTTGATTTTTATCAGACTCTGCTCATGGGCGCTACCCTTTCGCATCTGATCTATTATGGAAGAATCATCTTGTTCAGTCACAAGTAAAGTGGCTTCGATAAGCGGTGCCTGAATGCTCAGTTGTACCACTCCACAGATTCCGAAAGGGCTGATTGTACTCTGCGATTTATGGAAGCTTTGGATCCGGCATCTCAAATCTGGCACGAAGCCACGTGTCTGGACAAGACCGTATGTAACATAAGGAGCGTCTTGACTATTATTCCATATAGAAGCCCAAGACCATGATGGCGCACTGGGATGAGCATCTCGGAAAGTAGGATGTCGATTTCCATAATATGGTCCATCGATTTGCCAGCAAAGCGCCCTGGGAAGATCTTGAGACCATAAGCCTGCTAGATACTCAGAAGATTGCAAGCGTTGAGCAACTCGAGAGGCAAGACCAGACAATGCAGGAAGACGATCCATTTGCTTTGTAAGCTTTAACGTGCAGTACTCAGTAACGAATTCCAGCCAGGTCTCCAAGACTTGTGGGTCAGTCATCTCAGGTGAAGTTATTGAAGAATACATCATCTTCAGCTGGTCGACTTTACGTTGTTCTAGCAGGCCATCAGGGTCGCCCCATTTATGGTTCTGTAATCTTGAGCATTCACAAGATATTCCGGAGGCGCATTCCCAGATGAGCTCTTCGGCATGAAAATGTAGGGTTCTTGGGGAGAGTAGTCGCTCTTGAAAAACCCATGCTCGGCTTAAGAGAGGGGAAAGATCTTCCATAGTGTTTGCATAGTCCATTGTCCGCGTGAAGTGATCATGTGCAACATGTAAAGCATGCCGATAGAAAATCTTGTAGTTGCCTTCGGTTTCGTCACTAGGTTCAATCGCCACGTCTTCGCCCACATTAAGTTCGGTTTGGTTGAGAGTATCTAGCGACCATCTCTCCCCAAAGCATCCTTCTTTACCACTGCTTGAATGTGTAGCAGCAAGATTGAGCTGAGACGACATATAAACTTGCGCCATCTTTGCCGACTCAACTTCCCAATCCAATTTATCGTCTTGAATGATGCAGAGAGAATCGATCCATAAGTAACGAATACCTAAGCCTCGAGTTATTTGTACAGCGTGACGAAATGTCTTTGAAAGCTGAGACAATTTTACTCCAGCTTTTCTGTCTTGAAGTGTACCGGTAGTCGTAGTAATAATCTGTTCCTTCCCCCAGCAATGACTCAATGTCATATAGCAACCTCTGTCGGAATCTTTTGTCTCGTGCAGATAGACAATATCCGTATCAATCTGGCCAACATCCAAAACACGAGTTGGAAGTTTTGACTCAGTAGGCTGACCACACGAATGGTGCTTTTCACTGCATTCTTTCAACCATTCAGTTGCAAGAGCTAGACACTCACTTATTTCTAGTTCGCTGGAGACTGGTCGAGCAATACCAAACGCAGGAATCAACCCGCAATCTTTACCAATAATAAATTAGCATTCGAATTTCCAATGGAAGGCAACCATACCATCTATGGATACTGTATAGAATTCTATAGTTGTTTCATAACCGACGTTGGCCAGAATAACCCGGAGACTATGGTCCCTTCGAAGGTCAATGTGAAGAAGCGTCTCGTCAAGCAAGATTTGGTCCCCATTCTCGGATTCTGCACCCTCGTCCCATAGTTCTTGCATATTTTCCAACCCTACGCATAGGATTTTACATGCTAGGCAATCGCCTGTCTCTGCGGAGCGCTTCAGTTCTGAGAATGGCACATTGAGTCGATGCTCGTCAAGAAGGCTAGGAGGTGATTTTTCTGGGCACCGATCGGGATCGAGATTGAAACACACCGGGCACACGAATACGGATTCCATCTTGCGCTTGTATGGCCTTAGATCATACAGCTACGAATGCGAATGTAGTTGAGAGTGAGCTTCATGCATTTGCAACGTGTGACTCACCTCCTACATATTGTTGCGAGGTGCAGGACGTGCATGTGCGCTAATCCCAACCGGGTCCAACTAGACCCCCTTTCTCTGATTGCTAAGCATAATTTAGATCATCACATATATTCCACTCTATAGCCTCATAGCGGATTGCACTCAAATTACGTCCGCTATATTCTATACTATCACTCCTTTATTTTGCATGCCTCTAATACATATTATTGCGTTTGAGGCATGTACTTAAAGAAGCAGGAATAAGGAATTTATAGATTATCACCCTTTATTTTAATTCTTTACGTCTATAAAATCATTCGGTGATTTAGCTTAAGAGATAAACAGGGTATTATCATAAGCTTATCATTCCTTGCAAGTAAGGAACACTATACTCTAGGCATCAGACTTGTACCTCATAACCTTATATGTTTTGACTAAATAACATCGTATATTATCAAGCTTGCTGATTGTGACAGACTCTGTCTATATGTAGGCGACCTTATAATTATATCTAGGGAACCAATAAGAACAAGTGAAAACCTAGAATCCATTCTTATCACTAGCTAGTAGTAATAAGTGATCATCCTTGTAATATATGTACTAGCTAAGAGCCAAAAAAAAAGATTCTTTTATATTGCGTTCGCCGGGAATCGAACCCGGGGCCCATCGATACATAAACTATACTAGCTTGGAAAGCTATTTAGCTAATGGCAACGATGGATTTTACCACTAAACCACAAACGCTTGGGTGTTTTTGTTGTAGTGAGTTTGCTTATGTTGAAAGTTACGAGTACTTGACAAATTATTATAGGATGAAAGTAAGGAAAGCTTAAAGAGGGACTACCGATTACTAGTACTTCAACCAAAGAAATAGCAAGCTGTAGCCAACGCAATTGGTAGTATAAGATCTACACTAATCCGTGCAAAAAAATATAACAATTTACTGAAAATAAGACTGTCAGGATATGTATGCATAAGTGATCACCTACCTCCTATAATACCAACAAAGACAGAGCTGCGCAAATTGGGAACTAAACGGAACTTGGAAAGTAAACATCCATGAGAATACTATACTTTAACTTTGAAGATGATACTCACAGCTTTCCAGATCTCGTGATCGATTTCTCACGTGCCATCTCACCATGGCACGCTCTCGCACGCAATCGCCCCTAACGCGCTAAAAGCAAGCTAGGCGAATGAGCAGAGCAGCATATGAGGGTTCTCTTCCCCCTTTGAACTTCCTTCCCTCTACACAGTTCATATCCTCTGATCACAGTATTCCTTTTCCTCAGAAGTTTGTGGAATTTTTTCTCGTTGTTTCGTCGTTCTTTTGCGCCCTTGAAGTTGAGGGTTTTTCCAAAATGACAAGTGTGAACTTTTTCTCAGCCAATGGGAGGAGTCTGAGTGGACTCTTGTGTATACGGAAGGGCAGAGGTGCTGGGTTGGCAGGAGAGCGAGGGCAACGCAATTTGGAGTGACGCTACTCCGGCGAGAGGGATGCGACGGATGCATTGTGATCGGCGAAGTGCTGCGATCTTCTGATTGAATGGTCTTGAATGTTTTTTGTTCAATCGAAGGTGGGTTTCTCCTATTTTTCGCTAAGCATTTGTTATACTTTGTTTTAGGTTTCAATATGAACCTTTTCCTTCTACCTTGCTGCTACCTACTTTATAAAGTTTATTGGATTGTTTCAACTATACTGTCTGTTATAGACACTGAAAATTTTACGGTTACGATGGCTTGGCTTGGTGTGGTACATATGGTGCCCTTTTTTTTTCTTCGCGTGTGAGGGTGTATTGACCAATAGATAAGGCTCCTGGCGGTCATCCATCCCACTATCGCCTGTTGGAAGACCCCGCCCGATGCAACCCGGACAGATCCTTCGAGAAACTTTACGAATTGCAGCGACAGAAGGAGACACGATACGGAGACGAGATCAGGAGCCGTGGTGATGCATGGAATCGAGTTGTTTATTACGAATTCTGAGGAGTATGAGCGAACGAAGATGGCACGCCGTACGCCGATCGTATCGGTACCTGCGGGAGAACGAATTGGAAGGCGTGGGGCTACGGTAACTGGTACCGTCGAAACCTAAAATTGTCCGATGCTATCTGTCCTGAGCCTGGTACGAAGCATCAGGATAACAGAACTCAGGGGAACATCGATTACTCGAAGAGGTTAGGAAGAGGCACTGGTGGCCTTGGGCAACTGCAGTGGGACGATTCACCTCGGGGACACTTATTTCAGGGATTGCTGGAAAGCAAGAATCCACCTGAACTGCGCAGGTTAGATCTTACGTTTAACAATAGCATTTTACCGCTTAGAGAATTCGCACACAGCATACCTGATTTTTGCTGCTTCCCTCGTTTTCTGTTCTTTCCTTTCCTTCCCCACTTCCGAATATCAATCAATTCCCCTCAACACCACCGCACGACACCATACCACAACACCATACCGATAGTTACAATGAGCTCCTTCAAATCAGCAGCGTCTCGTGCACTGCGATCCAAGCTTCTAGCCCAGAACCCCCGCCTTTTTGACAAAGCCAAACGCAGCGTCGGTCTCGCAGCAACCACCCGCAGCGAACCCAACTTCCCAACGCCCTTCCTCTCACCAGGCAAGCTCATATGAGCCATTTTCTGACTGCATCTTATGCTCATTACCTCTTAGATTTCCATTCCCCCAGTATTGCGACCCCTTTACCCCGCGTCTTGCCCACGACACGTCCTCGAGAACAGAATGAAAATGATTTTGATGGTCTGATCGCCAACCTCACCCAAACCCTCACTACAACCCTCTCTCCCACTCCAACACTACCTGTGCTGCACCAACTGATGAAATCTTACACTTCCAATCCTGCCCACTGGTAAGTCGACCGACCATACGTCCTCCAACCATCTACAGACCCATCGCTCACTTCCTTTCCCTTGCATTCGCTAACCTCCAGTCCCAAGGTCGAAATTCGCACACATCGACCCCTCGAAACAATACACCCGCAACCTAGTTCACTCCGTGCCCGGCGTCTTCAACCTCCTCCTCCTAGTCTGGAACCCGGGAAAAGAAAGCCCAGCGCATGATCATGCAAATGCGCACTGTCTGATGAAGGTATTTATCTCACCGCCCTTCCCTTCCCTCCCCTAAAATCCATCTTGATTCCTAATAATGAATGGAAATAGATCCTGAAAGGCAACCTAATAGAATCACGCTTCGCTATCCCCTCTCGACCAGGTGAACAGGGACCGCTGGTGCAGACAGCGAGGAAGGAGTTTGGCTTGGATCAGGTTACGTATATGGCTGATGTTGTATGTTATGTTTTTCTTTGACGCTTGTTTACTTGCACTTGCTGATGCGATTGGTAGCTTGGGCTTCATGCCATTTCGAACCCGCATCCCACTGAGCACGCCATGTCTCTGCATTGTAAGTTTAATATTCAGATCCTTGCAGTTGAGGGGGACATAGCTGATTATTTGTAGTGTACACGCCGCCTAATGCTGCTCTGAGAGGGTGTCATGTATATGATATGCATAATGGGGAAGTGAGACACGTGAGGCAGGATACGTATGATTCTGTTGGAGGAAGAGTCGGGAAATGAATCATCGTTACATGCATGGAGATGGTAATAATCGACTTTTTGGACGGAGCTCAGACCCGTGACGCTCAGCCGGGACTGGCGTTGCTTGCAGGCGTTTAGCATTTATATAGTACAGCGTCATGAATTCAACGGTCAACGTATTCTTTGTGGTACGTTCCTTGGTCGTTTCAAGCATGGAGACAGACCTTTATTTGTACTCTCCATCTTCGCGTCTATCTCTCGGTCCGAATTTTCGGGCTCACTCCACCTTACCGTTCCTCGTCATCGCTCTTTCCCACACAACCTTCCCTTCACACTATGTGCGAGTGCCATATTCCTGTACAAAATCCCCGTCGCCCTCCCACTCTCCTCCTCTATTCTTCATCCTTGGACATTCATATCCATATCAATAATAAGATTCACGCCATCCTCCATCTTATAATAATGCGATTCTCTCTGCTCCCCCACACTTGCTAAGTCAAGATGATACTTCATCAGACGTGAGTGCCGCTTTTTTCTAGCTAGCATAAAGATCATAGGGGTCTTATAGAGAGGACCGTAAAACACCATAGGAGATAATAGGCGCTCAAGGGGTTCATTTAGGTGGCATCCTCACGGTTCGTCTCTCCCTTGACTTATGCAGTTTCCTGCAAATATAGGGAGTATGAACCCTTTCTCAATTGAAATATGAGCTAAAATCAAACTACAGTACAATCACGCATGATTTCACATCACCTCCCTTAAAATCGCCTCGCTATCCGCAATAACCCCTTCTAATCCGCGTATCTCGTCCCTCAACTTCCTCCTCCGCCTCCGATCTTCCATACTCTCCGCCGCAATCCTCTCCACCTCCCTATCCGGCAAACCGTCCACGAATGAATCTGAGAAAACGTCCATCGTCTCCTCGATGAACAGCTGGTTCAGTCCGTTCTTGCAGACAGAGTTGACGTAGTGTTGGACGGAGGTGCTGTAATACGCTTTCAGGATGTCGTGGAGTTCATAGACGATTTGCCGCTCGTGAGTTATTATATCGCGGAATGCGGATTGATTGGTTTTTGCGAAATCGGTAAGTGGTTTGGGGGGTCTCGGAGTCGCTTCGGCGGCAGCAGATGAACTGCTTCCAAAAAGACCGTCACTGGAGCCTCGAGCTCCAGAGGCACTTGATGTTGTGTTGGCAGTCTTGAAGCCCATGCCAGCACTTTGTGAGCTTCCAAATCCACCACCAAACGTACCTGTGGGCTTCATGGTTGGTCCGGAATCAAAAGGGCTTGTGGTGGTGGTATTGCTTGAAATGCTTCCAAACAGACCAGTTGAATGGTTTCGTTTGGTGCTATTTGATGGGTCGCCAAATATATTACTTGAAGTAGTAGGCCTCGTTGTCGTATTACTGCTACCTGGTGAGCTGCCAAAATTTGTTGCTGCTGTTGAACCAGTATCATCAGTTGCCGTGCCTCTAAAGGGGCTACCCCCCGAACTAAGTCCAAATGTTGTTGAGCCACTAAATAGACCACCCGAAGTAGGCTTTGATGACGAGCTCGAACCACCACTTTTTGTTTTTCCAAACAAACTCTCGGTGTTTGGTCTTGAATCTGAGTGCAACCCTCCAAAGATCCTATCAGCAAATGTCGACGTCTTGGTATCCTGAGACTCATCCTCAAGCCTCGAAATAGCGCTCATGAGTCGAACGCACGAGCCTCACGAATATCACTCAAAAACTGGGGTTCACTTGCAACAACTTGCAGGCTATTTTGCTCATCTTTAATCAAATCGAGACAAAAGTCCATCAATGTCCCCAATTTCGCTTCCACTGCTGAGAGGATAAGCTTTTCAAGTTCAGCAGATACCTGTTTGTTATAGCAAGCGCATTGAAGGCAGGAGACCACAACAGCATTGAACTCCACTCGGGCTTCCTCAACGAACCATCTTGTAATCTCGGCCCAATTTGCGGTCTGATCTACGAAGAGTTGCTCAAGGAGGGGATATGGCAGGGTGCCTGGAAGGAAACGAGACTTCGTCGACTGATAACGATTGTTGATCCATGTATATGTGCTTTTTGTCGATTTGACATCTGTCCTACATGCTGCTTTGTCTGAGTCTTCGTCTTTGTCTGGTTTGGGTGTTTTGAATCGCCAAATTGCCCCATCATCAAGTTTATCTCGCAAGTGCTGCTTTTTGAGCAAAGCCAGCCTCACGTGCAGACCTCCACGACTTGAATGTATATCATAAATTCGATTATTCGAAAGGAATTCGTGCTTCGGAAATTGGTAGGCGGACACAACCGACTTGAGATATGTGCGCTGCTGGGACAACACACCTCGAGGCTTTCCTAGATTTTCCAATTTCGCTCGCGTGGAACCAAGTTTCAAACGTGTTTGTTCATTGAGGGCGCGAAATTCAGTTCGGATATGGGAGCAAAAGACCCTGCTGAGTCCCCTGCGTAATTCGTTGATCCCCATTCGACTTGGATCGAGGCCTGTGACACTCGGAGTCCATTCCTTTTCCTCGAATAGTCTGCCTTCTTTTTCTCTGGCCACTTCGAGTGAGACATCCGCTCTTGCCTCGGAAGCTAGCCGATTCTTTACCATGTACCACCCATGCTTCAGCACGCGCTCTTGGTTCTTGGCTCTTTTGATAGCCTAATATCGTTAGTTATGATTAATGTTCTTGCTAGTCATACAAACAGATTCATAAGCATCTATGTCTTTCTCCGGGGTAGGAATAAGATCACACTTTGTCATGACACCAATTGTTCTCTCTCCAGCGGGATCCACATCATCCACGAAGCTGAAGATCTTTTGATGTATGGTCTCTTGGGTTGCATCCATGACCGCACTGTAGTCAATCGTTAGCCTTTCTCAAAGCATGACTCTGTATTCTGGTGACGACTTTACACAACGATAGTTCTTTTCTCTGCCACAAGATCTTCCACGAGATTTTCAATCTCTTCCACAGACTTAGCGTCATGATCTTTGTTCCCAGCTGAACTTGGTGTTAGCTTATGGCCAAATATGAATATTGTGTGGAACCTACACTGGAACAAGCCTGGAGTATCAACGAAACTCAAGCTCTTGAAGTCTGGGCCCCTCATTTCAATCTGAAGTGTATGACTTGATATGTGTTTCGATGCCGGCATATCAGGTGCCATATCTGACCCCTGATCTCCCGCAAATACAGGTGGGGGGACGCCGAAAACTAACGAAGCCTCACGGGCTATTAGTTTTACGATTGCCTTGCCTGAGAAAGTCATTCTGGAATCCCACTCACTCCACGAAGTAAATCTTTGAACTCTACCTGAGTCATAGGTTTCGTATACAACTTGCGCATTATTTCCACGTCGACGTTTGTCAGCCGGCCATTGCTGCGGCTTGGAACAATGCTCGAAGTTATTTGAAACTTGTCGGGATCTTCAATGAGGTTGATTTCGATCGGGAATCTTGTCCCCATTCCTTTGGTTATTGGTACAGGCAGTCCTGTCAGATTTTCAAGCAAGCTTGATTTTCCCGAACTTTGAGCTCCGGCAATGACAAGCTGGAATTTTGCGTCAGTCATGATTTCCAGATCAGGGCACCGAATATTCCTCAATTACCCTTGGGAGCTCAATTTCCGCAACTCCGAGCTGCTTGTACTTATCGATTATGCGCATGTACTTTAGCGTTTCTTTGTTGTAGAATACATTCTTATCCGCAGAAACCGTTTCGGAAGAATGAGGCTCAGGCGAAGGTGGTGCCGGCTCGGAGACTTCTGGATTTGGGTTGGGGGGATGCACTGTAGGGACATCGAAGTATGTTTCTTCTGCTTTGGTTGAAGTGGTCTCTTCTTGGCTTGGAGCTTGTAAAGAGGCTTCTGGAGAATCCACGTTGGGGGAAGCGGGTTTGGTTTCAAGTAGTGAGTCCGTCTTCGCAGAAGACGATTCTGACTTGATACCAGAGAATGAAAAGGGATTTTCATCGCCGCTAGATGACGAGATCATGACTTCGGGCATTCAAAGGCGCCTCTAAAAGGTAGTCGGAACTATATATTCTTGATTGAGGAAACAGAAATAAAAGGTAAGTTCGATTTGTAAAGTGACAGACACAGATATGTAAATTTCAAACGGATGGAAGAAAAACATGCGATTTTCAGCAACCGTCGCCCCTTTAAACCCAAAGTGCTATGCTACGCTATTCACGGCCCAGCTACTGCACGCAGCCTCAGCCGCAATATATAAAGCATCGCGATTGGAAGGTACAAAGCCATAAATGCAACGTCCACTGTGTTGGTGTTTCGCAAGCTCAAATCCCTGCTAAAAGTTGTAAGCTATAGAGTATCGTAGCGAGACGTTGGCGAATAGGTGGAGGCGTGGAGCCGTGCGTGCATGCGTAGCTAATTAAACACATTTACTATATCCCTTATAGCGTTACATTGTGTTGGTATCACCGGATCCCGCGGTAAGTCACTTTGCACTAGCTAGTAAAAGGTAGTCATAATCCACTACACAGCCTCCCAAACAAATCTAATAGAGATAAACAAATAGAGCCTAGAAATATTCACGTGCTTCAAAGCTCCTTTTCCTCCTGCAAGAACTTTTTGATGTTGCTCATAAATTGGAGTGCAATGCCTGGCGGTACCTTGAAAGTTTTACCATCAGGTCGGCGACGACTTTTAGGTGCTGCAGAATAGTGTTCAGTTCTAGGAATCAATCCATTGCAACCTGATTTGCAATCTGCAGCGCGTTTCTCCATCTATCGCTATCGACTGGTGTCAAGCCCTAGTTACAGTACTCCTTGCTTACAGTGATTGGCTCTGCAGCGATGAAGATCGTAGAGTCGGCTCCAGAGACCCACATCAGCGGCTCTTTGAAGCTTTTGAACCTCCGTAGCGCTTTTCTTCTTTTTCTTGCCCTTTATTATTATAGAATCACCACTCCCTTCTTTGTAAACAAACTCTATGCTAAAGGTTATCTGCCTCCCTTTACGAAATAAGTCACCAAGACCTTCCAGGTGCTCGTAAACCATCTGCCAATTAATCTGTAGCTTAGGGAATCATTTCGACAGGCCGCGCTAACAGCTCCGCTTAATAGATATCTCGACAATCGTTTCTTCGCATATATATATATCCCCAGAAAACCGGTCTTCATCTTATAGAAGGCTTTCAAGTCGTGGCTAGAAGTTAACGTTTCAAAAATCGCTCGGAGCTAGGACGAGATCGGGATCTATGTCGGAAATAATAAACCTAGCTCTGATATTTTCACGCTGGGAGATCTTCCACCGAAAGTCATAGTGGATACGTACAGGGTTATTCTTGTCATATTGCTTGTCTACTTCCCAACCACTTAGTCGGAGAAGTGGTAATGCACGTTCTAAGCCTGTTTGGTCGGCTCGTTTAGCGGCCTCGCTGGCTGTTTCAGCAGCAGTGCCGGCCCTAGGGCTGTCCAAAGTCGAAACTTCGAGATTTGACGCCTAATTGCCGCTCAGCTAGTCAAAGTCGGTGGTTTCCATGTTGGCATGCCATCCGAGTCGACAAAGGCGGAGGCAAAAGTGAAAGATCGTTGCCACTGTTCATGCAAAAGAACAAGTAGCCACTTTATTAGAATTTCTACGGGCTTCTACGGGCTTCTATAAGAGGCCCCTCTATCTGCTAATTTTGTGACATAACCAAAAGCACAAAAAAGACTCCAAACATCTTTCTATAATCGGAATGTCAAGATGTACTGTACAGCGCAATTGATGTGCCGTCCATCAAAAACAGGGGATGACCAGTCACCGGCTATATCAGCGCCACGCCATTCGTCGCTACCATATGCGCCGGCGATCATCTCCAAGCTCTCAGCTGGAGTCTCAGCCTCAAACCTTTTATCAACCTCTTCATTTCAGACCCATCTCCACCATCCCAACCTTCGGCTAGATTATGTGGATCGCGACCTACGTACTTCCGCCTATAACCCTTGCTACATCAAATAGCAGCCGTGCAGACCATCTACCACTCAGGCCAATATGCGTCTTCTTAAGCTAGAAGCAAATGGGGAATTTAGCCTCACGAACGATATCACCCAACCTACAACCCCTTATGCGATACTCTCACACACCTGGGGAGGAGATAATGAAGAGGTCACCTTCGAGGACCTGATGGATGGCTCTGGGAAGACGAAAAACGGATACAGAAAGCTTCAATTCTGTGGACAGCAGGCCGCTCGTGATGGCTTACAATACTTCTGGGTGGACACTTGCTGCATCAACAAATCGAGGGATAGTGAGCTTTCGGAAGCTATCAATTCCATGTTTCGCTGGTATCGCGAAGCGGCTATATGCTATGTGTACCTTGCAGATGTTTGGACAAAAGATACAACAGACCCGTCTTTGAAGCCATGGGAAGCAGCTTTTAAGAAAAGTCGATGGTTTACCCGTGGTTGGACACTTCAGGAGCTTATCGCGCCGCCATTAGTGGAGTTCTTCTCCTTGAATGGCAACCGACTTGGTGATAAGAAATCTTTAGAGGTGCTGCTGTACCAGATAACAGGGATTCCTGTTCTCGCTCTTCGAGGCAAGCCTCTTTCTGATTTTAGCTTCGATGTGCGAGTATCATGGGCACGGAATCGGGACACTAAGCGTGAAGAAGACCTCTCTTATTCCCTGCTAGGCATCCTTGATATCTCAATACCAGTTATCTATGGTGAGGGGAAGAAGAACGCATTCCGTAGGTTAAAGCGCGAATGGAAATACTATATCGACGAACGCTCACAGGGTACTCCGAGATATGTCAAGCGGCTATGCGCACTGCAGCAGACGCTCAAAGGGCACAGCGACAAGGTCTACTTAGTAGCCTTCTCTCCTGACTCGAGGCTACTAGCTTCGGCATCAAATGATCAGACGGTGCGGCTCTGGGACGCAGCCACTGGCGCGCTACAGCAGAGATTCAAGGGGCATCGCGATATATTTTGCTTAGTATCCTTCTCGCCTAACTCGAGGCTACTAGCATTGGCATCAGTTGATAAGACGGTACAGCTCTGGGATGTGGCCACTGGTGCACTGCAGCAGACGCTCAAAGTGCA